AATTAGGTATAGGTATACGTAATCTTATAACTGCAATATTGATAAAGAGAAACAGATGCAGTCACTTGACCACGTGTTTACATTACCTTTATACACGCTACGGTCAAAGCAATGATTCATAACTGATGATTAATGTTAATAATTGAAGGAAGGAACATTTTTTGAACAGATTGATCCAGTAGGTACCTGCATAAAAAGTTATACTTACTCTTAGACAAGGAAAGAATATGGACGCATAATTCGCGAGCGATAGTGTTACCATCTGCCACATAATGAAATTGGTCAATGGCGTAGCATCCGTAAATGCGAATAGTAGCAGAAGTACCTAAAAAACAAACTACTTTTAACTAATAATAAAGCAAGTTGAACATACGAATGAAATTTGTGCGTTGCGCTATTTATTAATCAGACACAGGTATAAACGAAGCTTCCTCTTTTCTTTTTTCGGGAATGACTTTCAAACTAACTGTCGCTCCAGCGAAAGACTGTAATAAAATATGAATCTTCATTGTTTTCTGTATGATTTTTCACGTAAAAGCTGTTGCCGTACCAATTTTCTCTTTGAAAAACGCTAAGTGCTAAGACTACGCCTATGGAGTTTGTTGAACAATTCCGTCCTTGAAGATGTTTGTTATCAAAATTTGAATGCAAGGGATTGGTTCTGTTGTGCGAAATTATGTATAATCCTTCATTAAGCTATACATTTTAACATATTAAAAGAAGAATATTCAAGGAAAAAGCTTTATGATGAATAATAGGAAAATACGTGGTAACGGCATTAGGCACATTTTCAATATTTACGTTTGAAATGAAATTCCCGGTTCCTCCTTCTCACTCCGACTTTTGCATCCACAATCTGCACAATTCACCATGAGTTTAAGTTGTTTTTTGCGTATTTCCTCTCAATTTAAGCGCAAAAACTCTTAAAAAACGATGTTACTTAAATGACATTTGTGCCACATGTAAAATGGACGACTTGCTTAAAAAGATAACACGATTCATACACGGGCTGTACGGCATACGCGGTATCCATACTCTTTCCTAATCTAAGGTTATACTACTTTCCTTTTTCTTTTGAAAAGGGGTTTTTTGTCCACTCTTGATGTAATCGTATTGTATTACCTACAGATGACGCGTCTTTATTAATTCGATTTAGTTAAATGTAGGCACAAATTTGAATTAATCTACTACCGATTTAACTTCTCAAAAGCACTCGATCAAATTCACTCGGCGGAGTCTGGTCGCAGTAAATCTCATTCCCGAATCAAAAAAGCTCATTCCTCAAAACCTAAGGAGTACCTAGTGTCCGAGCGTATTTTGATTTATTTATTTGCAAGGAAAGTTTCTCGATGGACCACCCAACCTTTAATAAAATAAAGTTAGACAAAACTCACCCTTTTCTCGTGGAATATATACAGGTTTCATAGGAACGGAGTACATACAACCGCACTTGCTAGCGATTCATTCACAAATGAGTTCCGAACATACGTAATCATATTTAACTGCAATGTTGATAACGAAAAACAGATGCAGTCACTTGACCACGTGTTTACAATACGTTTATGCACGAACCATTGAATTTACGTACTACGCTCAAAGCAATTAATGCGGCCATTATTCATAACTGTTAAATGTGAATAATTGAAGGAGCATTTTTTGAACAGCCCTCGGAATGATTTTTTTAAAATTCAATATCTTCATAAAAAGCAGTTTCTCTTCTCCTAAAGTTTTGAAAGGAAACGTACCCCAAATTTATCAGATTTACCGTTGATTATGAATAATTGCCGCATTAATTATATTTTCTCCGTAACATATGGAGGCACACAAAAATGATTTGTCATTATATACGGTTTTCAGTTCCCAAGTACAAGTAAAATCCCATCCCGTTTAAAAATTCGTAATTTTTATGAAAATTCGCTCCTACCTACATAGCAGTATTCGATTGAAGGGGTTGTAAATTTTGTAGTCGGTCAAATATTTATATTTCCTTAATGAATTAAATTAAAAAGATCTACAAGTAACCCGCTTCAGTTGCCAAGTATAAGTAAAATCTAGTCCCGTATTAGAAGTTCGTAAGTTTTAAAAACATTCGCCCATACCTACGTAGCAGTATTCGATTGAAGGGGTTGTAAATTTTGTGGTAAGTCAAATATTTATATTTCCTTAATGAATTAAATTAAAAAGATCTACAAGCAACCCTTCAGTTGCCAAGTATAAATAAAATCTCGTCCCGTATTAGAAATTCCTAATTTTTAAGAAAATTCGCTCCTACATACGAAACTGTATTCGATTGAGCGGGTTGTAAATTGTGATGTACGTTCAATATTTCTATTTCCTTGATCGATTATATTAAAAGGATCAAATAGCAACCCTTAAATTGCCAAGCATAAGTAAAATCCTGTCCCGTTTTAGAAATTCATAGTTTTTAAGAATTCGCTCTTACCTTCGTAGCAGTATTCGATTGAAGGGGTTGTAAATTTTATGGTAAGTCAAATATTTATATTTCCTTAATCAATTATTATTATATAATTATATAAAAATTATCAAAGTCCTCGTTTGAGATCGAAGGGACTTCAGCGCATTTTTGTGTGGCAGATCAGTATTCTATTAGCCACTTTCGACTCAACCATCAATAAAAGATCTTGTCAAAGGCTACTACATTCACTAACCGCTTCCCACTTTCCGCGTGCACCCGCAATTCGCTTTTAAAGTTTTGACTCCACCATCAGTAAGATCGTGTCGGGGGCTACCACATTCTCTTTTACGGTACCCACTTCCGACGTCCCGTCACCCGCAATTCGCGTTTGAAGATTTGACTCCACCATCAGTAAGATCGTGTCGCGGACTACCACATTCTCTTTGACGGTACCCACTTCCGACGTCCCGTTCACTCGCAATTCACTTCTATTGGCGGCACGAGAAAGAGAGACAGCGATTCGAGATTTACGAAACGTTAAAACGCGTGAGTTCGCAACGGAAGGTAAAAGGCGCCCGAAGTTGACTACTTCTCGAAGACGCGCGCGCGCGCCTCGCAAAAGGTCGTTAATTTCGCCCCTATGACAAAAACAAAATTCCGCCACGCAGGAGTTGTGCGCGTTTACAACATCTTTCCGACGACACCAATTTGAAAAGAATCGGACCAAAACTGTAGTAGAAGATAGGAAAAAACTGAAAAACCTTCACGTTAGTATACTACGCTCGAGGATGACGCCCAGATGTCGCCAACCCCACATCATGTAGCCATGTCCCTAAGGTTGACAAATTTCACGGCCCCGTAGATACACGTACACCCGTTGCCTTTCTACAAGAGTTCTTCTACGCGCCCACATTTGCTGCCAGCCAGCCAGCCAGCCAGCCAGCCCAGCCAGCCAAAGTGAGATTAAAAGCTACTTTTTACAAATAAATTTGCAAAAATGCGCTAAAAAGTTCTACAAGCAACCCTTCAGTTGCCAAGTATAAGTAAAATCCCATCCCGTTTAAAAATTCGTAATTTTTATGAATATTCGTTCCTACCTACGTTGCCATCGTAATCCAGAATCCAGAATTTGAGTTCAAGCCTTATTCACGTGCTCGAAGAAGTAGTCGCTGTGTCTAGTCCATCGTGCGTTTTTTTCGCGTAACTGACGCCTTTTTATATAAGGTTGTCCAAATTACCTGTTAAAGTGAAGTTTTCTACCACCACAAAAGACACTATTACATCTAAAATTACATCAAAAACAGCGTCGTTTAAATCAAGAATAAAGCAAAAGTAACGAACTAAAGTCTCCGAAGCAATATCGCCTGGTGTTTTGTATTAGTGCATCTGTTTAAAGAGAATTGCACTTGCCCCTTTAAGATTCATTTTAAATTTAATTTGTTTCAATCGATCGCCTGTTGTGTGGTATTTGTTTTTGTGTATTATCAGCAAAAGCTGTGACCTTCTAACATTTTCGCTCGCAAATAATTTTCTAATTTGTATAAAAATTGTTTATTTATGAATTTTGATCGTAGCAGAAGTAACTATAGTGACTAATACTAAGTATTTTAAAGAAGTTAAATTACACTCATTAGTGTGAAATTACGCATCCACGCAACACATAAATAATCGTCACCACATATTGTTTCGAAATTTATACATATTAATAACATCAAAGAGTTCATTTTACTCCGGTATTATTCTCTACCATGTGCCGTAAATTCGATTTGGATAGATGGATGGATTTTATTAGGGATGATCCTTAAGGTAGCAAATATTCGGGAGCAGGAAACATTCGAGGGCCAATTACCCGGAAAGAATTTAGCGCATATTCTGTTCCCTATATGCACCCTATAGACGCAATTACGAATTGCAATAATTGCAAATTGTTGCGAGAATTGTTACCATGGACATTACACGACGTATAACCCTAAACCTCTTTCCTTTCCTCTTTCGATGGAATTTATCTGGGGAGAGTAATGCTTTAGGGTAAACTCCGGCATGGAGAGGGAATTTCACATATTGCTTTTGGTTGTGCATCTCTATGAGATTTAACTCAATAAAATTGACACAGGCTATACGCATAGCAGTTGTGTCAAATTAAGATCAATCTTTTAGGAATGTTCCTTTGGACGAGTTCTTGTAAGAGCAGGACAGTTCCGCGAGGGCGAATTTTCATTTGCGAATACTCTGAGGGCAAATATTTCAACGGCGAATACTTCTCGGGACGAATCTTACCGGTGACAGATCTCCTTGAAGAATCTTCCGGGGTGAATTTTCCTGGGGAATATTCCGGGGGGGAATTTTCCCTGTCGAATATACTGGAGACCAATCTTGCGGGGGCAAATTTTTCGACGCGAATCTTACTTTGGCCTTGGGGGTGCATATTGTGGGGACAAGTTTTCGCGAGCTAATTGACCAGGAGGAATTTTCCGGGGCGAATCTACCCACAACCGTCTCTATACATTTGTAAATTATATTTGCATATACATATACTGCAGTCTTTTAATTTATTGAGCTTATTGTTAATAATAAACAATTATCCTACTGTTATACTGTCGATATAGTTACATACAATACAAATATAATTTTAAAATTAGCAAACACATACATATTCTTATTAATCTATTTTAATACCATTCCGCATAAGGTTTTGCCTTTGTTGTTGGTAGGAATAGGTAAATTTAAATTTTTCACTCAGCAATACAGGATTCACCTGGTCTTAAATATCAAGGTTAAGAGACTAAACAAGTTTAAAAATGCAAAACTATGTCTCAAGGTTGGGAACTTCAGAATGACTTGTAATTTTCAAGCAAAAAAAAAGATTTATAGACACATAACGCTTATTCATATGATGTGAATACATCATATGTATATAATTGTGGTTCCTCCCTAAACGTTGAAATACATAATACATGCACAGGTACACATAGCACAGGATACTGCATTCTGCAAGATACTTTAAAAGGATAATAAAAACGTATCGGAGTTTTCAAAAAAAATCAAACAGCGGATTGACATTACATTCGTTTTCTCACGAACACTTCTAACTCATATTGAAGATGAGGTCAAGAATGCTCCGCCACTTGAAGGAACAGTTTGCCCTTGAGTAGTTTTCTCTAAACTACTTCTTTGACTTTGTGAAATCATATTAAAAAAGACGAGCACCTTCTTCGAATTGAATCTGTACTTTGGAGTCGTGAAGGTATATAGTATGGGATTTATTGCCGAGTTAATGGGTAGAATAAATACAACTAGCCATGCATGTAGATCACCTGAAAAAAACGTTAACGGTTGTAGGTGGAGTAGGTATAGTCCAACGAGTACCTGATATTTCTTTTCCTAGCAGAAGAAGTACGTTGACTAACACACTAGGAAACCAGCAACAACCGTTCGTAAAGACAATGAAAAAGAAGCGAATGGCAAATTCGTAATCCTTTCTGGGAAGAGTTGTTGCACTTCTTGTTCTTAAAATACTTATAAACATAATACAGTAAACGAGAGTGATGGTAATTAAGCTAAAATCAGACGCAGTTATATGGGTAGTGCACTAATGAACCTACCTGACGAAATTTATTCCAAGTACTATAAAAGCCGAGTACTCCCATCCTACGTGGTAGGCCTGTGTTGTATGCAATGGAAGGCATAAAGCATTTAATCCGTAAAACTTCGTACTCGAATAGAACTGCAAAACTATTTCAGAACGTTGTAAGTGGGTTGCACATATCAAATGTTTTACCTGGAATAATTGCCAATCCAACTCCTAAAATCCAAATGCAGCCTAATATTAACGCACATTTTTTCACATCTATAGACGAAAAGCGACCGAACGGCACAGCTATTATAAGAAATCTTTCAACTGACATAAATACCAATAACAATACAGAAACTTCAGAGGAAACCATTGCTAGCACTCCAGCAAATGTGCATGGCCACGATGAGATCCATTCGTGGGCCACTTTATTATAAATATTACGAAATTTTAAATCGTAACCGGCAATAATAACCATGTATATGCCCATAATGAAATCGCTAGCTAATTAATAGTTACCTATATTTGCTGTGTTACAACGAAAAATACTTACCAGCTAAATTTTTGATTACCAAGCTTAAGACTTTATTCTCATCTCTAGACGTCATCCTTTCATAAATTACCATTGCATTACCGATACAAGTAACGAAGCACGTTATCCATATCGCATAACGTAAAATGGGTTTCGCCAATAGTTGGTCTACAGATGAGATACCTAACAACAAATTTTTAAAACACCGCAACGAAATAAATAGTGTATTTCAGCTAGGTTTCTGCGTGGTCTGATTAGGAAATGTTTATAGTGAATCAAAAATAATAAGACGTTGCCCTTACTGTTGTTACAGTTGTAATGTTGCATTTCCTTCTCTCTACGTCTCTCCTAACATGACTAAGAGTCAAAGTTTGGAAAATAAAGTGCTTGGTTAATGGATCTCATCTACTGCAAGTCCTCTTGGAGTCGAGGTCTAACTCTAGTCGAATTTCATTGGTTTATATACTGCTATGTTGTAAACGACCACCTTACACATTTCTCACGTGCCCAAAATACATCTCCAAACGCAGTGCACGCTCCTTAATTTTTGTAAATAAAAAAATTTATAGGCCGAAACCAACAGAGAAATAAAAAATAAGTACATATTTATTAAACTTATATTTTGCGACATCGATTGGATTGCAGTATGGTACATCGTTGTATGCCCTGTGGTGTAACTATACATGTAAGTACCTAACAGTTCACTTTTTTGAATACATGCATTCCCCTTCGTCCAAACTGTAGGGATGCTAATGCTATAATAAACAACATTATTTAAATAAATTAGTACACATGCGGTATCGTGAATGCGCTTCCTTCTTCAAAAATAAAATTTCCAACAAATGTACCTTGGCATTGAGATTGGATGCAAAGCAACTACGTTTTACCGTCCCAGTTTGGACGAGCTGTTTTTTTACACGAATGGATATAAACAATGAACTGTTATATACACCTATCTCATGATCAGGGGCGAATTATAACTGCAACTTCCACAAGAACCACATCGATTCCTATTTGTCTCATTTAATCAGGATTATCGGGAGGGACACGGTTGGTCATTTATGTAAACCGACTATCAATATTATGAGTGCTTACCATCAGATAAAGGTCGACATCTTCTCACTCGAGGAGCAAACGTGCAATAGAAGTACTTCTTAAAGTAAACCGACTTTAAGTTTGGAGTAGTTGAAAATATAGACAAATCTATATTTTCAATTTCTATTCCGTCCAAATTGCTATGTAGAAAAAAGGATTAGAAGTGATGATCAGTAGATCTCAAACATAACTTACAGGGATTGCAAATTCTCCATTTTATAAAATAAATGTCTAGGGAGGTAGTACAAAGGATTCTGCCCCAAATACCTACGGAAATATGAAATCCTTATATCACGAGTGCGTGTTTTCAAATTAAATTGACGTAGCATTTAATCCCTCAGTAACCAATATTTGTCACGTCTGTTAGTAAACGCTACTTTCAATTACAGCACAATTCAGAACTTTGTATTTCTATACGCACTTTATTACCCGACTATCTAATTAAATAAGAACTACTTACAAACTTCCAAGAGATGAAAGTGAATCAAACAGTTTGTTTGGAAGTTGAGTTAAATAGTTTCCGTAAAGGTTTCTACAAAAACATAATCTTAATTGTTTTCAAATACAGTGCGTTCGAGATAAGAGTCACCTCATATATCTTTTATTTGTCAAATATAATTTTATATGTGACATTATACGATCTATGCCATCGCATATTGAAATCACTTCCAGTGTAAGCGGAAATCGATGCATATTTTATGTTGTCATATATCAAATTGATTGCTCTTTTCATCTTAAAAAACATATAGGCATTGCATTTGAAAAAACAAAAGTTTCATCTATTTCCGGTTAAACCGGAAGCGGCATTTGATGTTTCAATATGCGGTCGGATAGATCGCAATGTCACATATAAAATTATGTTTGAGAAATTTTTCGTATCTCGCCAAGAGATTATTGTGGTGACCATCTTATCTCGAACGCACTGTAGATTGTCCAATACCTACAGCTCGCGTAAATTTTTAAGTTTCATAAACGAATTTACGCTTACGAATCTTATAACATTGTTTTTCAAACAACTAAAATAGATTGGAGTGTTAGTACCAAAAGATTTTGGAAGTTAAGCGTTACTTACAGTAATTCCAGGTTTGTTAACTGTGAAAATGTTCTTCCTTGGACCCTTGAAACATTGTTGTTACTAAGAAATCTAGAACACTTATTGTTTAATTGCTATATCTCATAAGGCCAATACTTACAACTCTAATAATTGTGGAAGTGGTGGAAAAGTTTCATTCTCTAAAGAGAGGTGGTTGTTAGAGAGATCCCTGCGTAATGGAAAAGTAATCAGAGTTCAGAAAACGAAAAATTGACAAATTTATAAAAGTATATAATAAGAAATCAATTGCTTCGTGTGCATGTGGTTATTGGTTTTGTACTGCCCTCAAACTTCTTGATTCATAAAGGTAAAAATTGAGAGTGATGGTGAAAGTTTGCCTTTCCTTACTCCGCAATCTCCTTTGAAAATTTCAGTTGTACAAGGACATTTTTGTTTTTGATATTGCTTCTGACACTGTCCAAATGATATTACGCGGAAAACTGGTAGAGCTTTTAAGATTCGTCTATAATGTGCGACACGATGTGTGAATCTGGGATGGCAAAATAAAGAATTGTGATTGAAATTGTCAATTTTTGTAGTGAAGTACATGGGAAAAGTAGCACTTTCTGGTAAGAATATTAAAAAAAAGAAGCATGTTTTCCTTACATCCACTCTAAAGATCTCAAATCATTAAACGCATCCATTTCCAAATACGTCAAATGATTATGATTCAAAAAGATCCATAAAAGGTTTATCAAACCATCGAACGACCCACGCTTTATCTCTTGCAAGTTGTTCTTCATTAAAAATCTGAAAAAAAAAACAAATAAGTGGTATGCTGGGAAAAACGTAGTGGAAGCACTCTTACAACCGTTCCATATTGGTTTGTTGAGCAAAGACTTGAGGTGCTATTGTTTGTAAAGTATTTCCTTCCAAATGCCTAGAATATTTTTGTTATCTTTGCATTACTTTATTGTGTAATACGTACAACACCTTTAAGTTGTAATTTGCAATTGAAGCTGGATTTATCACTCCTATACTGTTATTCGACAATATTCTACAAATGAACAGATTTAGTAGTCTGGACACTAATTTAGCATATAAAATCCATATAGCAGTAATCATGTAGCAAGAACAATAATTATTATTGATACAAAATTCAGGCTACTGCATGTCGATTCAATGCATCAGAATAAATGTAAAATGCAATAAAAGTGTTATAAAACTGGTTTATCCTATTTCAGGTATCTCATCCGACTGAACTTATAGAAAATACGAGAGCTTGAGAATAAACTGAAAAGAATTTAAGAGACTTGAAACGGAGGGGAAATTAATAAGCATTTATGAAGAAATTCAGTGAGCGGGGCCTGCAGATAACTTGAAGAAAAAACCTTAGACGAACTTGAGAAGAACTATAAGAAACACTTTTATGGGAGCACGTGATTTAAAGAGAAACTGAAAAAGAAGTTTCGAAGCGAACGTGAAAGTAATTAGAGGAAAACTTAAAAGGAACTTGAGAAAAATTTGATAAAGACTTTAGGAAAGTTAAAAAATATATTTAAATGCAGTTAAGGGAAACTTGAGCTAGGAGAGCATGCTTCAGAGGAACGTGAGGAAAACATGATATGAGAAATTTGAAAGAAACTTTGAGTTTACATAGAAACTGATAATCAAAATAATTCATCCACAAATGAAATACAAAATTGCTCCTATAAAATTTGACACAACTTAGTGTAATCTTGTATTTCTTTTGTTAGTACAAGATGCAAGTTTGTGTTCGTGTTTGACCCATGAAGTTAATATAATAATCAAATATCAGAAATATGTAGGTCATGGAGGGTACACATATCGTTTCGCATAGGGTCCAATGTACGACTAATACCTACCTACGCCTCTGTGAACAGAGTGAAAAGTTAGGTAAGTATATAGGATTATTCGAATAAAGCTAATTTACTGTTACTGACAAGTTTGTTCTACTTGCATACGCATTAAAACATCTCATTAGTTAACTCCTCTAAAATTTCCCAACTCCCTCAGTATTATTCTACTATAAAATACTTACAAGTGGCTGACGTTGTCAGATATTCCAATGGGAATTTCGGTTAAATTCCTATTCTTACAAACGATCCGAAACTGTAGTATACATAGGCAACCCTTCGGAAAACCTGTTAGACCTAATTTGGATTAGGTGCACCTTAATTCTGTATGTAGATGTTAGTGTGAACTTACTACAAAGAGGATACAGATTGTGATAATCAAACTTTTTGGCGGAACTTTTGCTTAGGGTCCGTGATATCATGTTTAAACTGCCACTCAGATTAGCTGCATACGAATATCTGTGTTTATTTAAATGAAAATTGACAACAATTATATTTACCGCACAATGCGGGATCCTCGTCATCTCCTTCTGTGCAATCCTTGTGAAAATTGCATACATTTCGTTGGGGTACGCAAGTGGTGCTATTATAACATGGAAATGTTCCGATCGGACACGTGTCTGTAACAAGTATTTGTACAACTCCAAACTTCTTAAGCAATTCCCAAATTGTACTATATTGGAACACTCCCGAGGGAAATTTTAGGAAAGTAGATAGTTTATTGAAACGCAGTCGTATGCAAATTGAACTTGTATTGGTTTGAGTAATTAATTTCCGAATCACTTTTAATTTGGCGTATTGTTTAATTAATGCTAACAAAGTTATTTTCAAAATGCTACAGTTCCAAACTCAGAATTGGAACTGAAAAACTGCATTAATTTAAGAAAGTTAATATCTCATTGCCAGAGGAATGGATAAAAACAAATCAAAATTTTTCCTATTAAGGGTGCCCTTATAACTTTTAGTTTGTGACAAGTATGGGTAGGTATAGATATCAATGGTCTACGGTATTATTATACTACAAATTACCTTTACTCCAGAAAAAAATTGTAACTGCATATATAATAACAAATATCACCACAAAACTACCAACTAAAATAATTTGCCAATAATGCATTATCGCACGTATTTCATGGATGAAAACTTGAGGCAAACTGGCACGCTTCCACTATACGTTTGCGTCTTTATACCTGACAGAGTCTATCGTGTTATCTACCCAATTACGAAACTTTTAATTTTGATTAGGTGTGCTTGAAAAAAGTTATAGGAAGATGTATCTAAAATAGAATATTAAAAATAGGAACAGGAATGCAACATAAAATTGGAATTTCTTATTGTAGATCAATAGAAATTTCATATAATCATTTGCTTGTTAGTCATCGAGATTTTTGAGTTACAATCTTTAACGTACAGCACAAACTTCTTTCTTACTGTAGGATAGTAGGTGTCATCAGTATATTAGACCATCACCTTTGAATAATAAACGGTGGACACTGATGTGATCTCATTTCAGTAGCGTAAATTGTTTCATTTTTTTATGGACGATTTTAGTCAATATATGTACAACAAAACGAGATGCATAAGACCACCATACACCGAGAAAAATTTAAAATATATTAGCCACAGCAAGTTTTCTGCATTAAATAGTTCTTAAATGGGCTCTCTACTTGCCACAAATAGAGTCATTTTGCTATGACGCACCTATTTGCTGTCAAGACTTATTGCCACTAATAGATGCGTTTATTTGCTTCTACAAAAAGTTTATTTGTGGCAAATAAGGTGCTCTATTTGTAGTAAATATATAAACTGCTACTATATTTCATTACTGATGAGTGTTTTACTATTTCCTGTAATAAAACTATCCGTGGGCCCAGGGTTAGAATTGACCCACTGCCGCCCTGCAGGTCGAAGAAGGCGACCAATGGGACAGGATGCGGCTCGTCCAACCGTGTCCTGAAATACCCTTAATCTGTTCCAATTCTTAGATTTCCATCCCATATAAACCTACCTAATGGTCTGAAGATCCTTTCTGCATCTGTCTTCAAGAGATTCCCTAAAAAATGTTGAAAAATTTATGCTAAAAGGCCATAGAAACTACAACAATAACGATACAAGGAACAATAGAGCCAGTGGTGAAATGTCCATGTCTAAAGTCAGATATTCCTGCAAAATAATACTCCAATTCAAGCTATTGCTATTCAAATTGATATACCAATTAAAGCAACAATATGCAACATCTACCTACCAGAATTCGACTGGAATTTAAATGAAATCGAAAATCTAGCTAGCAAACCAACTTCTGACACCATTCATACTACTGGGAGATTTTAACGCGCACTCGACTGATGTATGGGGTTCGCACACGATTGATAGACGAGGCGGTACAATCGAAGTTTTTATGGAAAACAACAACACTATTGAACACTGTTCCCCAACTCACTTGAATCATTGAATAAAACATTCAATGCTAGAATGTAAGATGGAGAAACTTTACGGCCATTGATTTATTATCATTTTGCACTCCTAACTTAGCATCCAGTCTCAACTGGAGTACGAATGATGACTTTCACAATAGTGACCATCGCCCAATTTACATTTATTTACCCAATAAACGTGCAGATGAGGAATGTCCAAAAAATGGACGATACAGGATGCAAACTGGTCGCAATTCTCTGAAATAATTAATTCGATGTATAACAAAAATGATACTGCTAATGGGCCTTAAAACCGTAATAACAGAGGAAATGCAGTTAAGTACAACAAATAATATCATAAATCTCCAACCCTTGAGAATCTCATTGCATTTAAAAAAAAAGCACGTGCTAACGCGCGGAAAATAATAGTTTCGAGCAATCGAGACTCATGGCAAATGTATGTCTCTACCACTAATTCTAACACTCCATCAACAGAGGTCTGGAAAAAAATAAAAAAGATTGCCGGAAAAGAGTATCAAAAACCGCCAAGACAATTAAATATTGGTCACCGAATAATTAGCGATCCTGCGGAGGTAGTGGAAACCTTAGCAGAACACTTCAAATCTGTTATGAGTTCTCAACAATACAGTGAACATTTCCTAAGGATAAAACAACAAAATGAAAGGGTTTTTTGATACCGAACAAGATCTGGACTACAACAAACCTTTCTCGCTTGATGAATTAGAAATCGCTTTACAGAAATCCAAAGATTCTTCTCCAGGCCCAGATAATGCTCACTATGCCATGTTGAAACATCTCCCAGCAGCTGGAAAAGAAAAACTTCTATAAAAATATATAATGAAATATTCACACATGCTACGTACCCAGAAAACTGGCGCGAGGCAATCGTAATTCCCGTTCCTAAACCAGGAAAGGATTTTACAAAACCTGAAAATTATAGGCCGATATCGCTTACGTCCTATGGATACTAGAAACGAAACAATTACTTACCTTCCGTCAAACTGGTTTTTGTCCTTATCACTCGGAAATGGATCTCTTAGTAAAGCTGGAAAATCATATATTAGATTCGTTCTTGCGTAGGGAATGCAATACCGGGATTGCAACCGAGATCCCGCAGCATTTTTGCGAGATTAATCCCGCACATAAATGGAGCGGGATCCCGCGGGATTTGCGGGACTGAGGAATTTGTCGACCAAGGGGACGACTCTGTTTACTTTGTTAATGAAACTGATAACGGTGAATTATTTTTTGGTGAATTATTTTTTAAATAATTGTTAAACTTTTTTCGTTAAAAATGTACTATGATTTTTGAGGCACTTTAGAAGACTTGTTGTGCTTTACAGGTAAGGTTTTTTTGAGTTCTAAGTTAGGCCGAAGGTACTTTTTTGTTAAATATTGTGATAATTACCTAGCGATTTATTTTAATACAGAAGTTAACCGCACAGAATTGCTTATTTGCCAATTTATTTAAAGTTTTGCGGAATCCCGCAAATTCCGGGATCCCGCGGGATTAACATTAACAATCCCGCAAATACCGGGATTGAGATTTTGCTGCGGGATTGCATTCCCTACTAGAAACCAATTTCGAAAGAAAATTCAAAGGGCTATAACTGTTGAAATAGTAGCCCAATCTTGGAACTGTTTGAAATTATGGATTCTACAGGCCACATTCTATAAGAAAATTTTTTTCCGGGTCGATCTGAGACAATTTTTTTTGAGGGCCTCAAAAAAAGGAAGTGTACAACCTTCCTTTTTTACCAAAAATCGACTGCGCCAAAATTTCTCGGGAAAACACTTTTTCTTATTTATTTTGGTGCGTAGAATCCAAAACAATTCGTACTTTTTCGATCAGACTTCTCAATCAAAAGTTATAGACTAGAAACCAATTTCGAAAGAAAATTCAAAGGGCTGTAACTTTTGAACTAGTAGCCCAATCTTGGAACTGTTTGAAATTATGGATTCTACAGGCCACATTCTATAAGAAAACTTTTTTTCCGGGTCGATCTGAGACAATTTTTTTCAGGGCCTCAAAAAAAGGAAGTGTAACCTTCCTTTTTTACCAAAAATCGATTGCACCAACATTTCTCGGGAAAACACTTTTCCTTATTAATTTTGGTGCGTAGAATCCAAAACAATTCGTACTTTTTCGCTCAGACTTCTCAATCAAAAGTTATAGACTAGTAAAGAAACCAATTTCGAAAGAAACTTCAAAGGGCTGTAACTTTTGAACTAATAGCCCAATCTTGGAACTGTGTGAAATTATGGATTCTACAGGTCAGGTCCCGAAACACCGGGATCCCGTAGTATTTTTTGCGAGATTAATCTCGCACATAAATGGAGCGGGATCCCGCGGGATTTGCGGGACTGAGGAATTTGTCGACCAAGGGGACGACTCTGTTTACTTTGTTAATGAAACGCATAACGGAGAAGTTATTTTTTAAATAATTGTTAAACTTTTTTCGTTAAAATGTACTATGATTTTTGAGGCAATTTAGAAGTTCACCTTTTTGTGCTTTATAGGTGAGGTTTTTTTGAGTTCTAAGTTAGGCTGAAGGTACTTTTTTGTTAAATATTGTGATAATTAGCGATTTATTTTAATACAGAAGTTAACCGCACAGAATTGCTTATTTGCCAATTTATTTAAAGTTTTGCGGGATCCCGCAAATTCCGGGATCCCGCGGGATTAACATTAACAATCCCGCAAATACCGGGATTGAGATTTTGCTGCGGGATTGCATTCCCTACTAGAAACCAATTTCGAAAGAAAATTCAAAGGGCTATAACTTTTGAAATAGTAGCCCAATCTTGGAACTGTTTGAAATTATGGATTCTACAGGCCACATTCTATAAGAAATTTTTTTTCCGGGTCGATCTGAGACAATTTTTTTTGAGGGCCTCAAAAAAAGGAAGTGTACAACCTTCCTTTTTTACCAAAAATCGACTGCACCAAAATTTCTCGGGAAAACACTTTTTGTTATTAATTTTCGTGCGTAGAATCCAAAACACTTCGTACTTTTTCGATCAGACTTCTCAATAAAAAGTTATAGACTAGAAACTATAGGGAATGCAATACCGGGATTGCGGGATCCCGAAATACCGGGATCCCGCAGCATTTTTGCGAGATTAATCCCGCACATAAATGGAGCGGGATCCCCGCGGGATTTGCGGGACTGAGGAATTTGTCGACCAAGGGGACGACTCTGTTTACTTTGTTAATGAAACTGATAACGGCGAATTATTTTTTAAATATAATTGTTAAACTTTTTTCGTTAAAAATGTACTATGATTTTTGAGGCACTTTAGAAGACTTTTGTGCTTTACAGGTAAGGTTTTTTTGAGTTCTAAGTTAGGCCGAAGGTACTTTTTTGTTAAATATTGTGATAATTAGCGATTTATTTTAATACAGAAGTTAACCGCACAGAATTGCTTATTTGAGATTTTGCTGCGGGATTGCATTCCCTATTCTTGCGTATAGAACACCTCATTGCAATAGCGTTTCGCTTGGAGAAGGCATACGATCTGACATGGAGGTATAATATACTTTAAATTATATATGGTTGGAGATTCAGGGGAAACTTACCTGTTTTTATTGAAAAAAAATTATTAGAAAAAAATGGCGTTGCTAGGAGAAATTTTCCCCCACACTATTGTGGGGTGGCACCAGCTGAAAAATGTATGACGCAAGAGGTCTGACGAACACAGCGCTTTCTTTTAGAACTGATCGGATGCAATGGTGGTAGTTGACATCGCACCCTCCGAAAGTCTAAGGCTTTTTTGAAAAATCTATATAATGGCGCTAGCTGAACCCTGAACTCAAAGGGTCGCGATATAGACAAAACAAAAAAGGGATTGCAAAAAGCAACACACCAGTTCTTTCTTCGGCGCGGTAACTCGAGAACCAAAGCAAACCTTAGAATTTTGTTTTCGGCAACAAATACCTGATGACTAAAGTTTGACAAAATCCTTCGCTCAGCATTCTAACAGGGGCCGAAAGGAGGTTTTTGAAATTCGAACAAAATTACTAGATACACTTATACCTTTTGCTACTCATAAATTGCATATATAATGTCAAAGGTTGCTGAGAATAAGAGCTGACGAGTCTGATTTAGGAAAACAACGTCACCCAATGTGACCAATGTTATCCAAAGATTGGTGATGGAGAAATCAGTGCAGTAAATACCATATTATTAGCAGTAAAATGTCTGAACTGATTCCTTGCCAACTGAGATTTTTTACTAAATTTCAAACTGTCAAAAAGTAAGTTGTATATAAAATTTACCAATAGTACGGACATATATATGTTTATTAAAGCCCATAGGGTAGGTTCATTCTTTGTATGTTTTTCAGAAATAATTCTACATAATCACGTTTTGGGACTGAAATGCCTCAGAAAAACATACAAAATGATTCTATTCTACATTCTATATATCGAGCATAGCACAATTACAATTAGCTGTTAGCATAAATCCAAAATCATTTCGAAAAAAATTGTGAGTACAATTTGTGGGTGTATCCTAGTGTGAGGGATTAGTTATTCAAATTATTGTGTAATGTCCCGTACAAAAATATCAAATGGCTGTTTTGTGCATTCATCTACAAAATACCTGAACACGATACACAAAAAACAATATACAATGTAAAAAATCTTATAAAATATGAGCATTTATAAATATCACAATAAAAGGCGCATTCAACTACTCTAGGTGTATACATTTTTAAAAATAATAAGCATACAAAGAGATTGGTGAATTGAGAGCTGCATTAAGACTTAGCATCTGTGTAGGAGTAGACAGGATACATAGGGGAATAATGCTGGCGATTATCTGCATACATCACATACTCGTTATCACCCTTCTCTCTAATTGAGCTGGTTCCAAACTGACTCTCGGCAAATGTAGGAAGTGCTACAATATTGTTAACGTTACAGTTTCAAACATAAAGAAAAATATGCATACCAGGATATATGTTACCATTATTCACCCATCCCATCGTTGGTGCCTTTGAGTCATTATCGTTAGATGGAGTTAGATCTGTGAAGTCTTCGGGTTCTATATTAATCTTTGTGCTAATTGGAGTTGGAGCACTCGATGATGGTCCAAGTGGAGTAGTGCCAATGGTGATGGGAATTTTGCCTGTTAAATTTGTATGAAAGCCGGATATATTTAATTCGACCTAGAAAGTAAAAGTTACTTCAGTTAAAAATTTGATATAGCATACATATAGTTCATAATCCAGATCTATGAGGTTGCAGTTTGTGAGATTTGAGGGTGGTATGGGCGGTATTACAATAGGTTGATTGTATGTGTTAGACCCATGTGGAGTTGTGGAGCCCACTTTAATTTCAGCAATCACTTTTACATCTTTCTTGCTCTCCCGTCTAGGCGTTTGTGTGTGATAGGTTACTATCTGGATACAAAATTAGCAATCATGGCAATTGTAAACTATAAATCAAAATTACCTTACGCAGCGAGACTTGAACATTTGTGATTTCAATGTTTGATATATTATCAACATCTAAAACTACAGGAATAGTTTGTCCAGACACATACCCAGTACGTGGTATGGAAATAATGCATGTAAGAGGGCCTGATTTGCAACAGAAGCAGCAAAAGTATTTTTCTAATGCCAAACGTGTAGGTTCTTTTAAACGAGGGTTCGAATTTAAATCCAGTGGAGAAAGAACAGTAAATGCTTTCTTGGTTTCATGATCAAATTTCCAAGGTCTATCAAAAGTAACCTTAATTATGTAACGAACATATCCATAATCCCCCTCAAATGAAGATGGTAGACTAGGAGGCAACACACATGTAAACGGGTATGAGTGATGTCCAGGAGGTATATCCACCTCATCACCTAAAAGAAATATCACCATTAGCCAATACCAACATACTTAATATAAACAAACCTTGACCACCAATTAAATAATACTCTATTTTGAAGTACTCTTCGTATCCATTAAGTTCAATTCTTTCGTTCTCTTGTTTACCATCATTGTTTGTTCTAGATTCTTCTACAAACCAATTAGTGTTCGAATCTCCTTTAAATAAGATCGATACTCCTTAAAGACCAGGTGAATTAGATAATATTAGCACAACAATTCAAACTATAACTACCTCTTACTTTCTTGGGGGAATCTAAATCAAATTCTACTCTACCAGTAACAGTTTGACCGACATAATAGGTACCCCAATTGTTCTCCAATATAATTTCACAAGATTTTAAACCCATTTCCACAAGAAATAGTAATACCGACAATACTAACTGCGGTGGCTGTAATGTGTGGAGAGTATTCAAATTCTTAATTTGTTAAAACTTGGGGGGTAGGTACATATGTGGGTGGGAGACCTTCACTCTCCTTCAAATTTCAAAGATCTCTGAAGAGGTTAAAACATTTCAATAGAAGTTAAGACTATTCCATTCTGTGGATGTTGTAATCCAGGGATGGACTTTAGGGGTGACGACCCTAGATTATTCTTTATTTCAATGGCAGGACCTCAGATACAACAGATTCTCTTCTATGTAAACGCCACATTACCTAGTTTAGGCAACTTAAATAACGCTTATTTACAAATATGGCTTACTCTTGCATAAATTTAACACCAAAATTACTTTGGTTTCCGGTTTGTAATTATTGATAGCGCTGGGTCATTGCTTCAGTATTACGTGTTTATTTTTGTAGACACACAAAAATTGGAAATGAAAAGTTTAATAAATTATTGCAGTACGAGTAGGGACTACTTATTTTACTTACTTACCGTATTAATCATCTCATTAAATGCCCATTAATTATAAAAACCGGGAATCCGATTGAAAATGGCCCATTATTGAGGTTGCAAACGGTAAGAAATACCAAATAATTAGATTGGGGAAAAAGAAAATGAAGGAACGTATAGAAACAATATAATATATTGTTTTCAGAAAATACAGAGTGTAGCCAACAAGCCAGTGAACACTCAAAAAGGGCAATTTTTAACTTGAATGTCTCATTTACTGTTAGAGATTTGGGAAAGTTAAAAAAAGGAAATGGCAGAATGCGGTCAAACAAATCTTCTGCCGCATAGTTTCCGTGTTCATTATAAAACCTTTGTTTTCCTCAGGTATTTCCTGAGGTATTTCTATTCCATTCTTGAAATAGATGCCTAATAAACATTGGTAGTTTTACGAATTATGTTAATGCTGTAATTAGTGACCTTTTGTCTAGAAAATTTGTCATTAATGGCGTAGGTAAAGAAAAAAATTAAGATTGCGTAAATAATTCTGTCATAAAACTCACAATAGTTTTCTAAATGTAAACCTTGTGAGGTATACGTAAACTCCCACTGCAAAGTTCGAACTTTCTACAGCGGGACAAAAAATTTTCTGCTACCCGATATTAATTTAACTACCCAAGTTCTATATCTTGTGACGTCTGTAAATGCACTATGCACACAGAGATATAAAGATTATTAGGTAGAAGAAACATATTAGGTACCTACTTTCAATTCTGTACCTCAGAGGTAAAGTATACTAAGTCACAAATTCAAAACTACAGAAAACCACATTATAAGAAGCACAAAGGAATAATTTGACCTTATTAACCTATACATTTGATTACTTTCATCATGAAGAACCATGTTACTTAAGTTTACATATGTACAGTCGAATTTTTGAAATTTTATCAAAAATTTTTGTTTTACGGGACTTAGTACTGTCATAGACTAAAAAAACCCAATTAGTCCATGGTACTGTTTACCTCTTATGAATTGTTTCGAATGATGGACTTATTATTGTTATGTGTAAACCAATTTTAAAACATTTCTGCTCGAAAAGGGGAAGCAAGCATGTTTCACCATGTACAGGGCGTGGAGAATTTTTTTCCTGTATGAAATCACGACTCAGATTAGAAAAAAAATCTATTTATTTGATAAACAACTTATAATTCAATAATTTTATTGAAATTAAAAAATATATCAATACTGTTCAACTATTCATCTTCTTCGTTGTTGTAAGAAAGAAATGGTCATCATTTTGTAGAAAATTTCCTCCATAAACGATAAGAAACAAGTACACATTTTTTCAGGATTAAAGCAGATTTTTAATAAAACACTTAAATTGAAAAATGACAGCCATAAATGGGATATTATAAAAATAATAAATAAACAAGTATAAATTGTGCACAACCCTTGTGCAGATAAAGCGCATTTTTGTTTAACCGATATAGCTTAGTAAATGGTTGGGTTATAAGGGGAGGAGGCTCTTTACACACAAACATTTAAAGACCGCCTGGCATACATTCAAAATTCTCCGAGACTCCATTCTGCAGATTTTGCCTATGAGAGTACGTTCCTCCGACAAACCGTTTTCGAGATATTCGCTCTTAAAGTTTTGACATCACCAATGGATATATTTCTTGCAGATGTTCCAATCGCCCTTTGTGAGTCCCCTCTTCCGATAATCCGTCCTGGAGATATAAGGGAATATATCCGAACACGATAAGAAGTCGAGGAGGAGGACTATGGTTGATAGAAATTAATTCCTTTCGTTGAGACCTTTCATTAGGGCACCATGAAGCAGGGGGAGTTTTATACATCCACTCAGGGGGGGGGGGGGCGAAAATAAAAAAGCTACAGAATTTCAGATGCAGAGGTGCGCAGGAATTTTTTTTGAGTAGCTTTGACCCAATTTCAGCTGTTTTTTTTGTTAAACTATCTATTGCCGCATTAATTTCCGAATACTGACGAAAGACAGAAAAAATACGAGAGGCGATAATGATAGTGCTAAAGTATAGTCATGAGTCGCAGTCTGGACAATACACGATTCCGCCCCCCGCCGGCATTATTTTGTGTACCTATTTTAATCAATTTTACTTTTCCGTCAGGTGGTTTGTGGTTAGGTCTGTTTAATTCGATTATATAAACCTAATGAAATAAAAAAAAACAATTGAGCAGTATGTTTAGGGGGGGGGGCGATCGCCCCTGTCGCCCTCCCAAAAAACCGCCCCTGCCATGAAGGATAAAACCAGTTCCACTCCCATCTCAGGAAATAATTGATGGGGGGGGGGGGGGGCTTTAAGACAGCGAAATTTGATAGCCATTTGGAACACCTTCAAGGTATATGGCTACCTACTGCAAAAATTCCTGGACTCTTGAAGTAGTTCGAAACGGCAGAAGTGGGTCCGAACGGACGGACGGACAGACGGACAAAACGCAAACAATAGCACATTTTTTTTCTTTTTAAATTCACTAAAAAACCTGAAACATATTCCTTATAATGTACTAAGTCCATCAAAACAATACAACTATTGATACTAAGTCCACTTATTACAGTTTACCTCGCAATGTTACTGCGACTAAGTACTGTTTAAAATTCGCTAACTCTGTTGTTTATCATCAAATATCCATATATTTCGTGTAGAACAACAAAACTTATGTGACTTAGTACAAAAAAGCAATTTTTGGGGAAAAATGGACAGTTTGCCTCTGAGGTACAGAATTGTAAACATAATTTTTTACCCTTCGATGTAGATATCGTCCGTGTTAAAGGTTCAATTCGATTTCTATGTCTATGTTGTGTAATAAGATCTTTCTCGTTTCTTTGGTGGTTGAGGATGAATATATCTTTAGAGTCGGTATACCCTTAGTGTATTCTAACACTATGGTATAGCGGACCTATAGCGGAGACGGACATCAGGGCGCCGCCGAAAGGGGCCGAGACATAGGTAAAGGAACAAGGACAAACCGGCGCGAGACATAAGGGAGCTTAAAACAAATGTAAAATTTGTATATATTTTTGAGTCGGTATAGCGATACAACGTAGGACTGTAGGAGATCTCTGGAAAACATAAGAGTTGGTAAAATAAAGTTAGTTAGGGAGGTATTGCATTGGGGTAAAAAATGACCTCCAAATTTTTTGACGGAATTAAACGTTTTGAAGCACCAGGAATCCGAATCAAACAAAATATCGATGATGTCGGTCTATATCTCATTTGAACCGATTGGAACCAAACTTGCTACACCACATATTCTTAGACTTAAAAGAAAGGACCAAAAAGCATTTGGGCAGAGCGCATGAATACATAAACGAGTGCAGCGGAGCTATACACTACAACGTGTGTATAATCAATGCTACAACCTATGCCAAAGAAACATTCACACTAGCCTCAAACGTAAGCTACCACAAGACCTGATAACCTCTGAAGAAAGGAGTGACTAACACATCCAATCACAACAGTATTGTTATTCTTAAGACGCAACAAATGTTATAAATGTCTATAATGGTGTCAATGTGGCAACCCTAGTACCAATGCGAGTCGAGTGAATATAAAGCAATCCTATTTACTGGCTCAAGATACTCGGTTTTAGCAACTTGTACGTGTTACTAGCGTCGTGTAAAGTAACCTATTTTTTAGAGAATATTCTGTGCCGCACCCATATGTCTTCGCACCCTGATGTCCCGTGCCCGTTTGTCTTTGTGCCCTTATGCCCACGCGCCCTTTCGGTAGCGCCCTAATCTCCTAGACCGGCGTATAACAACACCACTGCGTCAGGGTTTTCGTTATTTCTGTTTGTGCAGTCGCTCCTATTTGCCCATAATTGATATCAATTCAGTTTAAATAGATCAAGGGTCAATTACATATTTACTGCTCGATTTAGTTTGTTCAGAACGTCATGGCTCTGTAAATTTGATTTGTACCTACATATTTCTTTAGCCCCTTTCACCTAGTCTTTTTCACAAAAAACCCTAACGGCCAGTTGCACAAATAAATAATCCAGGATTATTGTTTAATCCGGTATTAAGACATTTGATTGGCTTTATATTGCAGTAGGCAGCCAATCAAATGTCAAAATTCTCGTTTAAACTCAGATTTGGCAAATAATCTAGGATTTTGATTACAATTCGCTTCAGGGCCGTCTTTACCGGGGGTGCAAGGGGTGCAGGGCACCCGGGCGCAGGACCTTAAGGCATAAATCGTGATACTACAAATTAATACATTTTTGAATAATCTCGAAAATTGGAGTAAATTGGAAATGCAAGAAATAAAATGTTTTAATCTACAAGAAAAATTAACAAGTGGTACATAGATCTGACATAGATGGGAAAGATCTATTCAATGAACTAGAATTACTGCCAATATTTTCTATAAATAAAGATAAAACTCCATTACCTAGATGTTTTAAATTTTATATATTCTAATAATTTAATGTCTGTGCTTCCTAACTTGCCAGTAGCTTTAACTTTTAAGAATAAGTATATTTAACACTCCCAGTGACCGTAGCGTAGCTGAAGGCGAAAGGTCGTTTTCCAAATTAAAATTAATTAAAAATATTTACGGTCCATTATGACCCAAGATAGGTTGACAAATTTGGCCATTATTAGCATAGAATCTGAAGTTAATATTAAAATGCACTTGCCAATTCAAAAGCTCGAAAAATTGACTTTGATGTATATAGGTACCACTTAATTAAATATAGTGTACCTATTGACGTATTGTGATTTTAGCTTGTTTGATGTATTTGCATTGTATTTTTTTATTGACAGGGGGGCGCAGGCTGACCATTTGCACCCCGGCGCAGAATATGCTTGAGATGGCCCTGATTCGCTTTCCTGCAATCGGCCGTAAGCTAGTTGAAACATGAACGTTTTGTTTAATTTTATATAAGTAGGTACATATAACTTAAAGTGATAATAGTTAGGAAAGTAAGTGTAACTAAACTAGGGCACATTAAAAACCCAGTGCTATAAATAATTATTGTCATTTTATAGTAGCGCCTGTAGCTTAGTGGACTGTATGTATACCTATCCACTACAAATAAATATTCCATTTTATTTAAGCATTGAATAAAAAAAAAGTGGTTTTTATTCAATGATTTAAGTATTTAATCCATATCTTTTACGTTCCCCCTTTACCTATAAGTACGCTGAAATGAATATACTCATTGCATAATGAAAATTAAATATATTTTCAACGAACGATTTGTAAGTAAGAATCGTATTTATTGCTATTAATTTTATATAGATTGGTATAAATTCAAACATATAAATTCTAAATAATCGTGTGAAGTTTAAATAGTATCACATAGCTTTAGAATGCAATTCGAGAAGGTGCACTTGTGACGAAAAATACATGAGAAGTTAATTTGTGAACGATATGCGATTTCTTTGCATTAATTGCAAGCACTAGGTCTACAATTTTACGTTTGTTAGTCACACTACGATACTATGTCTATTTGATTTTTGGTCAGGGGTGTATTGTTCGAGGTCTTCAGGCTGCGTATTCAACGCAGAATAATCTATAGGAAACAAGACTGATGGAATTGGAGCCGGTGAAAATCCCAAAAGAAACTGTCCTGATCCATTAGGATATCTTCCCAGTAAATAGTTGGCGAAGCACAAACGATAGGCACGGTAACCCAATGGATGGTCGCCATTCTAAAACAAGAGGTTTTTTAAACTATCAATTTCATAATTCCTTACGGAAGTCATAGCTTGATATGCTACATCTAATATTTCGCCAACTCTAATAGCATCAAAACCCAAGACTGACGAATAGAATGCACTTAATTCGTCACGCGAAATTATACCAGAACCTAAAAATATCGTAACACACAAACCTAATAAAGTTTAATTACTTCATTAAAGCCTAGATACTTTTGCTACAAACCGCTTCTGTTGATAACTTGAAACAGAATTTTCACCAAATACTGCAGCCAAATCGGGAAATCAGTCAGATTTCTAGATGTGGAAAGTAATTGTGCCCATTTATGTAACCAGCCGTCTTTGGTAATAAATATCTGATTGTTAACTTTAAATCCTAAGAATGAAACGTTGAATCAATATTATCCGAATACAACCGATTTACCTAATCTTTCATCTGTGATATCTTCTAAAAATGTATCCATAAATCCCCTCTCAACTTGCTGTAAGATATTAAATTCTGCGGAATTAATGGACCAATCCGCAAAATGTCGCAATCTCTATTATTTAAAAACTATCCATTTAATTGTCACATGCATATACGTTCCGAAATAAGATTACCTCGCTTAAAGATTCGAAGTCTTGATCGCTAACGAGATCATCCCTGTCGTGATCTAAAAGGCATGTAAAAAAATGATTAAGTTTATAGCTCTGCGTCTGTGTTAATTGATATTTTTCTTCATCTTCCCACTGATGCGAAGCGTCTATACTGAACCTATCAACCCATGTTGCTGAAAAAGATTAAACGATCAACTTTTACTCATCTACGTATCGAAAGTGTTGCGTTTCATCAACGCTAACGATATTATACGTAGCCATCAAGTGAAACGAGAGGAATGCTTTTCAGTAAACTTAATCTCAGAATTGAAACCTATATGCTCCTACCGATTCGCGTAATGATATGGTTTTCTAAATCCTTTGGGTAAGTAATGCGCGAAAATTTAGTTAACGAATTATTCACGTTGAGTTTTGGTTCTCCTGGGAGTTATTTTGGGTTTGATTTGTATGGCCCAGGTAGAAATTCAATAATTTTATTTCAGTTTCAAATTGCAAAATGTCACGATCTTTTTATGTGGCATGTGGAATTATATTTAATCGGCGCTATCAATATTTGCGATTTATGTTAACATTCAGGCACGATAATACACACTATGTAAAAAATCAATACTAGTAGTATAGGGTTCCAATGATAATCTTGCAGCGTTATCTTAAGTATTATGGAGGTATAATAAGAAAAAATTCAATGAAGCAGTTACAAAATTGGAACTGTCGTTAGGAGTGCCTACACCATAAATCAACATACCTACACTTTTTTTCCGCACTGCAGCAAATTTAGGCGTTTTCTATGTTATTGATTTAATCATGAAATAAGATGAAGTAACGTAACTGATTTCATGAATATTTTTACTATTAATCGATCGTAACTTTAAAGCTTATATGATGGAATGGGAAAGAAGTGCGTGACTCGGAACAAATACGAAGCTTTTGGGCATATGCGGCTTTTTGAGAATAAGCACATACCTAAAATTGTCTTGAGCCGATTTAAAATAAGTAGTTGGAATGCATTTAAGGTTTGTTTGCCGTATTCTTAGTGCAGGAGTGTAAGTGCAGTCGAAAATTTAAAACATACGTACTCCAAACGTGGACACTCCATCCACTACCTTCTTGGCCCTGTGATTTTTCAACATTTTTATTTTCTTCACATTCCGGTAAAGTTCTCCATCTTTTTAACAAATCGCGCGTTCTATCTCTAGTTCGATCACAAGCTTGTTTCCAATTTGCTATGAATTTATGAGGCACTTTGGAGGATGGATCCAAGCCACTTTTCAAAGAAGCCGAATCATGTTTTTCAGAGGATTTGTCTTTAAAGGAAGTATTTGCAAAATGTACATCTTTCTCCGATTTTATACTTCCCGTATTACTGACCCTTTTTTCTAAACTTTTTGTACTTTTTATGCTACTACGTGATCCAGAGAGCTCTTTAATATTACCTTCCGGTGCCGCTTTTGTACTTTCATTAATTAAATTGTTGCTTTCCATCACTAGTAGGTACCTGAATTTCTTATTGTCGTACCTTATTGACCATTAGGATAGAAATTCATTCATTTTGGATCTTATAAACATACGAGTGAAATTTCGATTTAAAATCACTTTGGCCGCTTTACTCTAAAATGCAAAAGTAAGTCACAGAACACTAAATTTTCAAACCTATACCGTTGCATTATGATTGACTTGAATAATATGTTGAAATTTTCATCAAAAATCCATAAATGAACTTACGCCTGTATAAATTTGATAATATACACCAAATTGAGTCAGTCATCGTGCACACGTTTTAGCTAAAATATCGCATTGTCTCTACGGGCGCCGCAATGAGTATCGCACGAAATGAGGACATACCCCGTTTATTATTTGTAAGACTTCTCCGTTTATTTCAACGAAGTTTGTATTAACCCTCTTTATTTAGTCGCGTTTGCGCCGTCTCGACGTGATACTACCAAAGACACCAATGAAAATGTAGCAACGGATTGCACACGCCAAATCAATATACAGAGGGACTTCCAAAAAATTTAAAATTAATCATAAACTTTTACCTCCATATCCTTATTTGAAGAGTTCAATCGAAACATTTTGTGCATCTTTAGGTGAATTGAATTGATTTTCCTGTATCTGTATTAACACGTTTTTTTTTAGTTGGATCCATCGTTCCTCGAAATGGGGGTTGACCATTTCAATTTTGATAACATAATGTATTAACACGGTCTATAGAATACCCTTTAGTTTTCTGAATACTCTTGATAGTTAGGTATAATAATTTGTCGCAAAAAGAAGGGGGTAGGTCAACAAGAGTAGGTATATACGACGAACGTGTACACAATCAACTATCAATGGAAGTATTTTGAAGACAACTTTTTTAAGTAGGACCTATATAGATTACCTAAGAATATTGTGGACAGTGTATATGAAAAGATACGCTATTATATTCGTTAAGGCTGGCTGGCTGGCTGTCCGGCTGAGATCTCGGCAATTACAATTGTTAAAGACTTTTCACTAAAAGCTTTCTGTTACAGTGTAGATGTGCAGGCTCTAGTCTATTTTAAGTTAGATTACTCGTGAGATCGATAATTTTAAACTTTGCTAATGAAATAGTGATCTGCATTACCAAAAATGCGTTTTCATCATGCATAATTTACAACTTGTTTGATTTAGTAGTAACAATAGATTGTTGATGTACATATGTAGAATGGAAGCAGCGTTTAGAAGCTCATTAAACAATTACTAATTAATTACCGAAGTATAATTATTTATATTAAAGAAACAGCGGTTGAAGGCAAAAGATACACATGCCATTTGCTTTCCATGAAATTTCTCCCAATAATTAACAAACGATAAGGTAATATGTAGCGTAACATAAACATAAGAAACATCGAGCCTATTACATGACAGCATTAAAACGTGTTCGAATTTTAAAGGGCAATAGGTAAGTATTAGCATTGTTTACAAGGGTATTAGAAAACGGTTTTCACACTCTCGGTCTCCAAGAAACTTCCATTGCCATTGTCCGTTTTATCTGTTAACTCAATTAGCAAATAATACTTACATATAATACCTACCTCTTTTTAGCTAAATTCCTAAAAAGGCGTACGTGCCAAAAGCGTACAACATAGGTAGGTACCATCCATTGCTAATCGAAATGAAAACGAGTGCTATTTGCGTACAGGTCATTAACGCATCAAGTTTGGCGCCATATGTACTTATTTTCTTATCTATAAAGCCCTTCGTTTTATTGTTACCGAGATTTGAAAGTGGTGCGAAACGTCAGACACTAACCTACAGGAAGCAGCTAGGAAAGGTCCAGCGACTCGCCTGTCTGGGAGTCACTGGAGCCCTAAAAACCACGCCAACCTTGGCCATGGAGGCATTTCTGGGAATAGAGCCTTTACACTTAGCTGTGGAGGCTCGGAAAGCTTCCATACGGCTAAACGATTGGGATGAATGGAAGGATCGAGGCAGTCTTGGGCACGGGCGGATCTGGGAGGAAACCCTCAGAACCGATCCCCTCCTCGCAAGGAGGGACGTGATCCGGGCTATCTTGCTAAGACCAAAGCGTTATAAAGTCATTCTCCCGGATAGGGAGCAGTGGCTGAACTCGGATTGCCCGTTCCTCAAACCTGAGGGGCTCGTGTGGTTTACAGACGGGTCCCAAACAGAAAGGGGAACGGGCATGGGTATATATGGTGATCGACCGAGAGCCAGCGTCAGCGTCTCCCTTGGTCAGCATAGCACCGTGTTTCAGGCAGAGATGTTAGCCATCATGACCTGTGCACAGGAAAACCTCCGTAGAGGTTACCGTAATAAGCATATATACATATGCAGCGATAGTCAGGCGGCGTTGAGGGCCCTGTCGGTAGACAGGTTCCGATCAGCTACGGCGCTTGATTGCAGGCGAACCCTAGATAGATTAGGTGAGTCTAATAGGGTAAGCTTGATTTGGGTGCCAGCGCACTGCGGAATAGGGGGCAACGAAAGCGCGGACGAGTTGGCTCGCGAAGGCAGTGGTGGGGTCTTCATCGGGCCCGAGCCTACCCTAGGGATTGCTCCCTCCGTTGTTAGGGCCAGGATTAAAGATTGGTTGACCAGTCAATTCCAGGCTCAGTGGCAACAAGTAACCGGACTCCGACAGTCCAAGGCCTTTCTAACAGGGCCCCTTGGCAAATCGGGTCTTCTAAGCTTCTAAAACTGAATAGAAGCCAGATTAGGAAGATCACCGGTGTCCTTACGGGACACTGGATGGTCAACTATCACCTGCATAACATTGGGCTCGCGGAGGAGTCAACGTGCAGGTTCTGTGGCGAGGCAGATGAAACTACCGAGCATGACGCTTTGATCAGGGACAGATATCAACTCCTTGGAGACAGATACCTGGAACCGAGGAGGGTGAAGCAGCTTAGGCTAAACAGGGTCCTATCCTTCATTGAGTGGAACGGGCTCTGAACTCAGTTGCGAAGAAAGGGGGTAGGCACAATGGGCCTCTGATGTGCCTAAGTGCTGCCCGGTCGGGATCCCCTGCGAATAGAATAGAACGTCAGACACTTCGGCACGAAAGTAAGATGGCTCTGCTATAGTAATATTCTGTCCAAAGTTTCCAACTGAAGTATAGAGGGCAAGTCGAGCGAGCGAGTAGGAAGAGTGAGATAGACTTGAAAAAGGTGCAAAGAAGATTTGAAGGAAGAGCAAATAAAACTGATGGTGGTGTGAATAAAGGGTCGGGAAGGTGGAAGACAAGAGGGGTATGAGGAGGATGTACAGATTGAGATATCATTATAAGAAGTTTCCTCATGTTTTGTGGAAAATTTCAGTTTGTAGATGTTAAACTGATATACGACCCTACGAAAACAGAAAGCGAAAGAGTACTTATGTCTCGGGAAGTTGATAATCAAATTCTAAATGAAAGTATGAAGTATTTACGAAGGACACATACATGGACTATGGAGGAGAATCTAAAAGAATATGTAAAAAGTTTATGAAGAAAGCGTGTAAAAAAAGTGTGGGTGAATTAAGTATAATGAAATAGGCATGGCGAGAGGGGGATGTAAAAGAATAGGGAAGAACTGTGACTTGATGGGGGAGTGAAGCTAAAATGAAACAAATGTTGAATGGTAGGAGGGGATGAGGGAATGAGACGTTTAATAACAATAGTTTAATGTTCAACAGTATTACACCATTAAGAGAAAAAAAAAACGAGTAAAATTAATGCACTATAGCTAATTGATGAAGCAGGCGAGGTGATAAACGAAATATAAAGAAGGCGTGTGAGTAAAGATGTTTGCGAGTTTCGAGTCGACATGACCACGGGTTTTTAAAACAATGGTGAGGAAGGTTTAAAGGAGGTTTAAAGCTAACGGAAAGAAAGTGTGATGGAGGTATAAAGCAGACACGAAGATATCTAAACAAATTGACACTAGAACTCCGACCATATGTGTATTTATGGACTTGGCAAAAGCATTCGATACCGTTGTTCATCAAAAACTGTTAAAAGCTTTATCCTAATGCGGAATGAGGGAAAATACCCCAAATTTATTTCTTTTAGTTATAGATAGAAAGAAATTGTTAAAATTGATAATTACGTCATCCAAGAAAATAAATTAAAATATAGGGTACCTCCAAGATGCAGTTCTTGAGCCACTTCTTTTTACTGTATAACCTGCTTTCTATGGATAATGTATTTGGAAAATTGGTCAGCTACGCTATTCATGAATGAAACTCAAAGAAAGTATAGACACTGATATAAAAATACTGCTAAATTGGTTTTGTGACAAAAAATTACTTGGGGGTTATAATCGATTTGCATCTACGTTGGAATCACCATGTATCTGCTGTAGTTAAATCTGTAAGATGTTCACTTGAATATTTTAGACGTTAGGTAGCTGAAAATAGTTTACTTTGCTCTTATGTAATTCCGTCTCCAATGGTGGTTTAGGTACAGACTGTAAATTACAGTACACTTATAATGACTGACTTCGGTTATTCTTACCAATTTGAACAACGAACATAAGTCATAACATATACCTTTTCTTCGCGTTGTTCGATTATTATTAGTGAATTTTATGAATTACGCGTATTCGTGGATCACTGGACGGCATTATTGAATGAAATTGATTGGCAAGTTTTGCTTCCGAAGTTCTGCAATATTTCTTTAAAAATAACAGTTTAGCTGAATAGCATATTATTGGTCAAATGCACCAATCACATTTCGTATTATTTAGCGCATTGAGGGCGGTTTTACTTAAGTTGCCGGATTTAAAGGGTACCTACCCAATTTGGTCACATTTGAGGGGTATCTTATCTTTAAAGATAGGGTTGCGGTTTTCGCTATAGCTCACTGCGTGTTGCTTTTTCGTGACATTTATGGTGGCACCAACAGAATTTTCATAACCTAGGTACCCGTTGGGATTGAAAATTGTCATTCTTTAGAATCGCCTATCAAAGATGTTAACACGTAACCTTATAGAATATTTTCGATAAGTAGGTATATAGAATACGGCGGGTGTCAGTTTTTCTCTAACTCATTTTGTCTTTTGTTATGAAACATATTCTTTAAACGCTCTTTTTATTGTTTTCTATGTATTAGACAGTTGAGCCGTTTCCGATATATTTACGATTTTAGAAAATATCACTTCTTTTTCAGAAGGTTGAAAAATCTATTTTTCGTAGAAACTTATTTTTTAATAATAAAAAAAAAGATATGATAACTAAATGAACGTGTTGGATCCGCTCTAATAAAGATTTTTCGAAATTTGCATTCTCTCTTCTCTTTCCGTTAAACCATTGAATAATAAATCTTATTATTCAATGGTTAAACTCACCTACTTGAATTAAAACATCTTTATTACTTCTGCATTTTTACCACAATAAAGCAATTAGAAGTAAAACCGAATTCTTCTGCATCCTGAACAATTTTTTTTCTTCATTGACTCTTCTTTCTGCCTGTTTTACTGCTGGTGCGATTATGCTGGGCCTGCTGATTTGCAAATTGGAGGAATTATGAATCATGAACTAACGTTTTTTAACGGTTTATCTATGGCAGGGATAGTTCCATAGATAAGTACAGTTCAGTGGGGTCCTTTATGTATTTTGGGGACTGGGATATGCTATACTTCATTTGATATCATAATTCAAATATGGTTTTGTCTAAACAGTTATAAAACGCCATAATTAGTAAGTCAATGCCGACGCCCACTTGAATGCAATAAAAATGTAATAAAACGTATGTAGCTCTTATCAGAAACATAAAAAATGTGTACTGTTGGCAAACGTAGTATTCATATGTTTATAACATTCAGAAAAAACTATAAAGTTTAATAAGGAAACGCAATAAATACATATGTATCTATGTCATTTTCTCTAATTCTTATAATGTGTTAGGTGGACAATTTCAAACTATATTCTTCATTTCTAAAGCGGTCTTATTCTTTTGGAATGGTTTTGGCCTCAAAAACTAACGGGTTAATGTACATACAAAGAAAAAACAATTGGACGTAATTTAATCTATTCAATGCTGTCTTGAGATTGAGTAAAATTGTACAGAGATGACTGTTCTATTAGTTCCCATCCTATCGACTACAAAAAAATGCTTTCTGCTGTTGGGAGGAGAGGAGTCAGGCAGGACCATAGCATGGTCATTAAGTCAGACGTATTGTTTATATACAAATGACAAGTCTTAAAGTGTGCCTCATTGAAGTAGCCATAAATGTTTTGAAAAGAAAGTTATATGCATTATTATATACTTAACAGTACCTATATGTAGATTTTTCTTACAAATCGCATGATAAATGTTACCTTCTTGTGCGCAACCCTTTATTTTAGATTCAAATGTCACAATATTGATTGCCAAATAAGTTTAATATACCTAATTTTTAAACGTTAAACTCTCTACGGTATTTTTTTAAAAAATATGGACTTTTCATTGGCAACGAAATCAGCGGAAAGCGTTTTCACTGTTTTGTGGAGTTATTGCAAATTTCAGAACACAGTGCGGTATCCTGCGTCGGTATACCTAAGAGATCTACCCAGGTCGAAAATGAAGTGTGCACCAGGTCGGTGGTCGGTGGTTGAAAAATAATAAAGTCGATGCGCTGTTGTCAAAGCTTAAACAGTGTTGCGATATGTTAGAAGGGGTAAGTTGCAAGCGTGACATCGACGCTTCTTTTTTCTTTTAAACTTGGGAGTCGCTAATGCGGGAGCTTTGGCTATCGTTAAAAGTAGTTCAGTTCAACGAACTACGCGTCAGTTGAAGTTCACATATAGGAAGATACCAAAATAATAAAATTCTGCCAATAGTCAAGCCGTAACGGAACGCGTAAACCTCGCCCAAGTTTTACTACGCCTACGATAGTCTACCGACGCCGTCGTTCTAACCTAACGTAGTATTTTCGAGCGCGTCCTAGTAGTAATAACGGGGATAATTTAAAGTTTAATCGGTTGTTTTGGTGCATCTAATAGAAAATCTGCAAACCGTTCAGCAGTTCCCCGGAACATGAGTACTCCAGTTAAAAAAGTGCCCATTCACTTACAGGTAGGGAGAATGAACATGAATAACTGCGTTGCATAACTCTCTTTTGGTTAGGCTATTTTACCCCCTATAGGACACAAAAGGATGAGTTCATTTCCTCTTCTAATTATTTTAGAATGAAAATAACCTAAAATGACCTCATTGCGCATTTACTGTATGAGTAATACACCTACCTATTGATTTTTAAGCACATTTTCCATTTTATTAAAGTTCAACCTTCCAGAAATTAAAATTAGAAATTACATATTAGCACTGTTTAATAGACACAATTTCAAAATAAGTTTAATTGAATATATTTTGAGTTTAGAATAAATTTGCATTATAACATATGTAAATGTGGCTGCGGTTTTTTTCAGCTGAATTAATGCCAAATAGTCTACAAACAATTAAAATTTAGTATTTCCTCTCTCAGGATTCTCAAGTAGGGTAGATTCCAAATGATACATTCAATTGAAACGTATTTTTTTATAAGATCAATTAGTATTCACTCCATACGCTCATTTAGAAATTCTTTACCTACTCTAAGTTTCAAGAAACACATGGTTTGTAGGTCAGAGTTAGCTGATCATCCTTAATAAAATGTCTCAAATTTTAATTGATTTACTGCTTGAGACAAAAAGCATTATGTCCGCGCGTGAAGAGAAACCATAATAACGGTTACCATGAAACGGAAGTGCGGGCAATTATTCATATTAACGTATCCTAAACTCTTGTTGCATATTAAATTGGTTAATAAACATTTAGATATTTTGAACTGCTCACTGACGATAATTAAGTAACTCTTCCTGTAATGGACGGAAGTGTGAATGAAACCAAGACGATTTACAAAATTTTATTTAGCAAAGCTTACGCATTTAGGTATATATTTCAAGTCATTCGGTTGCACAAAGTTTTCCTTGGTTTAACATTTGCATATAATTCGGCAAAATTTTCTTCATTTCTTTTATAAGACCAATTACATTTAGATACTGCTTTACTTACCTACGTACAGATGTTAGGGGCAGAGACATCTCGTCCTCTTCGAGCTATATTGATCGAAGCAAACAAAATTGAGAAACTATAAGTTGGCCATTTTCCAATTTTCTCACCAGGAAAGCAAATATCACACTTGCACAGTTCCGCAATGTTAGGTCCTACAGATTACATTGATTCCATACCCTACGAAATTAAACAACGAGATTAGATTGAATACCTACTTAATTGTTTACTACAATATCGACAACTTGATGAATTACTTAACGATTTCATTTTCCAAAACAAATTTTGTTCAAATTGAAGCAGGACAAAGGTTCAAAGATTACCCATGTTGAAATATCTAAGAGATATGGAAGCTATATAAAACCGTGTTTGTCCTTAATTGCCATTAAAGTACATACTTTCAATGGCTACAGAGGTATGATATTTTTGTTGTTTATGTCATTATCGCCTGGTCATTAAGATTCTAACAAAGGGTTCAAAACCAACTAAATCAAATTTAAAATAAACAGTTTGGAAGTTACTTTTTTCAATTTGTGTGTTGTACACGTTCATAACAAAAAAATTTGTTATTAGAGCGCTCAAAACCGTTTATTAATCAAAAATGGGAAGGTGGTAAACGAAGATGATATTGTTGAAGAAGACGTTTATATTGAGGATGGAATTATTAAACAGCTCGGCCGCAACCTGATTATTCCAGGTGGAACGAGAGTTATAGACGCTCGTGGTAAATTAGTAATTCCTGGTGGAATAGATCCCCATACTCACTTTGAGTTTGAGTTTATGAATACTACATCTGTAGATGATTTTTATCAAGGAACCAAAGCCGCGGTTGCCGGAGGAACTACAATGATAAGTATGTATGGTACTTACGAAAGTATCGTCGCACTCAAGTATTATTTCAGTCGACTTTGTGTTGGTGAAGAAAGGAGAATCATTACTGGACTCCTATTATTCTTATCGACAAAAAGCAGATGAGAAGGTATGTTGCGACTATGCACTTCATGTTATAATTTCGTACTGGAATGATAAAGTTTTCGACGAAATGTCAATACTTTGTTCAGAGCACGGAGTTAACTCATTCAAAACGTTTATGGCATACTCCTTTATGTTGAACGATTCCGAATTATACAGTGCATTTGAAGCTTGTAAAAAATTAGGTGCAGTCGCAATGGTACATGCCGAAAACGGCTCGATCGTTTTCAAGAATACAGAAAAATTATTGGCTAAAGGTGTAACAGGACCCGAAGGGCATGAATTGTCACGGCCCGAAGAAGTAGAGGCAGAAGCAGTCAATCGTGCCTGTACAATTGCAAATCAGGTAAAAAATATATGAGTGCTGTCACTTCAGTAAGAATCCCTGGACTATTATTTTAAAAAGTTAGTAACCAAGCAGTAACACTATTGCATGTGTTTTTTTTATTTAGCATGTTTTTTCCAAAATTTTGTTTTTATCTTTTTTTATTTAAGAAGACCTACTTCGGAATGTTCGCATAAGATCATTAAATCAGAATTCTGTAAGTAGAAGGCAGATGGCCCTCCCCCCACCCATATTATACCTTAATTTGAATTTTTATGTGCACAATCTTCCCGTTTTTGTGTTGAGCAATTTTGTTAGGTGTTCATGGCATGTTGTAGGTAGATTGCCCACTGTATATTGTGCATGTGATGAGCAAATCAGCAACTATAGCATTAGCACAAGCACGTAGTCGTGGAGTTAGAGTAATTGGTGAAACTTTGGCCGCTGCGTTAGGTACTGATGGTTCTCACTGTAAAAACACTTGCTTCCAACATTCAGCAGGTCATGTGCTTAGCCCTCCTCTCAGATCGGATCCTATGACACCGCAATATTTAATGAATTCTTTGGCACAGTAAGTTATTCCTTTCCTTTTGAATTTGGGCACATACGATACTAATATTATTTAACCCAATTTTGTGCAACACGTTTGTATATAACCTGTTTCATTAAGCATGAAACTTTGCAATTACTCATATAGGTACGTTTTGTACAGAATCGTTAATAATTACACACTTTCATATTGGGTAAGTTTGTTTGCATATAACCATATTTATTGTAAAACAATTTACAAAAAGCGGCATCAAACATTTTTAAGTACCTATAGGTGAAAACGCCTTTGTATGTGGCGCACATCTCCAATAGTCATTCCGCCAAAATCATAGCTGAAAGACAAGCGAATGGTCAAATTATATTTGGGGAGGTGCTTGCTTCAGCTGCGGCCCTTGCAGGCGATCGTCATAACGTCACCACCATTACATCACCACCTTTGCGGTCTAATTCTGATACCCCTTCTCAACTTTTGGGACTGTTAGCATCGTAAGTGTGTTATTAACATCTAACATTGTCATTTGAGCGCATTTTGAACACTATGAAGTATTTGTTTTTTTGTATGGAATCTAACAGCTATTATTTTTAACTAAACTATCGAAAGCTTCAATAATTTATCTCGTAGAAACGATCTTCAATTAACTGGAAGTGATAATTGTACCTTCAATAAGAGTCAAAAGGAAATGGGACTGAACGATTTTTCAAAGATACCCAATGGTGTTAACGGTGTTGAAGATAGAATGTCTGTGATTTGGGAAAAAGGAGTACATAGTGGATTAATAGATGCTTGCCGCTTTGTGGCAATTACTAGTACAACTGCCGCTAAAATATTTAATTTGTATCCGCGCAAGGGATGCATCGCTCTTGGTTCCGATGCCGATATTGTAATTTGGAATCCTAACAAAACTAGAACAATTTCCGCTAAAACTCATCATCAAGCTGTTGATTTTAATATTTTTGAGGTATTTAATTATCGTCAAAACAATATGATAATGAAAACCTTTACTAGGGTATGGAATGCCACGGTGTTCCAGAATATGTCATAGTTAATGGGCGAGTTTGTGTAGACGATGAGCAAGTAAAAGTTGTACAAGGCCATGGCAACTATATTGAGTGCCCAGTTTTTCCACCTTTTGTTTATGACATCGAAAATGCGTCGAAACTTAAACCAAGCGATAATGGAGATGCAAATTGGGTAACTCAACCAACACAAAAGGTAAACGAATAGTGATCGTGAGATAAATACGCTTCAATTTTGGTTTATTTTACGCAGTCGTTTTTAAGTTGCTATTGTTGTGTTTTATTTTTATATTAAGTATCTAACACATTTTGTAGATCATAATTATCTAACAATGTTGTATATTACCTACATGATTTTTTATGCACGCATGGTGTGTCATAGGTTCACCCCCTTTGTGGGAGTAAAGTTTTAATTAATAATTATGTTGTGATTTCTTTTATTATATAAATGTACCCCTACATACAATGCAGCCTGTGTACCAAAGTGTATTACATATAATCTCGCATATAATCTTTTTTCGAACACCTAAGCGTGTGAGTTTTATAAATAAAAAAACAATTGCCACGTGATGATCTAGACCATAGTATAAATATAAAGGCGCTGTAGGTATGTCTCTCGAAGGATGAATGTCTGCCAATCATTATCTAAACAAGTGTAAGAACTAAAACGATCATTAATTATTTTAGCATTTCAAAAACCTTTTAAAATGACAGTCAACAAAGGCACAAAGACACTTCAGATTTAATTATATCTAAACCATAAAATAACATAAGTCTCTTCCGTATTGAAATTTATGGAGACGTCCTTTTCGAGCGTCGCTAGGACATAAAAAATGTTCCAAAACCCACTCGTGGGTATTGCCGCGTAACACAAAGTATTGAAACGACGCATCGTCACCAAAAGCACACAAAATGTCGAATCTGCATATTGAAGCACATCCACGTCCAGAGAAAGAGAGGAGTTATAAGTTATAAAGTTTCAAAGAAATATTACCATACATAAGAAAGTTGGCTATGAGCAACCTGTGCAGTCACTGCGTATGCCCACATAATTTTTACTATGTGCGAAATGTTTGCCTTTACTAGAAGCGCCTGTGGCTAAAATTTCAAAGAAGTATCTCCATAAATAAGAAAGTTAGCATTGCGCAGTCACTGCGCATGCCCACATAATTTTTACTATGTGCGAAATGTTTACCTTTACTAGAATCGCCTGTGGTTAAAATTTCAAAGAAATATCTCCATAAATAAGAAATTTGGCATTGCGCAGTATGCCCACACATCACTGCGCATGCCCACACATTATTTTTACTATGTGCGAAATGTTTGCCTTTACTAGAAGCGTCTGTGGTTAAAATTTCAAAGCAATATCTCCATAAATAAGAAAGTTGGCATTGCGCAGTCACTGCGCATGCCCACATAATTTTTACTATGCGCGAAATGTTTATCTTTACTAGAAGCGTCTGTGGTTAAAATTTCAAAGAAATATCCCCATAAATATGAAAGTTGGCATTGCGCAGTCTGCGCAAAATATGGAGTTAAATGAAACTGATCGAATTGGGCAAATATAGACCATAACAGCTATCAATTAGCGAAAACCCGAAGTCTCTAGGTGGCCCAGGGGCCGAGATCTCGATGGAACGGACGGACGGACGGAAACACGAGCACATAAGCTTTACCTCAACTTCGTTGTGTTACGCTAAAAAGGGAAGAAAAACACATTTTCCGAGCTCTAGGAAACTATTGCCTTAGTAATGGACCAACGTTGATATAATAGTTGCGGGAACAGGTGTAAGGTAGTGGTCGGTTACCTATTTAGCGCACAATTAATATGCGATAGTATTTTTGTTGGTACAGGGGAACTCTTGAGCTATGGGAAAGCTAGGACTCTGCAAGTCAGTATAGGGTAGCGACTTGAATGTAGTTAGAGTTTCCTTGTTTAAGCGTTTATTTCTACTGAATCTATAACTACACACCTACAAGTCAGTCCAAATTGCAAATCAGTAACGACAATTTTCACCCTGCGCCGTTGTAGTGCCCTTATATTTATATCATGGTCATGACTGCTCCTTTATTTTGTTACAAATTTTTGATGAGTTCTCGTGACCTATATAATAAACCCGGAATTGGATCACCAGCAAAGACATGTGTTACGGATTGATCTATTTGAACTATTTTGTTTATTTATCAAGCTACAGTTGAAGTTGGAGGTTTCGAAAAATGATTCCAGATTATGAAGCCGCCAGTTCGTGAACTGTATGTACCACAGTAGGGAACGGGGTCAGCGATCAGCGTATCCCAAAACATTTACTAATTATATTAACACGTGAAAGAGATATGATTTAACAACAATATGTAACAATCAGAATGCATTTTTGTTTGTTTAGTTCGAGACAAAATATCAATAAATATACTTTCCAAATGCAGAGTGAATCGATCAAGCTGGTGTGCATCATCTGATATCAAAAGCGATATTGAACCACAAAATGGTGGATCCTTTACTTGTTGATATGCTATCCTAACATGCAACAGATTAGTGATACTTATTGCTTATTAATTCAAAATTAATGATTAGACAAGTAGGCAACATATAAGTCAGTTAATTGCATTTCTCCGCAAAACATACCTAAAATAATTTGCGTTTTCTTGACAGGAAAATGACCGTAAAGTATGTCCAACACCAACATTACCCGAATCATCAGTATCAACACCATCCTGTAAGGGACCAAGGCCGGAAGGTCAACGCAATTTACAAGACTCGACGTTTTCAATTAGTGGTATGAGAGTGTTTAGCGTAGTGGTGCCTTAAATTAACAAATGAAATTTTACAGAGGACCTGGACGTTGCGAGACGTGCTTGTATCAAAGTACAAAATCCCCCGGGTGGTAAATCGTCCGGGTTCTGGTAATTAGTTGATTAGCGAAACGGCATACTTAATAAACAAATGAAAAAGGTTTTACTTCCAATGTCTCGTTACCATATTTCTGCTTATATTTTTCTTGTTTGCATAAGCCTTTTTTATTACCTATAGGCGTGCATTTGGCATCATTTCTATGTGCACTGTTTAAGTTTGGTTAAGTATGACATGGTTGTGTACAATTTAATTTAGGTACCTATACATTTAAGTTAACATCATCACTGTTGTAATGTTTTTATTAAGTATTACCATGTTAAAAGATACATATTAATTTTATATTATGTATTTAACTGTTAAGGGAGAGTTTATGAATTTGTATTATCTGATAGCATGGATGTGAGAGTTGCTTAGGACATTCGTTACGACAATTTATTTATTTTGTAGTTGTTTAACTATTACGTCATTGAAATCAGTTGCACGCATTTTATGTTATCATTTTTGATACTCTATGTATTCGTTATTTAACACAAATAAACGTTTTAATAAGTATATGTCTGGTATGTAAATCTCTATAATAAAGGCTGCATATAGTTTTCACGATATTGATGCTTCATTCTTTCCCTAAGGTAAGTACTTAATATAAATTTGGTAGATACTTAGTAAATAGGTTGTGTTTCGGCTGTCTTTGTATTTGATGTTTGGGGAGCTTTGGAGGTTATTATTAGGCGGAAAAGGGTTCCCGATAAAATAAAATGAGCATAAGTAATTAACATACATAAGTATTACAAGTTCTGATGTAAAGTTACTAGGAATCCTTTAGATTATTTTACATAATGTGTAAGTATTTGTCACCTATTATATTTACTTTTATGACAATGATTCATCAAAACGCCCACACGGACTTGTGTGGGCATTTTGATGAATTATTGTCACTCACAAAATTAAAGATAGGTAATAGGTTGAGCCATTTAGATTTACAAACTAACTCCTTGGCTCAAATAGCGACTTGAATTGTATACACAATTATAATACAGTTCAATGCCTATCCCATACCTAATTCCTGCCTCAGGGGATACATCACAGGCTAAAATTCTATTCGCATAGAAACTACCTGCCACCCTAGCTATGCGAAGAATAATAAATTAATAATAACTGTGGATAGGCCAGTAGATATTTGCTTTTCCCAAATTTAAAAAGTTAATAGTACCTAAAGGACGTGCAATAAAGTTTTTGACCATTTAGGGAGCGTTTTTATGAATTTGTTTCGCAAATTGCATAACGATTTTCATATTACCAAACCATTTCACTATGCATTTTACCTAAGGGTGCGTATACATATATGTGAGCCTAACCGTTAACGAACTGAACCTTAATGTACTTAATTCATAAATATCTTTTAACTGCGCCTTACTTTATACCTACCTGTTTAATCTTTATAATATAATGTAATGTATTTTCTTTTTTATATCAGTAATTGAATGAGTAGGTAATATAACATACCTACCTACCTTCTTAATTAGTAATAATAAGACTATTGCTCTTATCTTGACACTTCGATTAGAGAAGGTAGATTTTTAATTAACTTATGTAGGTAGTTGGTAAATTCAGGGCAGAAATTAAAAATAATAGTTTTACTTTCAAACAACAAAATTTGCATTGCCCAGTAATTAAATTTGCACTTAATAAACTTCATCCATAAGAAGAGTTTATGTACTTATCTCATTATAGTCATTGACTATAGTCATTGTTTATTCAATGCTATAGCATTGAATATTTTTATTCAATGGCTATAGTCAATTTGCATTTCAATGTTATTACAAATGGTTAGACCACCAACATCACACATTGCTAGGTATATATGTCGCAGCCGTTTAATGAAATTGGACATTTCATGAAAAGTCTAGTCATTTATATGAAACTGTGGAACAGTTTACTTTCCAAGACCAAGCGATTGGATTCCCTTCCCATTAGAGATCGATAAATGGTATCCTTATCAGTGGCGGATTTCCCATTAGGCACGATAGGCAACTGCCTAGGGGCCGCAGGTCTAAAGGGGCCGCAAACCGAGTACATAAAATTGTTTTATTACTATAAAACGAGTTTTTCGTACAGTAGACTCCCGATTTACCGCGAGCGGCTTAAGGCTTAACCGCGATGCTATCCGCAACGAAAATAAAAAAACCGTAAATTTACGCTACACAAGAATTGTAGTAATTTAAATGCGCGATCGCCTTCGTTCATCTTTCCGCGCGCCGTCTATAGGGTAATCCTAACTTAGTTTTAATTGTAAGTCCCAACCTTTTTTATTTTTTGTAATTCTGTTTTTTTAGGTAGGGGGGGGGGGCGCAAGTTAACATGTGCCTAGGGGCCGCTAAGGTCATAATCCGCCACTGATCCTTATCGATCTAGAAGGGGAAGGGAAATTACCCCACACGTACAAATTTTCAGCGTTTCACTAAATGACTAGGCCTCGGACTAGGCGTTTCGTGAAATGACTGATTTCACTAAAAGACTACGACATATATAAAGCAGAGCTGGGCAGAATACTTTCAAAAAGTATTTGAATACTAAATAGTAAATACTTTACACAAATCAAAGGTATTGGAATACTAAATACTTTTACGTCCAGCACAAACGAATACTAGATACAGATACATAGAAAAAAGTATTCAAATACCTTTAAAAAATAAGTATTCAAATACTTTAGAATGTATTTGAATACTTTCAAAAGTATTCTAATACTATCAAAGATATTCGAATACTATAAAAAGTATTCCAATACTTTGAAAAGTACCTATTTCATTAACTTACTTTGAAAAGTACCTATTTGAATACAGTAAAAAGTATTCAAATACTTGTCACTCAAATACATTAAAAATTTAAAATAGTATACTAGATAAAAGTCTTAATACTACCATTGAATAAAAACCACAGGATTTTATTCAATGATACTACTTCAAAAATCAAGTTACCTATACTTTGTAAATGAGGTTAGCTTTTTTATATTCCTATTGTTATATACAAATTCAAGGGGAGTAAAAGCGTATTATTATTATTATATAGGAGGTACCTACCAGGACCTTTCTTATACCAGTTATATCCTTAAAAATACGTGTACCTATTTTCAAAGCGTCGTGCACATGATAGGTACGTACGCCTTTCTGAAATTAATCCTAGCGATTTTGCAACAGATCCATTTTTGACCATCCGTTTGTCCGTGTGCATGATAGTTTGTTTAGAAACGTGCGATCGCTTTGAAAATTGGTACACATGGTCTTAAGGATATAAGAAAGGTCCCTATTATTTTTAAGTTACGTGGACTATCGCGTCAAAAAGTTTCACTCCAGGATCGTTCGGTATTCAGTTGTATCGGATTTTTATATTTGATTTTGTGACAATGGAAACTTCCCCTAAACATTTCTAAATTGTTCTCAAATATTTAAATAACTTCAAAGTACTGCGTTTTTTTGAGGCCGGAAAAAAATTGTCTGAGATCGACCGGGAAAAAACATTTCCTTATAGAATTTGGCCTGTAGAATCCATAATTTCACACAGTTTGAAGATTGAGCTACTAGTTCAAAGGTTACAGCCCTTTGAATTTTCTTTCGAAATTGGTTTCTAGTTTATAACTTTTTATTGAGAAGTCTGATCGAAAAAGTACGAAATGTTTTGGATTCTACGCACCAAAATTAATAAGAAAAAGTGTTTTCCCGAGAAATTTTGGTGTAGTCGATTTTTGGTAAAAAAGGAAGGTTATTACACTGCCTTTTTTTGAGCACCGAAAAAAAAATTGTCTCAGATCGACCCGGAAAAAAATTTTCTTATAGAATGTGGCCTGTAGAATCCATAATTTTAAACAGTTCCAAGATTGGGCTACTAGTTCAAAAGTTACAACCCTTTGAATTTTCTTTAGAAATTGGTTTCTAGTCTATAACTTTTGATTGAGAAGTCTGATCGAAAAAGTACGAATTGTTTTGGATTCTACGCACCAAAATTAATAAGAAAAAGTGTTTCCCGAGAAATTTTGGTGCAGTCGATTTTTGGTAAAAAAGGAAGGTTATACACTGCCTTTTTTTGAGCCCCGAAAAAAAAAATTGTCTCAGATCGACCCGGAAAAAAAATTTTCTTATAGAATGTGGCCTGTAGAATCCATAATTTCAAACAGTTCCAAGATTGGGCTACGAGTTCAAAAGTTACAGCCCTTTGAATTTTCTTTCGAAATTGGTTTCTAGTCTATAACTTTTGATTGAGAAGTCGGATCGAAAAAGTACGAATTGTTTTGGATTCTACGCACCAAAATTAATAAGAAAAAGTGTTTTCCCGAGAAATTTTGGTGCAGTCGTTTTTTGGTAAAAAAGGAAGGTTATACACTGCCTTTTTTTGAGGGCCTAAAAAAAATTGTCTCAGATCGACCCGGAAAAAATTTTTTCCTATAAAATGTGGCCTGTAGAATCCATAATTTCAAACAGTTCCACGATTGGGCTACTTGTTCAAAGGTTACAGCCCTTTGAATTTTCTTTCGAAATTGGTTTCTAGTCTATAACTTTTTATTGAGAAGTCTGACCGAAAAAGTACGAATTGTTTTGGATTCTACGCACCAAAATTAATAAGAAAAAGTGTTTTCCCGAGAAATTTTGGTGCAGTCGATTTTTGGTAAAAAAGGAGGGTTATACACTGCCTTTTTTTTTGAGCCCCGAAGAAAAAATTGTCTCAGATCGACCCGAAAAAAAATTTTTCTTATAGAATGTGGCCTGTAGAATCCATAATTTCAAACAGTTCCAAGATTGGGCTACTAGTTCAAAAGTTACAGCTCTTTGAATTTTCTTTCGAAATTGGTTTCTAGTCTATAACTTTTGATTGAGAAGTCTGATCGAAAAAGTACGAATTGTTTGGGATTCTACGCACCAAAATTAATAAGAAAAAGTGTTTTCCCGAGAAATTTTGGTGTAGTCGATTTTTGGTAAAAAAGGAAGGTTAACACTATGCGAAGTATTCGAATACTTCTCAAAGTATTCAAATACCTTGCGAAGTATTCGAATACTTTACGAAGTATCCAAATACTTTGCGAAGTATTCGAATACTAAATATTTGTGAAAGTATTTGAGTTACAAATACAAATACTGCTTCCATAAAAGTATTTAATTACAAAGTATTTGAATACTTTAAGGATTTGAATACTAAAAAGTATTTACAAAATCGAATACTGCCCAGCTCTGATATAAAGTACTTATTCAATACAGTGATATTATGTAGAAGTAGACAGGGATTTCCTATAGGAATTTCCTTTTACATGATAAAGTCTCCTGAAAGACGCCTAATTTGATGCAACCAAAATAACTTCTTGAAACAAATAAAGATCTGGCTGTCATATTAATTATTAATTTGAATATTGTTGCTTTAGCTACACAGAAAATAAATCTCTTAAGCTCCTTTATCTGTTATCGGCACTATACCAATTAGAAATATCAACTTTTTCTTTAGTTGAATACTTAACACTAACCGAAATTAGACACACCGTCAACATTACAAATTTATGATATTGAACATAATTACATAACGTCGAAATTTTAATTGCCTTTTGTACACTCAGCTTGGAATTTGGAAAACAACAACAATAGTCACAAAGGGTGCAGGTGTTACAAATATCTGATGATAAGAAATTTTCAAAACAGAATAGTTTCTAACGAATACTGATATGATAATCAGAATGTTTTTGTTTGGTGCTTGATGAAATTAGTAGAGAAGATGAATGAGCAATAGAGATGTTCGCGAATTTTTTTTCTTTCTGAGGAACACATAGAATTTTGTAAGAACGCATCAATGATTCTTCCCAGCAATTAGTTTCATTTAAAGATAGAATTGCTAATAAATGCATGCTTGATTGCTTGCCTCCATTTGGAATGCAATGTAAATCTGTTATGAATGTAGGAAGAACTAAAGAAGACAGATACCTTTATGCATGAATATTTGGATCGACCTAATCATAGTTCATCTTCATCAATCTCCAAGATTAACGTATGATCCATATGGAACCAAGATGAGTATGAATAATCGGAAATTTTTCATTTTTCTAAGCAGTAAAAATGGTAGAATGCCCCAATAGCTACCTAATAAACTTGCAAAGTAGGAAACTTTTTTTTTAAGCTATTCGCATGGATTAACAAGAAACTAAATCATTTTAATATTCCTATATTTAACAGTGAATATAGATTGCTAATCAGCAATAATCTTTTTCTCAATCTTTTACAGTTGACATGTCATCAAAAATATAAAATTTTGTTTCAGATAAGGAGACATGGCCACATGAGGAATTTTGATGCTGAACACTTAATAAATAACGCATATCAGCAAGAATATATCACAGCATATTTATATTTTTAAGTATATAAAACTGTACATGATACAAGAAAAAATAAACTCAATAATACATAACAGTATTATAAATATAACAATATCAGGAAATATTATTCGTCCCAGTCTTCGTCTTCAGTATTGGTCGATTCATTATAATCGTGTTTTGGTGGCGGTGGAGGAATCATAGCAGAAACCTTATTCATAGTAGAGTTGGCGTCAAATTGAGGTATTTCTTGGTTTTTAGAACCGGAGATGCCTTTTCTTCTGAGTGAAAGTTTAGCGTGTAAATCAGCCATTAAATCTGTACCAACCACAGCTTTTTTAGGTTCTGCTGCTTTCAAATTTGCATTTTTTGATCCTCCAGCTTTACGAATAGCTTCCATAAGCATTGCATGAGCATTATCACTGTTAGCCATAGGCTGGTTTACCACGTTATTTACCGATTTGGCAGGTGTTTCAGCTTTATCATTCCTTTCGGGCGCAGGTAAATTCAACTCTTCTTGCTCAAGAATTGGAGGTACTGGAGGTTGAATTATTTCAACTGGCGGTGGTGGTGGAGGCACTACTTTATTTGCAATTTCCTCTGGTTCCTGTGGTACTTCTACTAATGGTGGAAGGTCTGGAATGTTAGGTGTAGTTGTAACTGATGGCGCAATACCTTGACCACGCTCATCCACGTAACGTAAATCGTTAGCAATGCCTGGTAAGTCTGGAAGATCTAATGGTACATCAATACGCGGGACATCGCCTAAATGAGGTGCATAAAAATATGATTCAGTAGCGGATCTGGTTAAAGTGGTTCTATCAGATATGGAATGTGGAGCTGCACATATTTCGGTAGTGGTATCTGCGGAGTCTTCTTTTTTAGTAGTAATGGAGGATTGTAGAGGATCAGATATAATGTACTTCTTGTATGGATTTGTTCCAGTATTGTACAGTAAAAGATCATTGATAGAGTTAACATCACAAGGAACAGAACCTAACCCTCCAATATCTTCCTGCAAGTTTGGATTGTTTAATTTCACATGGTATAATTGAAGAGGTTCATTAGGCACACTTTTAAACGGAACATCCTTGTATTTTATATTAGACCTTGTTATTTCCAATTTACCCATGTCTCCGAAAACAGATTTATAATTTCTGTGCACATCAACAGCGGGATATTTGCTGCTAGAAAAAACTTGCGTAGCTTTTTTCGCCCCTTTTAATGTAGACACTTTTGAATGCGCATCTTCAATCCTATTTACTAAAGTGGATAACTGTTGGTTGTTGGACTCTATTCGTTTATTAATTCGATTAAATACATCATTTGCAGTTTCTGATAAATAATTTAGAGCATCAGCTATCTGTACCACAGTTTCTTCTCTTCTTAAATTTTGAGGAATAATTGGCACGTTGTACATAGGAGGCATCTTTAATTTTGTATTTTGAGATCATACCTCACATACTTTTTTTATTTACAAGTTTAGAAAATCAGCTGATGTTGTAGTGATTATTGACCCGTTACGACAAACGCAAAGACAACAAAGGGTATCTAAATGAACGCAAAATGCAGGGCCGCATTTCATTTACATCTCCAGCAGCTCTGATAATCATCTTACCTTGACAAATAATATTGGTCCCAATACGATCAGATTGTATCGCATTGACTTCAGTTGAACTGAGAGAATTGATTAATTTTAATTCAACAGAATTGATTAGTTTTAATCTAACCCATTGAATTCCGTCAGTTTAACCATTGTATATATGTACTATATACAATGGTTTAACCAAAGATCACGGTTTGTTTAACATATAGGTACCTACCTACAATGCTTCAGTTGAAGTTCAATCAAGTTTATATAATCCGCCCCAAACGTGTGATTTTTAGGCTTGATGGTGTTTTTTGGTACTTACCTGCGGTCGAAAACATGCTCTTACATACTTATGTACATATCCGCATTAAAATTTTACGTGCAATATATGTGAGAATAGGTCAAATTATTTTCTATCTAACATAGAAATGCCACAAAGGACTTGTACTTGTGCTGGCCTGTTTGTTCTATACCTTCATTTACTCAAAATTACTGGTTCTCGATTTCCTTTACACTACCATTTAGATTGTAATCTATGTCCCTGAGCCTACAGGTAGGTACCTAATTGTGTTGCAAATTTTCGTTTCGTAACCTCTAATAAACAGTTATTGAAAATTAGCAACGTTATATTCTTGACGGAATCAAAGTGTTTAATAAGAAGAAATTGATGCATATTCGTAGAGGCAAGTTATAACAGACGAAATGTCTGCTAGACGGCGACTCCTGGAAAAGGTTAACATTTTGAGGTTTTCGTTGATCTAAGACTGTTTGTCAAAATTCTAAACTTATGCCCAGAAATATAAAATACTAGTCTTACAATTCCAATAAATATTCAATTTCATTTTAATCTATGGTACGGAGTGCAAAATCATAGTTGCAAGAAAAGTTACATACAAAATATTTTATTGTATATTCTCTCAATAAGCAAAATATGAATATTATTTGTAAAATATATAGCAATAAGAGCTCATTTTTCATAAGTACATATTTGCTTTACATTATTTATACAGGGTGTTACGAAACTGGCGCCCACGGACGATGGGGGTTTAACTCTGAGATTAAATTGAAAAACCCTATTACACTTTTGCGATCAGACAAATAAGTACCTTTCCAGATGCAAGGTTGCAAAAAAAAAAAGAAATCAAGAATGACTTTCTTAATTTAATTTAGTAACTCTAACTAATAATAAAACGTTCTTCTAAGTCTTGAAAAGTATTTGTCTGATTGCAAAAGTTTTTTATTCACTCTTCAGAATTAAGCCTCCATTGTCCGGGTGGTGAGAACTTCGTAACACTCTGTGTAGTTCCGCTGCAAGCTCGATAATATATAGTAAGCTTCGAAATATGAATAAGACCAATATCGGGTTATAACTTATAACATTCCTGGTGAATCTTGTTCCTTATTTTGCGCTTTCTCGAAGAACATCGCATCCTGAAGAATGAAGAATGTAAAAAACAAAATCAAGTTATGATATGAGCATTACAATTAAGAAGCACGCTCCCAGCATCACGGCCTTCATTCTGACATCCAAATCCACTGGAAATGTTATTCCAAAGTAATCGGCATCCGTAAACATTTCTCTAATAAGACCTGACCACTGTTTTGATATTTTACCCACTTGCGTACCACCGTTGGCTGACATAATTTGAAACTCTACGTCTCCACAAATACTCATGGTACAAAAAGGTCCTTCGATACGTAGCACGGTTTCTCCCCCTGCGGTTTTAATAGCATAAGTTGGACAGCAAATGCTCCATTCCTGTTCAACTGTTCCAACTAGCGTACCTGGAGGCGAACTAACCTCTATACTCTGTTACAAACAAATTAAAATGTAAGAAAAAATTAATAGAGCGCCAATTACTTGTAAGCAACATGGGAACCAACAGCTATCACACCTAAGGGGACGATTTAAATGTATGATTTCATTTTGATAATTATCCAGAATCTTCATGTCGAAGGGTCTTCGAGCACCACAGCAATTTCTTGTGAGACAATCTGAGTCTTCCACCGCATAAAATATTTTTTGACCAAGACTGTTTTTTATGCTATATTTGTTGGCAGTTTCAAACCCAGTGAAGGCTGAAATAGAATGGCTATTTTGAAACATCGACGAAGTCGTAGAACTTCACCTTCTAACAGTTCAACCTTTTGGTGGACGAGAAGCTGGTCAATTGTAGTAAGGTATTCCAATCCTGGAGGGCAGTTGGTTACGTTGGGCGGCATACTCATCCAACCACCTATGTATGTACAAGAGTAAGCCATACTTAGTCGATCGCAATACAAAGGCATTTGTGAAACAGTTGATTTTACTGAACTATAGGTACAGGTATATATTAAATTTTAATTTACGGCAAAACATGTTTCCAAAAGGTGGTGTATCCTGTAGGGAAACCCCACTAAGCCAGAGGTTAAAAGGTCGTATTTATTAATTACGCAAGCTATATGCATTGAAATAGATTGAATTAGGTATACCTTTGCTCCTCTTCCGTAATTAAATAATGATATCCACTTTTCTTTAATAGTGACTTCCGAGACGAAAAGAGGGTGCGCAGTTTTGCCCAAAAAAAGGATTTTAGAGTGGCTTTCAGATGTCGTTTTCCTTTAGAGTTTGACATTTTCAAACATAATATGCACTTATTTGTCACAATTAAATTTCTCACTACCGTTTTCGTTGTTAAACCCGCAGTATCAAGTACCTACTCGTCACGTCGCGTTGGTTGAAGCTACAAATTAAAGTCCATTAAAGCCATTATCTTTATTATCGTACACTCTTGATCCCTTCTTAAAAACCGACATATCCTGTTATCTCTTCTTTATCTGTTGTTATTAATATACTCATTGTGTTTGGTAATAAAATAAGCATATTAATCCAAAAATGTGTAGCATTATTATAAGCGAAATTATTGAATAGTCTTATAGGTACCTACTTATGGAAGATTGGGAAGTTTACAAAACAAATTGAACGGCAAGTAATAGCCCGAACGGCAAAGATATTTTGGAATCCTTGCGTATTGTTATTAATAAAAAGTCGATATACTTATGTGAAATTAACTACTAAGCTGGTTTTTTGAAGAGCTATTAAAAATCACTTCTCGAAGTATACGTATACGCAATCTGTATTTGGACAAACCAGTGAAAACCATTAAAATAGTAGCATACCGTAATATGATCATTTTTGATTTTTACTCAAGGTTTACGTAGATACGTATACTAATGCACTTCTTTGGAAAATGCGCTAAAAACTCCGATCTGGTTGGAAGAAAACTGTATACAGTATACACATACTCAAACAGTGCGATCTCACAGGTAAAAGCTGTGTCGAGCATGGATCTAGAAATCGATATATAGATAAACGCACAAGTAAAAATAATCTTGAGGCATTGAATAAAAAATGCTTGAAAGTGAAGAAATACCTAACTCCCGATGAAACCATAAGCAAACGAAGGAATGCCTGGAGGTTGAAGAGTAAATCCCGAAACACACAAGCGAAAAATAAGCAATTATGAGTTGTTTGAGTCTTCGTGAAGATTTGGCGCATTGGAAAGAAGCGATGAAATGAAAAGAACAATGGAAAGAAAGAAAGAAGAATAACAATTGTAAAATATGAGACCCAGTGGGTCTTTCAACTGCAACTAGATAATAAAATTTATTCTCCTCTTCATGAGCTGTATTCTCGCAGTTACACCGATGCAAATGAGTAAACCTGTTCACGAGTTGGAGGTAAGTACGTGGTCACTGCTGATATGGACAAATTGAAAAGAATATTCAAACACTCTGTGTTTGACAAACAATTATTTGTCGATAGACAATAGTTACCATAATATTGAGGGTTGGCTGAATGTTAATTCGGTACAGTAATAATGAAGAATTGTTGTACGGAAGAATTGAATTTTCTGCAAATTTTATCCGTGCTGAAGAAATATTGATTTTGGTAAATTGTATTAACTTTTGCGAATAAGAATGTCCGAAGAGCGAAATTGTGACATTTTCGATTATTTGAATGTTTATACGTTATGAAAATTGCTGTAAGTGCATGAAAGTTATTTAAATGTTCTCCGTTTGAATCCTAATAGCGGCCCGGATGCTATGTGTATCCATAACGCAGCAATACAATGACAGTAGTGTCTCCCCTTATTGGTTCACAAAAAACGCGCGCGAACATTTTAAACATTTTTTAAATTTGGCTTTTAGAACCTAACACGACGCTACCATGAACCGATACGCATTGTTTAATTGTGTAAATACCTTAGTCAGCGTTTCTTAACCTTTTTCAGTCCACGGACCCCTGGAAAATCAAGAACAATTTCAAGGACCCCCTCAAGAAAGAAAAAAGAATAAATTTCAGGCTTTTAGTACTGAAAAAAAGGGCATTTTTATAAAAATTAAAAATACTGTATCAATGTGAAGGTTGGTACTGCTTTTTTGCAAATGTCCATAGATACGACGGCGGACCCCCATACACATACTCGCGAACCCCCCAGGACAGGTTAAGAAACACTCTTTAACCCTACGTTACTAAATTTACGTAAAGAGCCCACTAACAAATTTATTGCGAACTTTTGCGTTTCATTGCAGTCTCTCTGTCATTTTGTGCTCTAATTTTCAAAATCCCATCGACTCTATAGGCAAGAAACTAGACAGAGGACAAGGCAGTTTTCAAAGTTCATAGCAAATTGCTAGATTCTCATATTTCGTGACCCGAATTCAACAGACAAGTTTTTATGACACAACGTCCGCTGCCGTGACGATAGTTAGCATAACAATAAGTTACGTAAATAATCTTTAACCACGTAGGTATTGTATTTGTACTCTTCCTAATTAGCACATTTAAATACCTCCAGGTCCGCCACCTTGGCTCATTGGCTGATTCATAATTGGTGGAGCGGGTCCGTACGGTCCGGAAGGTGGCGGATACCCTACTGGAGGGGGTCCAAATTGAGAAGCGGGTGGTGGGTATCCACTTGGCGGGCCGTACCCCGCGGGTGGAGGTCCGTGACCACCTGGATAGCCTTGAGGCATCCCATATTCCGGGGGATATCCAGGTTGATAACCACTTTGCGAGTAATCTGCAAACGATGCATTATAATACTTTAAAAAAAAACGCATACGTCAGTTAGATAATTGAATGGCTATACTCACTCAAATTGTGTGGATTTGGATAACTTCCCATTTCGTATTTAGATAAATGAAAAATAAACAATAGCTACGTACGTAAAACACATTTTCTACTTTTGTAGGTTACGATAATAATATCATTCCAAACCCAGGAGAAGCGCTTTACGCAGTCGTCGTTGTCGTCGTCGTCGTCGTCGCCGGACGACGTTTGCATTCACTAACATTCGTGCTAAAACATGGGGAATGCTGAGCAAACGAAATTTACGTTTGTGTTAACAGAGAGCTGGGGAATTTCAAGTGCACATACTTACCATACTTATAATAGTATTTTTATTTATTACTAAATAGTATTGTGTAGTAGGTGTAGCTATAAGTATATTCACGAGACACAAATATAGACCGCAACAGATAACCTTCTTAATAATCGCTACGAAATTAACTAAAATTAGAATAGTTTGTTTTTCTAAACCTGTAAATACAATTAGTGATATTTCTTAATTAGGTATACTCTTTATTCACAAACGATTGTGGGAAATATTAATGCGATCCACATCCACTGCTATGAAAAGAGATCAATCAAAAGCAGCATTATACGCTTAACATTTTTTAGCGCATTTTTACAAATTTATTTATAGCTTTCCATTAACTTTGGCAGGCTAGCTGGCTGGCAGCAAATGAGATGAGGGTCCTTAAAAGAACGATTGTAGAAAGGCATGGATGTATGTCTACGGCGCTGTGTAATTAACAACTTTAGATACGGGGCTACATGATGTGAGGTCGACGACAACTAATTGCTGCTTTTTCAGTTTTTTTATGTGATGGTTTTGTCCGTCTGTCTGTCGGTCTGTTCCTCGTCTAACTCGAGAATGGAACGAGAGAGCGAGGTCAACAGGGGCGGACTGGCCCGGGGGGGCGGGTGGCGGTTGCCACCTGGCCTGTAGATCATAATGGCACGTTGGAAATTTATAAGTATGTGCTGTATTTAGTTTCTTGCACTATTAATAAATTATTAACACGTTTCTCTAATTGGGGTTGATGTTAGGTTGTTAAAAAATTCTGTTTTAATTGAAGTGTTTTACAATGAATTTATCATTTTTTGTCGTAGCATGAAAGTGCTGAAATACAATGATAGGCGACGCACCTCGTGTGGATTGTATATTTTGTTACTTTTAATTATCAGCTGCAATTTAAAAAAAACTGTATGGTAATTTTCTATAAGAAAACTTTTTTCCGGGTCGATCTGAGACAATTTTTTCTTCGGGGCTCAAAAAAAGGCAGTGTATTACCTTCCTTTTTTACCAAAATCGACTACACCAAAATTTCTCGGGAAAACACTTTTTCTTATTAATTTGGGTGCGTAGAATCCAAATCAATTCGTACTTTTTCGATCAGACTTCTCAATCAAAAGTTATAGACTAGAAACCAATTTCGAAAAAAATTCAAAGGGCTGTAACTTTTGAACTAGTAGCCCAATCTTGGAACTGTTTGAAATTATGGATTCTACAGGCCACATTCTATAAGAAAATTTTTTTCCGGGTCGATCTGAGACAATTTTTTTTTCGAGCCTCAAAAAAAGGCAGTGTATAACCTTCCTTTTTTACCAAAAATCGACTGCACCAAAATTTCTCGGGAAAACACTTTTTCTTATTAATTTTGGTGCGTAGAATCCAAAACAATTCGTACTTTTTCGATCAGACTTCTCAATCAAAAGTTATAGACTAGAAACCAATTTCGAAAGAAAATTCAAAGGGCTGTAACTTTTGAACTAATAGTTCAATCTTGGAACTGTTTGAAATTATGGATTCTACAGGCCACATTCTATAAGAAAATTCTTTTTCCGGGTCGATCTGAGACATTTTTTTTTCGGGGCTCAAAATTATTAACACGTTTCTCTAATTGGGGTTGATGTTAGGTTGTTAAATGTTTTAATTGAAGTGTTTTACAATGAATTTATCATTTTTTGTCGTAGCATGAACCCCCCCCCCCCCCCGCCACCTTCATTACTACACTAATACTTTAATGGCCCGTAACCTATGCAATTCCACCTGGCCCTTAAGTACCCAGTCCGCCCCTGGAGGTCAAACCTTCGCGTTCGCCAATCGATTTGTACGAGTGCAAGGATCAGTTCTATTGATTATGAGCCAGATTAAAAGTCTGGTTTCCGAATACGAACGGAGTACCTAGCAAAAAAATTCCCCTTTCTTGTTTTTTCGTACGGGCAAATTAACCACCTTTTGCAAGGCGCATATCTTCGAGGAGCAGTCGACTTCAAGCGACCAAAAGTTATCTTCCGCTGCGAATTTTGTCACGAGTGTATTAAGACCCTGCCACAGAATGCGTGGTCTGCGGTATTTGCATTCTATGCAACCTGCTAAACCGCGCTCTGTATGGCAGCTCCAAGAGCGGTCTCTTCTTCTCGTGTCCCAAATAGAAGCTCGAGCTATGAGAAGTACCTACCCCAAACATTGAGTACTATTTGGTGGAGGGGTTTTAGCGAAATCCGCCAAAATTTTTATATTACTGTGGGGGCGTCAGAAGTAGGTACCGATAAAGGAAATGCGGTAGCCTCCAAGATCTGACTGATGGTGAGGTCAAAACTTCAAACGCGAATTGCGGGTGAAAGAGACATCGGAAGTGCCTCTGTGCGTGGTGCATGCATTGTATGTAGGGATTAGTGCGTCCATATCTAGTGCGTACGCAATAACCCGTAATAAAAGAAGAGTTTTTCATAACAAACGTTCAGGGGCTGGTACCGATGAGTAAGATGCACCCTCCAACAGAGAATTGTCTTCGCACTTTCAATGGCAGTAGTCAACTGCGCACAGATTGGAGCGGGCTTAAACACTACTTAAATATTCCGATAAGATAGCACTCGTGAAATAAAATTTAGATAATAAATACATGTGACCTATGTGCTTTTTATTCAATGGTGCGATAGAAAACTATATACCTAATTAGATATATCATATATTTGATAAACTTACTTTGTAACTTTCATTTTACTATATAAACGGCTAATAGAATACTGATCTGCCACACAAAAATGCGCTGAAGTCCCTTCGATGTCACACGGGGTAGTAGGCTAGGACTTTTTATTAAAATATTATGTAACATTACCAGTATTCTGCCTTCCTAAGAACAGATGCAGTATCTACAAAAAATGTATTTTAAATTTTTAGCGCATTTTTGAAGAATTATTAACTATTTTTATTGTTTGCGCCCGTCTGTCCGTCCATCCGGACCCACTTCTGCGGTTTTAAACTACTTTTAGGGTGGAGTTTTTGTAATATGTATCCTATACCTTGAAGGTGTGCCAGACGGCCATCAAATTTCAGCCCCGGTGCAAAAATCGTTCGTATGTAATTTAATTCTGGGTTAGTAAGTTTCAAGCGCGCACTGAAATTTTTTTAGTGTTTATATTGAATGACAAGAAGAGTAAAATTTATTCTTTCACTACTTGATCCTGGGGAGGAATTTACTTAGCCGACGACAATGAATTGTCCCGCTACTAATGACAACCTCATGGTTACTCAAAAACAAAAAAGGAAACGTTTCAAAGATTCTGGGGAAAAGGGGGGTTACCTGAGAAACGAAATATGATGACGAATATAAAGGAAATGGAGACGATCGACATTTCGAAATAATTTTGTTTGATTTGGTTGCATTTAGAGTTATTTTTCAGTAGTTATAATACCTATAGAAAAAAAATAGTTTGTTAATTTAAGTGACTATAGCAATTAGCATGTCACATAGCCGCCGCAATAGAACCAGCAACCATAGCTACGCCTCTTGCCGTTATTTCATTGTTCATGTTGTGCTTGTGATAGCAACAAACCATGTAACACAATTTAAACAAATATTTTTGGTAAAATATATTAGTGTATTTAAACTTGAACAATTTGAGTACACCATAAATGCCTTACAATATATAAAGCACCGATATTACAATGACTAGAAAATGATAAAAATAAAAAATGTGAAATGAGTTTTGTCTTACAAATGATTGTAGATGGTACAGATCTTTGGTATATTTAAACTTTGCTTTCAGGACCACTGGTACTTTGGCGAAAGGAACTTTGGATATGAGCTGCATGTATGACATTAAGGTGTCCAAAATTTTTGTGATTCCATTCCGGCATTCGACCCCTGCAGATAATAAAAAATGATAATTCACCGCTGGGTACTCCTGAAATGAACTGTATCACCTTGTATCCACCCGAGAAAGATGCAAATATCGAGATCTACCAGAACCACCAGGCTCAATCAAATAACGGGAAGCTAGAACAATACCTCGTACGGTGTTTGGAATATTAGGAATGTCAGGGTGTTCCACAGATGTTTCCACAACGGCACAAGTCCCTCGCGGTAAAACTGTATTCCAAGTTCGAATGACACAATAATCTATATGAGGTAATGGAGGGACGTTTCTTCGTACATAATGAAATACCTCAGAATTTTTATTCATTTGGGCAATAATTTTGGCCGAATGCAGATCGTCATCCCAAATGTGACGTTCGCGCAATATTCGGTGTACAACTTCAGTTGGCGGAGCTTCGATATCTGCGCAAACTTTCCACAACCGCAAAGGATAACCATCTTCAACCTTCTTATAAGATAATTCTATTTTAGGATAAGCTGAAGATACAACAATCCATCCCCTATTTTTCTCTTTAACTTCACGTAACAAGGCAGATTGACATTCCTGCATATATGAAACCCACCCTCCTTCCAGAGATGTACCCAGATCTGATAATTGCACGGCGATACTGTCATTCATGCCATGTGATTTACATTGATTTAGGAACTCTCGCGGTACCTACAATATGAAAAGTTTAAAACTGTGCATTATGTATATTTAAATACATCAAATATGTTGCCGTTATTCTTCATTAAAAACAGGAGACATTCCTGCGCAGCCTTAACATCAATTAATTCCCGTTGATTTGGAGAACTCTGCTTGCAAAATGAAGAATGACTGTTATACTGAAAGAGAGACGGCGCAAAACAAATGGCCAAGTTGTTTTCATTCATTTGGTTTACATCTGCACATTTGGCTATTTTTAAAAGATAATACAATATCGTTTGCAACACTTCACGATGTTCATCTGGCATCAGTAGTAGAGTGCAGCGCACCGCTTCTTTACGCAGATACGGAGGAACATCTACAAAAATATCACATCATAAATATCTTCCACGTATATTACCCTTACATTGAAAAATCAATATAAAAGTCTCTGACAACTTGTTCGTAAGCACTGCTTCAGGCAATTCCCTAAAATATTGCTTAATCATGTCGGCAACGTCGTACGCCTGTTGCTCATTAAAGTTGATATTTTCTCCTTTCACTTCAACCATTACTTTTAGTGCCTGTATACGAGATCGAACACCAGGTTTTCGGAACAAACCAACCTGGTCGCAGCCGTTTTGATGCAACCATTCTAGTGATTCTTGTATGCCACGCGGAAGGGGTTGGCCAGTCCTTTGTAGTACTGCGGTAAGGGGTATACTTAAAAGCTGACTATGACTATCTGTAAATAGTAAATCAATAGTTACCTATGTATACAGATAAGTCTAGAACAATTAGAACAAGTTAAAAAGTAATCGTAAACGATTTACATAAAGCGCATTTCCACTTGCATTCATTTCCCATTTGTAAGATGCAACTTCTGTTAAAATCTTAAAAATCCGGCCACAAATATGAAAGATAGCGTTGCACATGGGCAATCCATTTTTGACGTGCTACTTCAATTTCAGTTTATGAGAAGAATTTCATTTTAATGCTTTTCTAAATAAGAAAGTTGGAAAGCGCATGCGCAAACCTACATTTTGAAACTAATGTTAGATTTTCCTTTGTTCCAAGCGCCTAAGTATCAAATTTCACTTAAATGCTTCCATAGATAAAAAAGTTGGCATTGCGCATGCGCAAAATAAAATTTTGAAACTGGCGCTAGATTTTCCTTTATTCCAAGTGCCTATGTATCAAATTTCATTTAAATTCTTCCATAAATAAAAAGTTGGCACTGCGCATGCGCAAAACCAAACTTTGAAATTGGCGTTTGATTTTCCTTTATCCCAAGTGCCTATGTATCAAATTTCATTCAAATGCTTTTATAAGTAAAAAATTTTGCAATTCGGTTTATAAATGGTCGAGATGCAAAAGGGCACTGTGAATTTTGAATCGATTCGATTCAACTTTTGGCGTTGCGTATTATATGGCTAAAGCTATGCCCATATTGAATTTCATGCAATTCAGTTCATAACTAACGGAGATGTAAAAGTGATCGAACATTTCTAAACAAAGTTATCGTTCACACGGACAGATAGATGGACAGACAGACAAAGAAACAGACGGACAGACCAACAGGCAGACGACAGATAGCAATGCAAAATTATAAACGATCTCTAGGATCGTTAATAAACGGCAAAAGTGTAAAATTATGGAACATGTAAAAAAACGGTTTTTTGTTTTTTTACAATAACTTTTTTTGTAAGCGGTACAGAAAAAATTCCTTCCTTGGTACAAGACTCGACACCATAACGAACCAAATAGCGAAAAAGTAGAACAATAGCTCTTAAGATAAAGAACTAGTAGCGTCGCAAAACGAGCGGACGGACGGACGGACGGACGGACAAAGTGGCCACAATAGCGCATTTTTTTTATTTTTGTGGAAATGCGCTAAAAATCGTGCAAGATACACGTATCTTTTCGACAAACCTGTTTATTGTGCTCTAATTTATTTCTCTGAAGGGAAGTTTATATTTAAAGAGTTAAGTAGGAAAGTAGTGAAATCGATAATTCACGTCACATGACGATGGAACACGTTCATTTTGATGTAGGTTCTAATAAGTATGCAAAACGATGCTTGAAACTTACCTTTATACATGGGAGTTCTTATTTTTTTAATGAATTTAGGTAATTCCCAATTCCAGCCCGTTCTGTGTGATGGACAATATTTTTCTATATGCGCCGTTAATTTCAATAAGGCTAACTTTCTAAGCACTTGTAATTGACCACATGATAAACTAAATAAGGGTCGCCCGTCTTGTTGTACCTGTGATTTGCCATCTGTGACAGATTCAATACTTTGCACACTATTCCAAAAAACACTAAAATTTTGTTATTAAAAATGTATTAGAAACAACGCGTCGAATGTACCAATCGTTGTTTGAGACATTATTCGAATCCAAGTTGCTCTCCTCAAAAGTTTCATCTTCATCTTCAGGACCTTCACCAACTACTGTGTTAGATAAGTCGAAATCGGGATGAATCGTTTCTTCAGTGTATCTTATGCTTCCCAATCGTTTTAAGAGAATGTCGGATACAGAACTAACAGAACTGACATCACTTACAACGACACCTTCTCGGTGATGGCGAAATCTAGTTGTAGCTGTTCTTCGTAGAAACGAACTTTCTTCAGTAGATTTACTATTAACTTCATATTTGCCTAAATGCATTATGGCCAAGCTATTTTTCCTACTTTTATTTTCTGGACTAGCGTATATTAGTGATGTGGCATTATTTTCAATTTGTTCCCCATTTGCTGAAGTTTTTAGTTTTATAGAAGACAAAACGATATTTTTAACACTTACAAGGTTCAACTTCACCAGTGCGGGACCATCTTCGTAAGTCACTCTGATAAGTCCAATTGTTACTAAGAGCACACTGTTCATCTTCCGAATCATCTGGACGTGCACAAGGTTGTTGGCAAACTCTCGCGCAGCGATTAAGTGCGTGTAAACGGCGAAAAAGGGACTGTAAAACAGCGGGTTCCAAAAACGGATGATCTCTTTGGGCAGCACCCACATCCACGGGAAACTGCATTTCTAAAAATTAACATTTAGACCAACCGGTCTATCGGAAGATAAAAGCAACAATTACCTTCATACATTTGGGCATATTGTGGAAAACCCGCCGCTCTTAACCACTTACATGCTTCCATGGCTTCAATTTCTGCAAATCAAAATTGCCCACATAATGCAATTTGTCAAGATTAGTCGTTGAGCTAATTCGTTTCAAACTCACAATTCAAACATACAACCCTTAATAGTGTAAGAGCTAATAAAGCAGGAGGCAAAATAATTTCTAAAACTACACTACAAACCAAAATGATAAAGAGGAGGCAGACATTACTAAAAACACACGATCGTAGCAAACAAACCTGCAATTTTGTGTGCTCTCATCTGCCTCCATAACTGCTCCGCTTTACGAACTGGCCAATTGTCATTCACTTTCACACTGAGACTACGAAAAAATTTGTATTCCCGCATTCGGACTGACATACTGCATGTATGTACTCACCGGCCACTCGTCGATCCAACTGTGAGCAGGTTTGTTTATTCACCTGTAATTATAAAATTATGAATGCACAAGCAGTCATCCCTTTAATCGAATTAAGATGAAAAGTTTACGCGCATGAATAATTTATAGGTAACCTTGACGCTCACCTTCTTGAGCATAGTAGTAGCCGGTAAATGATCATCATTGAAATTGTTTTCGGCATAGAGCCACGATGAGGTTGGCAAGTCATCCATAGATTTCGAATGCTTGTCATTTCCACACTGTACAATGTTTCCGGCAGGATCCACACATTTGCTAACGTACACATTAGGAAGAGATGGAAAATGTGTACAGGTACTATGCGATGCGCCATTGTCTAACCACGTGTTCGAATTTAAATCGTTACAAGAGCAAGTAGTGTTACTGGTAACGACTTCTTCATTACTGTCATCAGATTGAGTTTCACTGCTAAGTTTGCTGATGCAATTAATGGAATCCGCAGTAGAGTCCCACTGAAATGTCTTCTCTGAATCGATGTACTTGTTTTTGACGAGTTGTGCGTCATGTTGTTGTAGATTGTAGGGCAACTTACAATCTTCAAACACTCGCATAATTTCATCCTACAACAGTTAAGTATACAAAAGCTATTTACAAAAGTAAAATTAAGAGTAGCCATGCGAAATAAAATCCGCCTCCTAATATAGGTACAAAATCCCCAGGTCCCTTTACTAATCTTTATTGCTTATAAACCGTATCGGCCTCTCGAGACATAAATGCAGCCACAGAAAATATTTAAGGCCGGAAGAGTCCGGAATTCATTCAGTATCGCGGAGAAGTTTCAGCAAAACATCATGGCATTCAAAACGGTGTTAATTTTTGCGATTACTATAAATTCGGTGTTCTCACTTTCGAGGGAGAATGTTAGTAAGGCAGAGGTGCTATTTCTTAACTTCTTCGGTTACTTTTCAGGAATCGGAGCAGATGCTTGTGGTTAACGATGATAATTTACCGTCAGTAAATCGTGCTAAAAGATTCTGCGATGGAAATGTGTGTTCGGAGGCTTTCAGAGAGATCCCTTCTTCGTGCATGTTGGCAAGCTGCACAAAGCGGGCATTGCAAGAAGACGTTGGACCATTTTGGGCAAATCGAGGCAAAAGAAATCCCAACTATAAGACGGAAACTTTGTACGCAAACGAGCCCCATTGGGTATTAGTTCGGCGTGCCAATGACGAGTTCCTTCCGTACAAATACAACTACGAGCCATTTTTTATTACTCGCGGAAAGAAGGATAAGAAAATTGAAGAGGATAGTAACAGTATTATTCAAGAAATGTTTGGGAAGATGCGTATTCGTAACCATCAAGACTCCGAGATAAAAAATACGGAATAATTTCTGATGTATGTAGGTATCTCAAATTAAAAAATGCCTTGTAAGAAATTATAAATATAATTGTTAAAAAAACTAGATATTCCTTAAACCCAAGTTTATGGCTCCACGACGGCATTACGCTTACTAATATCCTTAATTGTGCTTTTGCATTTAAAAAGGGGGTATTTAATTAATGTCGGGTCGGTCTTTCAAATTTTAACAATACGCGTGAGAAAGCATCTCTTACGCATTCTGAATGAACTAGAGGTAATAATTATACTTAATTAGAGCATTAAGTTTGTAAGTAATTGCAGTGTTTATTAAGAATGTTATAAACTTAGCCAGATGTTTGGAACATAAAGCTGTTTTTTATATATTTTCACATACTGCATGTGAACGTTGGGTTTTATACTTTCTATTTAGTGCCATAAAATCTGTAATGAAATACAAAAATTCTATATGAAAATGGTCCTGCCATCAGTATCGGTAAATTATTCTATGGCCCGAGGTATAAAAACTAGTAGGATGTGTAGAAACATCCAAAACGAACGGGCAATTGAGGAATTGCAACAAAAACAGGTTTAAACGACGTATTTGGAGTATAAATTAGTCATTATCAAAATCATGGCTGAAAATCAGACGGTGAACCAATCGTCGTGTCCATTGAAGAATTGCATTCATACTGTTTTTATGAAATACCTTCAAGTAGAGGGATTACCTACCTACCTTTGATACTCACTATTATAATCTATCGAGCAATAGCTTTGTTTTATGTTATACCAAATTTACACTGTAACGGCAATAGAAGATTCATTAATCTGTAAAACAAATGCTCCACAAGGCCTATTTGATATGTTAATAAGAAAAGATGACGCTTCTGGCATGTGTTAAGTAACTCAATCCGACGCATTTACCTACATGTGGCTTTGCATATGTTTAAAGAATTATAAAACAATGAAAATACTTACGTTTACTTGTTCCAAATAGAGTTCAAACTCTCGATAGGAGTCGGATTCGTCCAAACTCATATTTTTCGAAATTATTTTGGATCAAAATTAACCATTTTATTCTAAAAAAATAACTGAACATCAAGTAATCCTATAAATCGCATAACAGTAAATTTGACACAAATTAATGTTTAGTTTAGTAACACATTTAAAATATCTACAGTTATTCACACAGTAATATTATTTAAAATTTTAGTTTGAACTCCCCACAAAAGTGTAAATAAACCCTCCGTTATTACCATAGCAACATACATTTTCCACCAATAGTAAAGCAGTTTCCATAGCAATGCCACTGAAAATGTCAAACCTGACAATTTGAAAAATTGTTCTTTAAAAAGAATTTGGTTACGAACGTAGTGCTTTACTCCAATATACATAATGAAAAATTGAATCAAAGAAGTGGAGCCCATCACCGTAACGTCATGCACTATTAATTGCTACTGTATTTAATTATTCAAGATACTCAACGTTATCTTTGATCCTTCATTCCGTATCCTGTTTAGTTTTAATCAGTTTTCCCCCAGAACACGGAAGCGATACGCGCACAAACTACCACGCTGAACTTTAGAAGAATGTGTATAATGGCAATTAAATTTTAACTTATTTCACACTAAAATACGAATGTTGTACTACATTCTATAACGAATTGAAATCGAGTATATCTAATGAATGACGCAATAACAATTCCCATGGTCGCTCCACGCCCACACCCACCATTCTAGTCACATCCTTAACGCGCGGTCGTAGATTACGCAAATTTCTCGACTATAGCTTAAAGGTTACATTAGAGAAATCTATCAACAATTTTTAACATTAGTCATCACACTTACCTAATTTCTATCGACCATCTAGTAGCACCTATTCGAAAATAGCCGCCACCGCTACGTCACCCACTTATCAGCTCTATTTAAATATCTCTTATCACCAGCTGTAAACTTTTATTTACACTGTGTTCTGGCATAAACAACTCCATATACTAATTACAGCTCGTATGTAAATATACCTGCACTTCACACCTTGCTTCTGGGGATAATTTCTAAAACAGGTGCTTTGTGTTTTCCAAATTCTTTGCTTGCACCGCCGACGAATATCAATGAAAGATTTAATACCTAATCAACTGCTCAGGACTAATTGTTTATGTGAACTATAAGGACTAACTGTGCCTTATCCACTTTGGTCGTCCAGATTGAGATTAATTCCCAGAAATTCGGCAGTAACTCTTGAACGAGCAGTCTACCCAATCCGGGGGGTCTTGTGCAAAAACTGGGAAAATTTCTTATGCGGACCAACGAACCAAATTCACCACCAATCGCAATTATTAAATCATATTCGCTCATCGCTGCAGGTTGTAATTTAGAATTTGTAATGAAGCTGTTAGGTCATATTTTAGACGAGATCGTTAATTTAAAATTTCTTTGGAACATGTAAATATTTGAAATAGACAGTCATGTTGACCTTCTGTAGATGTTGTCCTTGTACCGAAGATTCTACCGAAATATACGAGGTATATTATAAAGTAAAATACTTACTCCTTAGATTTGTGAATCGAATCAGCGCATATTTATTAAGACGAATTATACATATATATTGACCCATCTCACATCCATGGATTAGTCTAAATCCAACAGAAAGTACAGGTATGATAAGTATCAGCTCCAGAGAAATGTCCGACAACGAATAGTCAGATTCCAGCCGATTTGTTAGAAAATTGCTTTTGTGACAAGAAGAGACAAACGCTGCACCACTTGGTAAAAATACTCCAGAGTTGGAGGAAACATTCGTCGATGGTTATTAGTGTTCTGTGAAAAACACTTTTCGCTAGTTGAAATTCAATTAAAACTCTGCGAGACCAAATGACTTAGATCTTAGATAATACCTAATTTGTGCAAAAGACTTTGAAATCGATTCCTGTTCCTGCTTTTGAAGTCACAGTAGGTATATCTCGCGGTTGTTAGCTTTGGTGACTTTCAATAGATATAAGATTAGCCTCTCCAGTCTCTAATTTGCCAAACAGGCACCTTCACCTACATTTTGCCTACATTTTAATTTGTTTAGATATGGATTTATAGTTTTTTTTGAGTTACATTAAGATTTTCGTTTTCTGATTAGGTACACTGTCGCATTGCGCGTTTATCTGTTATTAATTATGTATTATCCTGCAAATGGAATATTCTTTTCTGTGGGGCAGGTGTAAAGTGTATCGTTTACTGAGAACTTTTGTATATGATGACCGAGACCGAGAAACAAGTGCGTATTCCCGCAAGTAGAAAACAAGATTACCTACGTACCTGTACTAGTGAATTTTCAGTGCTCATAGTCATAGAGCTTTCCATTTCGTTTGAAAGATTTTCTGAAAAGACCGAATTCAGAGAAATTTATAATATTGCATTATTTTATATTTATAAATTAAAAAAATAGTTTGTGTCACGAATTTCAATGAAGTACATGATTAAACATTGTTTCACATGTTCTTGATATATCAGCCAATTAGGTGGTAGAGTACAACCATAAACAAAGGTACAACAGTCCATACAAGTTAGGAACAGTAGAACGATTAAAAAATTGTTATATTTAATTAACTCTTTTTAAATGTAATGTAATTAATTTGTGTTCATCAGTTTCTTTGATTAAATCGATCAACTCGTTTGTCTTTATGTGAAATGGTAATGGCGTATAAAAAAGACAACGCACCAAGGTGGATTCAGATGCATAATCCACCTTGCAGCGCACATAAACCGTCTTATTTTCAAACTTACCATTTACGCGCCCAGAATTAAAAGAACCAATCACAAAAAACCTTCGCGCGCGCTTTTCTCCTAAACGCGCCAAGAAGAGCGCGCGAAAGGTAACTCTACTTCAATTACGATACCCGAGATGGCGCTACGAGTTTTAAATATGTGCGCGAATCTTAGATCACAAAGGCGCGAATGAATAAATGTGTACTTAGCAATGTTTGAAAATATAAATAGCCCCTCGGAAAACATAAAACACAAAATGTGACTCATCGGCACCACGAACAGCGAATTCTACCCACTGCAATTACTTCAATTGCCTGGAGTCGTGAGTTGACTAAATTTTTTTACTGCATCTGCCTTGAAATTGATCTTTGAACAACGATAATTTCTTTGTGTATTTAAATATAGACAACAATAATAATAGCCTTATTTAATACTTGCAATGGCATTTTTTGAATTATAGGTAATGGGAGTCGAGCCGACTTCAACGAAAATGCGAAAATCGTGCAACATTATATGGTGATTGGTTACTGTAATTTTTTCGCGTACGAGGGTTACATTTCAGATCAAAGGGTTTTATTTCTGTTCTGTTGTAACTCCTTTTTAGCGCATTTTTATAAACTTATTTGTAAAAAAGCGGCTTTTAATCTCACTCCTGCTTGACGGAATTATATGGCGCAAGGCGAACGAAAAAAGCAAGAATAACCTGTGAATTCAGGTTTCACACTCAGAATTTTGATGTTAAGAGGTGAAATTGTATTATAATATAAAGAAAAAAAGGATTGAAGACGAATCATTACAGACACAAAACATCTACTTTTCAGTGGCGTATTTACGGGGGGGGGGGGGGGTGAAGGGGATATATATCCCTATTTAGGTAATACTCCGCTATCCGCTCCGCCCACTTTAAAATAAAGGCAATAATATATATAGGTATATATAGAGAGCAATTTTGGTTTTGGTTAAAGTCTAAAGTCTAAAGTCACTAAAATCTAAATATTCTGTAGTATTCAGTATTCACTATTCAGTGAGTGATCAGTGTTGGCAGTCAACGATTTGGCTATTCGGCATCGATCGGCAATTCGCTACACTGATGCCCAAAATAACAAATAGGTATCAGGTACTTAATACTGCTACCTGAGGTGAGGTACCTGCGTCCTGCCTTTCACGAAAGGACGAAAATAAGAATTTTAAATTTTAAAAACAGGAATTTTTTGCCTATAACTTTTGATTGAGACGTCTAATCGAAAAAGTACGAATCGTTTTGGATTCTACGCACCCAAATTAATAAGAAAAAGTTTTTTCCCGAGAAATTTTAGTGCAGTCGATTTTTGGGAAAAAAGGAAGGTTGTACACTTCCTTTTTTTGAGGCCGTCAAAAAAAAATGTCTCAGATCGACCCGGAAAAGACATTTTCTTATAGAATGTGGCCTGTAGAATCCATAATTTGAAACAGTTCCAAGATTGGGCTACTAGTTCAAAAGTTACAGCCCTTTGAATTTTCTTTCAAAATTGGTCTCTATAGTCTATAACTTTTGATTGAGAAGTCTGATCGAAAAAGTACGAATTGTTTTGGATTTTACGCGCCAAAATTAACAAGAAAGAGTGTTTTCCCGAGAAATTTTGGTGTAGTCGATTTTTGGTAAAAAAGGAAGGTTCTTCCTTTTTTTGAGGCCCTCAAAAAAAATTGTCTCAGATCGACCCGGAAAAAAAAATTTCTTATAGAATGTGGCCTGTAGAATCCATAATTTGAAACAGTTCCAAGATTGGGCTACTAGTTCAAAAGTTACAGCCCTTTGAATTTTCTTTCGAAATTGGTCTCTAGTCTATAACTTTTGATTTGATTTGATTTATTCCTTTGGACAATTAATGACATTGTATAGGAAGCGTCATGGTAAGTATTGATAGTAAGTATTGTAAGATTGAGAAGTCTGATCGAAAAAGTACGAATTGTTTTGGATTCTACGCACCAAAATTAATAAGAAAGAGTGTTTTCCCGAGAAAATTTGGTGCAGTCGATTTTTGGTAAAAAAGGAAGGTTTATACACTGCCTTTTTTTGAGAGCCTCAAAAAAAATTGTCTCAGATCGACCCGGAAAAAATTTTTCTTATAGAATGTGGCCTGTAGAATCCATAATTTCAAACAGTTCCAAAATCGGACTACTAGATCAAAAGTTACAGCGCTTTGAATTTTTTGTCGAAATTGGTTTTTTGCCTATAACTTTTGATGGAGACGTCTAATCGAAAAAGTACGAATCGTTTTGGATTCTACGCACCCAAATTAATAAGAAAAAGTTTTTTCCCGAGAAATGTTGGTGCAGTCGATTTTTGGTAAAAAAAGGAAGGTAATAACTGCCTTTTTTTGCCCAGAAAAAAAAATTGTCTCAGATCGACCGGAAAAAAATATTTTTTATAGAATGTGGCCTGTAGAATCCATAATTCCAAACAGTTCCAAGATCGGACTACTAGATCAAAAGTTACAGCCCTTTGAATTTTTGGTCGAAATTGGTTTTTTGCCCATAAATATACCTAATATTCAAAGTTTTCGTTGACTATTAGTAATTAAAGCAAAAGCAATAAAGAGGCCTGTCAGCAGTAAGAAATAAAATACCGTTCTAATCTAATCTTTTTCGCCTGTACAATAATAAATAGATAAATGTTTACCAGCATCAGCAACCTGCAACTCAATTTCTTACCCCCCTCCCCTCTACCTTCTAGTACGCACTGGGTGACTGTATGTGCCACGAACTTGTTTAATCCCCCCCCCCCCCCCCCCAGAATACATTTCTTCGTACGCCACTGCTACTTTTGTTTTTGGACTTGTAACCCTACAGGAGATGACGCTACAAGTCTGAATTCATGCGTCAGGTGTATGGAGCGCAATCTATAGACGCCCTACGATTATCCAGTTTTGCTCCACTTTTCATTATTATGGCATTGAAAAGCTCAATGTAGGTAATGTATAACTTGTAACGCCATCTCCTGTAGATTATTTAAAATCTCGCAATCATTCGCGCTTACTCCAAAAAGTGCGCGTCAAAACGCTTGGTTGGTTCCTAATTTTCTCAACGTGTAAAAAAAGTGTTTGTATCTGTTATTTTCTTACTCCATACTTTCCTCTTTATACATTACGCTTTTACATAAAACAATCTGTTCCTATCCACTGCTATCTGTTAGGGATAGGCACTAGGCAGTTAGTATCGAAGGGATGTTGAATGTCAAATATTATAGAGACCCCCCGCTTTATGAAGTAATTGTACATGTACACCTATCAGATCTTTCCAATACCAAAAAACTATGAAAAAAATAATTCAATTTATTAGAGAAATATACTTTTTAAAGTTATAATCAGGCACAATGGCAACTTATACACAAAATAACAATACTTTTAAAACTATAACTGATAAACAAAAACTTAGTGTTCCAAAGTAAATGCACTGGAAACAACTGTCATTAGGTACTTTAAAAAATGAGGTCTCAGCTGTACTCTTTCCAGAAACAATACAAAGTTCATAACAAACTTGTCCAAATATAAAAACATACACAATTAATAAAACCGTCCAATAACGCTTTCCTATCGTTTAAACAAATATCTGAAACGTCATGTTTTGAGGAGGTCCGATAAACAGCATATAAATCCTGAAAGACGAATAAACACGATTATGTAAACTAACTCGTATACGAACCCCTCTAGAAGTATGCAAATCCATAGAAAGCAACATAAAAGCTCCATCATAACGATGATGTAATATCACATAATGTTGTATGTTACCATCAGGAGATATAAACATACGATGTTGGTCAGTATACTTGGTAAGCAAAAGCTTTGACAATCCCTGATACCAACTCAAAGGTTGGTGTAAGAGAGAACTGAGATTAGAGTGAATATCACTCAAATTCGTTAAAGTGGCAAGATTTTTCAACTCTATAAACTCATTGTACGTTAAATGAGTGGATTCAGGTGGCGACACCAACTTATTCCAAAGCAAGTGTGTCCTACAATCCACCATTCCTGCAAAAAAATTTTTACGTCGATCAAAGCAGCCTAATGATCGTTACCTTGTGACACTATCTCTCTAATTTTTTTCTGTCCAATACAGGATTGTTCTAATATTAATTCCTGCATCATTCGCTCGTGAGAAGAATAATAACCGAGGTAATTCACAGACTCTTGCTTAATCGTGGCATGAGAAAAAGTGGTGTGCTGAGAGATGGTTTTCGTTATAGCTTCTTCTTGCAAACTCTGACTGTGAGATTCAGAGTTATCTACATCTGAATCCACTACGGAACTGTGGGAACCGACGCTACTAACACTATCATCTTCGACCTGACTTTCTCTTCCACTGATTGAGGGCTGGTGTAACATTGATGAAACAGCACGAAACTTTCCCAAACTTCTGTCACTCTCCAACTTAGGAAACACCTCTCTAGGAGCAGCAGAAGTTGATTATTATAATGCAATCCTGACTTACATTGTCAATTTATAGTACTTAACATGTAAAAAGGTAAGTTGATTACCATAATTTGAGAATTTAATTACAGCTAGTTACACTAAAGCAACAAACCTATGTGAAGTGAGAATCAAGTAATATTTCAAATGCAGAGTACGGTCTGACATATCACTTTCTGAATGTGCGCGAGTTATTATTAGAGTGACATCAAATTCGTCAGTGTGTTGGTAGTCTTGCGAATCTTTATAGGATGTTTGTGGAATGTTTCCCATTTGCACTAATACGTATTCGATCGATGCGCAGTTGTTTCCTTGCATACTAACCGCTTCCATGCCATACTGATTTACGTTACTCAAAAGGTAGTCATACAACTGTTTACTTTCGGTACTGAGATCATGTATACTAATAGTTTCTGCAAAGTATGTCTCAGTATTGTTGACTATGTCATAATAGTATTCACATACCTTCGTGAACTAAATTACGTGCAAAATTTGGAGCCTTATTGTAATATTTCATAAAATCTTCCAGAAAATGTGTTAAATGATAACCTTCGCAAACTTTGTCTTCAGTACTGCTATTTGATATGTAGTTTCGAATGCATCTCAAATGAAAATCGTACGTAAATGAATGTAAATGCATGACTATTTTTATTCGATCGGATTCGTCCAGGAAACTCAGTAGCTGTAAAAAAGAGTGTACTCTTGCCACATAAACTTAGAAACTGACCTGATTTATGGATGTCCGAGAAATGCTGGACTGCAGCCTGCTGCACTCGATAGCGTGGAGTTTTGTTATCAAAAATGGTTCTTTTAAGTGTATACTAAAAATGAGAATACCACCCAGCATAGCCTTTTGAACGTAAAATATAGGCTCTGTGTGCTCAATTTTAAAAAATCTAAAAGCACTTGTAGTACATTTCCATTTGAAACATCCGTAAATGCAACTTACCCCCGCTTTTTGTATGTGTTTTCGATTTGTAGAGGAATGAAACCAAATGTTTGAAGATATCGCTTGTACTCCATAATGAATAACTGACACAAATTGTCATGCCACACATGCTGATGCTCCTGTGACGATTTTGAATCCTCAGATCCAAATGATCCATTCAAAGTTGACGAATGTAAAGCATGATCGCGAGTTGAGGCCGATTGCACTCGCCACTTTTTTAGAAATAGAAGTGGGGTGTGGCAAAAATGTGTGACCCTTGAGTTTTGTTTCAAGATCTGTATTTGAGTGGAAGTGCATGTACTTGTTCGTGACTGCCACATTGAATGCAATTTCTTCAGTTCATCTACAAGCACCAGTATAGTTAGTGTTTCTACATGCATGCTACCATACCTTTATGTTTTTTATCACTGCGTTTCATTTCCTGCACCTCAGTCGTAAAAAGAACAACCGGATCTGAATGACACCATTGAACATGTGGATAAATGTCTCTGAATGCTTCCAGTGTGACCATTGGTTGCATTATTCCACTGGAAGGTAACCGACGACCGTAATCTCTCGAAAATTTCATCATGAACTCTACATCTCCAATGAAATTTAAATATGGATTGTTAGTGTCCAACTGGTAATGTTCATAATTACATAAATGCAGTATAATTGTATACATACCAAATAGTTTCTTGTAAGTGTTTGATTATAAAAGATGCCCAATTTTTGAGCAGTAATCGAGCTTAAAACTGCAGCGCGCGTGCTTAACCACAAGCCAACATTTCGGCCCAAGTCTACCAACTTATTAATGCTATCTTTTGACCAGTTGTACGTATAAAAAGAAATCTAAAGTATGAGAATTAAAAAAACGCAATGCAAGTGTGGACTTACCTTGTTGCTCTGAATAATCGCCCACAAAAATTTTTGACGAGGAACGAAGCTGGCGTCCTCGGCAACAGCCGGACTAAATTTCTGAACATGTTTTTGTTTTTGAACATTCGCCATTTCGTAATACTCCTCCACTGTTTCTGCGGATGTGCAGGCTCTCCATTGTTCGAAGTTTCGAGATACTATAATCACTTTTGCGGGCAGTTGTGAACCATTGTAACGTATGTAGACTTCGTTATTCAGACCGTTTACGGGCGTAAACGCTTTGGCAGTCTCCTGGGATAATTGACCGATAATACTTCGAATTTCTTGTACAATTGTGCTCATCATGTGAGGGTTTGACAAAGTGATTACGTTTTTTCTCACAGCGGGGACGGCGAGATCTACTCCAAAATTTAGCCACATGTGTAAAGTTGTGGAACATATTTTAGTCATCACGCCCTCATTTCCCAACTCGTAATTATTAAATTTAACTAAAGCTTTTTTTCTCTCATCTTTATGTTCGGCGTTTTCAATGTAATCATTAAACAAAATGCTGCGTCTCGCCGTTGAGTTCAGAGGTATGTAGTTTTTGTGTTTTTGGGAGATGAGTACTTTTGGTGTTTCGTTCACATTTACCGTGGGTTCAGCGCTATGCTGTGCTTTCTTTTTAAAGTTTGATAACAAATTCGTGTTGATGACAACAGAACACCCAACTTCCTTTTCCGAAAATGTTAAAGGAGTTGCGTCTGTTTTGTGAAGAGTTTTAGACATATTAATTACATCGTCGAGATCCTTCTCGCATAGGGGACTATGTAATAAGTGGTATTCTGTGAGGATATCCCACATGGATTGTCTCGTCGCCTCACATAATTTATAAGTTAGGTTATCTGTATTAACTCTTCCCTGCTTCCATAATCGAAATTCTATATATGTTGATGAAGGCTTATCTGTAAAGAGATATTTTTGCAATATACAGATATATTTAGTCGTTTATGCCAAATTGTTTGAATGGCCAATTTCTCACTGACTGTGTCACGAGTCAGGATATCTCTGAAATGTGCATAGTGGCTCACCACACAGTGTGTAGTAGAACCTTGGACAAGAAGCTTCCAATGCAACTATGGACTTTGTCTTTCCAAAGCAGGAGATATAGTCAAGAAATTGTCCACCCTAGAGGAAGATAATAGAAGTAATATGAAGATAGGGTTGCCATCTCAAAACTCTGCCAACTAGGACAGGAAGCGTGAAAACCCCGGATTTAGGGATTATAAACCCGGACATATCAATTGAATTTTAGAAAAAATATTGTCTAAAGAAATAGTCTTTGAAATTCTACTTTATTTTTATCACTGACTAGACTGTTTCAAATTCAATAATAGTAAAAAGGAACAAGGGATTAAAAAGACTTTTTGTTCCTGAGAGAATGGTTTAAATTTAATATTTTTTTAATATTTTTAAGAGAACAAAAACTAGTTTAATCCAGTGTTGCTTATACTATTTTTTTCCAATACCGATCGATTTAAATCCATTTTTCCATGAATTGTTTACAAGAAAACAAAAATGAGGGATTAAAAGTTTATTAATCTCTAGGGATTAAAATTACCTGTTAATGTACAAAAAATTAGGGATTAAATTCAAGAAAACAATGTAGGTATTGGAAAAATTCCTTTCTTTGGTCCACTGTTATGCCACTAGTGAAAATATTCTTTCAACGTTGGTATTATGAGCAGGAATGCAAAAAAAGCACCAGACAATTTTCAATAACTCCAAGCTTAATGAGGATTCGGTGTTTTAAAAAATTGTAACCAAAGCTGATTGGCGCCTTAAAAGTTTATCTTGTTTTGACAGAAACTCATAACTTTCCTACACACGCGGCGTATGCGGCAGTGCTTCCATTCAGTTACTTCCAGACGTGCCTTCCAAACGCCAGCATCCAAATGGAAAAACGTGTAGCTGCAGCGGTAGTAATCATTAACGAATCATCCAAAAATACTCGTAAAAATAGAAGGCGAATGTAGGCAAAAGAATGGCTTTTGCAGCGCAATCACATTTTAATCTTGTGAATGAACTTAGTAGTTTCCCTGATGACTTCAGAAATTATCTTCGAATGACAGAAGATGCATTTAAATTACTTCTGGAACTGGTGAAGAACGATTTAACCAAATCAGACACTATAATGCGAAAAGCAATTACTCCAGAAGAAAAGTTAATTGCGACTTTAAGATACCTTGCGACCGGGTGCAGCTTGGAAGATTTAAAATTTTCCACTCGTACATCTCCCCAGGCTTTGTCATTAATAAATTAAACAAATATAGCAAACGAGCTCCTGGGTATGGCTATAGCATGTGCAAAACCAAATTTTAAACCTGATGTTAGTTTTGCTTTTATTTAAAGTGTATATGTATGAAATTTCATTTAATTGCTTCCATAAATAAGAAAGTTGGCACTGCGCATGCGCAAAACCAAATTTTGAAACAAATTCTGACAAAAACTCTTTAGTGTTTGCCATTTTGTTAGGTGATGGAAGCCCAGAAATTCAGACAGAGCCTGAAATCAACGGCGATGGAAGTCGGACTGCCGGGAAGTAAACAGCCGCTTGAACCTACACGCTGATTTTTTGGAAAGCGGTGTCCAACGCCGTCTTCCAAAAACGCCGGACTTCCAATGAAACCCCGCCCGGACGCTCCCTAAACTAGGACAAATCCGGGGAAACCCGGACGGATGGCAACCCTATATGAAGAGAACCACTACGACGGTTCAATTAAGAATGAAAATGGTGCTTGTCAAACTTCAAAGAGCAGAAAAATTCCGAAGAAAGTAGATAATAATCTATCAATATCAGAAATCAGTATATTCCCAGATCTCTATACCTGCATCGACGCGAAATACATATATGCATAATATCAAGTGCAGAAAAGGAAAAAATAGAAACGACTACAACAATTTTTGTGTTACATTTCACATTTATGGTTCAATGTACTGGTTCCAGATAAGTTCTTTGTCTAGGAACAGTCCTAAACATTTGTTATGTTATTTAATAAGAGTGTCCAACCCACATACCATGACACTATTGTTTGTATGGTGAGACTGTGACGGGTCAAGAATACAATGACTGACTTTTCGGGTTACATGATCAGGTTGTATTGCCTCAAATGGTTTTTAAATGTATGGTAATAAGTTTAATTTAAATAATCGTTTATGGTTTCAGATTTAGGAATAATTCCAGTGGCGTCAATAAAAATGTCCTTAAACGATTGTTCAAACAAATTTCGATACGCGTTCTATACACAACCGCAACAGTGTAACGGGAGCCCGCAAATGTATTTTCATTAATTCAGATATCAGAAAATGATAAACATCACATAACTGTCCCTTAAGGCCCAAGTGTAGGATAACTTTATTTTTTGAAATAGAAACCTATACTTTTTATTGAATATTCTTATTGTACATCGGAAAATAATAAACTTACATAAACTAATGAACAACTTACCGTGGTCTGCATATTGATTGGTATGAACCAGCTCCTCGAATGTCATTGTATTAAACAGTTCTGCAAAATCCACCACATCATTTTGTGTATTATCCGATCGCGGTATGATTGCCAGCGCGATACAAACAATGCCTCTACTTCCTGAAGCTGGATTCTGACTCTGATTATAAATAAATATATTATCTGAAAGCTTTATGCTCGAATCGTTTTCCGAATAATCCTAAATGTGAAAAAAAATCAATACATATTACTAACACTGATGTCACGTACCTTAAAATGGTAATGAGATCTGTTATCCGAATACTTAGGAATATTTAAGAACTGCAATAAATTTTGACGAAGATAGTGAATGAACGAGTTGAGGTACTTTATGGCGTACGATTGAATGGAAAGCTGAAAAAAATTGCCATGCAGTATACAGTAAAAACATTAAAATGAAAAAACCTTTATAATATTTTCTGGTGGACGAAACGGTTTCTGTAAGAAATGTACATCTTCAGGCGTTAAAGGACACATAGCATTTCGAGCCAACATAATTGAAAGACATTCTAGAATGGCATCATCCAGTCTGTTTTGAAGAACTTGTACAAGATCACAGCGAATATCTTCGCCAGCCTCAGTAATTCCATGAACTCGTAAAATCAAAGTATCTTCAATTAAATTATCCTTAGTTTCTTTCTCTCCAAACGACCGTACCCTTGGTCTAATATCAGATTCCCTCTACATAGTACATTAGATTCTTACAATCTTTGATTGTTATGCACTTACACTATTAGATGACGCAATACTATGTTGGGATTGGGTGAGAGTATTTTTTTGTGGTCCCAATGGTAAGGAAGCAATAGATGGGCTCCGTGAAACGATCGCATTTTCAAATTCATTTGATCTAGTTACGCTCTTATTGCAAAAATTTTGTACATTCTCATGTAACCTAAAAAATCAATGTAAGAAATGGAATCAAAATAGCTATTGTAATACCTCAAATAAAAAACATTGGACTTCACATCTTGATACACAAACATATTCGAACGGTTTACGACTGACAACTTATCGAGCACAGTTTTTAAAGCAGGCACTCCTCTTGACGATCCAGATTTACCGTAACCCGCTTTTAATCGAGGATGGAGAATAAACTGAGTCTCCCAGACAACTGGACAACTGAAGTAGCCCACCGAAAATTTAAAGGATGCGTCTATTAAAGGCACAGGATACGGGTCAGATTCCTCACTTGCCTCTAAAACCAGTTGTATTTAAAACCCAACAAAGAGTATATCATTTTACCATCCATGCTCTTTAGTCTCGAAAAAGATGAATTTCCAGTCAGTATGGGTGTACTTGCGTTATTGTGCCATTCTTTGAAGTCATCGTCCGGTTCCAACAACAGGTGACAATTTCGTGTATCGTTAAGTGCTTGCAGTAGGAGACATTGATTAACTCGCTTGCACAAGTCTCTTATCGCATCACAAACGGATCTCTGTACTTGCAAATATACACCTACGTGAGTAGTAGGTAACTCTAAAAACCTATCAAAAATTATAACTAATAAAACCTGCACATCTGGTATTTAGACATTTTAGTGAGATTCTTCAAACTGTCAAAATTACTACTTTCAGCTCATAGCGCTGCGACATTATACCGCAGTTTTAAACACTCCAGATAGCTCATGTCTTAGCTGACATAGACTCTATAGCTCAGATATATCGGGAGTAAATGAACTCAACAATCTTATAAGATTTTGTTTTTGCTTACATGAACCGAAAATTGAAATTGTGGTTTTGCTATGGCAAACACAAAAATTTTCCCTAAGATAGGAATAACTTTTCAGCACAGAAGCTATGTGTGTTAGCACGTCGTAAACTATAACAAATAATACCTGCAATGAAAATAGATCTTCACCATCTCTCTATCGACACACATAATCAACCAAAAGTTCGGCAAATCCTTTCTTTTTTTGTCCATTCTCATCAACCAACTATAATCCTCTTCATCTTCGCTGATATCTTCATCATATCCTACACAAACTAGTTTGAAAAGGTAAAATTACTACGTTAAGCACCTACCACCGTCTGTCCCATAATAGCTTTCGTTTACACTAGACGTATCGCTCTGTTGGGAAAACACCTCATTCCTTATCGAATTATCTTCACTTACTTCGGCGATGCCGAACGGTTCGCTTTTAACTGATAACGAGCCCGCAGCGTGAAGTTTTTCTGCGCTCCCGATGCATAAATCGATTAAAAAATTTTCCGAAATAAATTCGGTTACTGCGTATTTATCAACCTGAGATATTCCGTGCGGGACGCTTTTGGTCAAATAGTAAATGTCCCTTTCTTTGCACAGTTTGTAAAAGGGAATCTTAATTTTGGAAAATTCCTGTAAGAGAATTCCGATTGGTTAACTAAAGTTTAGAGCATGACGTAGCAATATGAAAATAACTGTTGCAATGTAAAGGCAAATCGGGTAACATTAACACACTATCCCAAACTTACCTGCACAAACTTATCATAGCTGTGCAAAGGGCCATAGACAAAGTTGAGATCGATGCAATCCAAAATGCACGAAGAACATCCAATGTTGTCAGTCACATGATTCATAACAAAGTTAAGTGTCTCTGAAGAGACTTCATCCACATCTAACAGAGCTGTCGCAATCTCGTCCTTTAGTAACCATTTAATCTAAATAAATAGAATCAATTTAGTTGCTTTTGATTTATGGTAAGGTGTTATACTATGCCTTGTCTTTCAAATTGGATATCGCTCGCTTTTGCAGATCGGGTAAATGACCGAGGGGATCTGAAAATCTTTAATACTGTGTAGGTAATTCGGTGAATAGTAAGAGATATTTACTCGGCAGGGAAGCTTGCCTCCGAAGTTGTGCTCGCTACACTCGGAGGAAATCCATCTGAGCAAAATGACGTTGTTCTCATTCCCCTTGTTGAGTAATCATTAATGACATTCTGGACATCTAAAGGAAGAGTGAGACATAAAATATCCAACGTGATTTGCAAACTAGACTTTTCTAAAAATGTGACATCCGAGTGAATATTTTCTATTAGTTCACCTACAAAAATAAAACTTTATTTTTTAACTTAACAATTGGAAAACAAACCTAGACATGTAGGCAAAACTTTGACAGAGCTATTGGCGACGTTACTTCCATAACGAACGGTACATATCAAATGAATAAATAACGGTGTAATGAGGGAATTAATTAAAATACTATTGGTGCTATCTAATCTCATAAAGTTAGAGGTTACTTCTGACGAGCTGCTGGCTTCCTTGTCCGACTTAAATTCTACACCATCGGATGGTGGTATAGAAATTTCATCATCGCTATCAACCTTAGCAACTTGTTTATCCACGACAAGATTTCGACAGTAATAAAACTCTCTATTACTGGGAATTGGGCTAAACGCAGCGTTCATTATATCCGAAAATCTATCTTTAATTAAATGATGCAGCGGTTTTAGTTCGTTGCATAATAATGGCTGGTGTAATGACTCGACGCTGATTTGTCCGACCTCATTGCTTTTCATGTGACCACATATTGTCTGAAGATAATATGTTATATCGATATCGTGAACAGTTTCGTCACATTGGTCCATTGCAAAATGGACGTCCGATGTGTGCACGTAAAAACCATGTTGCAACGTTGCAAAGAGTGAGAGCACGAAACACTTGGAGTGAGTCAGTACGAGAGCTTTGCAATGCGACTTTATGCTGTTTTTACTTTCATTCGATTCCATTTCATAATGTCTTGTCTCCATACTTTCGTCACCTTTCAATCTGCAAGATTACATTTTAACGTTTTGACACTTATGGGAATGTCCCTAAAAGTAATATAGGTCAAACTTAAAATGACAAAATCAAAATTTGAAAATATTCGCTGGTTTAAAAAATACGGGGGAAAATTGACAAATTGTCAATTTCAGAATGACAATATATCTTCTTATTTAAAAGAGATACAAAAAATGTTTATTACAAAAGGTTCTTTATAATGCTTGTTGCAGCTGTTTTTAAAAAAAAATATACAGAGTCACGTGAAAAAGTTCTTGGACCAAACCTATTTTTTTAATTTTTTAATGAAAATGTCAAAAAGTTTTGAAATATCAGAATAATCTGGATTGAACAGATTAATTAAATAATAAGTTAGACAGTGTACTTCGCAAAACTTGTAACATTACTTTCAGAGCAACAAATACTAGTACAAGAGCCAGCGACACAGAACCCTACGTCATGACGGAATTCAACAAAAATATTATTAATAAGTAGGTTTGAAAGGGGAAAAAACAAAACCGCCATGTCTGCCAAGCATCTCCTGTGCTTATTGTTGCTAATTAATTAATTAAGTGTCCATAAAAAATAGGTTACTTACGTCATGACGGAATTGGAAAAAAAATATATGGGATTATTGCTGGCAACGAGCACATCACGTAAACATATGTGTGCCAGCCGATTCCCCGTGCTTAATACATGTCTGTCGGGCGCGAAAGGGGTAATAAAAACAGTCGCGCTTAGGTCATCACGGAATTTAGCGAAATTTTTTGTGAAATGTAAATAATGTCTTTCCTGACAATACTATATATGTCTGCCGGGCAAATTTCTGTGCCAAAGTAATGTCTGCCACTTTTTATGAGCGAATCATGTTATTTGATGTTAATAAAAATGCGGTGTTCATTGCTTTTTCGAGTGAATTTCTACATTGATTAGAAAGGGAGATGGGTCTGTACGAGGATGGTGTCAGTATGTTTTTATTTGTTTTCAGGATAGTTATTATAAGGGCTTCTTTCCATTCTTCTGGGTAGTATGGTATTGTATATTTTCATTTTGTATAAGTCTGTCCAAAATAAAGGCAAAGTAATAAATTATAATTTGGTGAAATAGACAGACAGTGGCTGGGGAAATAATCTTATACACAAAAAGTAAATATATGCAATCTGTACATACCGCCCCACACAACCACAAGATACAATGAAATTGAAAATCTCCTATGCACCCTTGCCATCGATGCCAACGCACATAATACCATGTGGGGCGGGAAATTGATTAATACCAGAGGCAAAATATTTGAGTAATTACTGCTCCGCCACCCAGAAATGGTACTCCTAAACGACCACTCTCCCACCCATTTTTCATCAGGCACCGGATCCTTTTCTTCTATAGACATAACCATAGCAAGCTCTAACATAGCTTCGAAACTACAATTGTTTACCCATGGCGACCTGTGTAATAGCGACCATTACCCAATTTTAATACAAATACCAACCAAAGAACAAAACACCTATAAGACAAACAATCTAAGATGGAGAATCGCCACAGCAGACTGGCAAAGATATGAAAGTTCTATCGCCCAGCAGATCACAACACAAATCTCTCCCAAAAACGATCTAGAAACCCTATATAAAATCATCAATGAGGCATCGCAGCAATCAATAGCCAAAAAAAACCTATCCAAGTAAAAAATCCACCTTGGTGGAACAAAGAGATCGAATCCTATTTACAAAAACGAAAAAAAGCACTAAAAACCTTTCGAGAGTACAAGAACCTGGAAAACCTCACACAATATAAAAGAATTAAAGCCCAAACTAGACTACTAATAAAAACTAGAAAAAAAGAAACATGGAAACTGTTCGTATTCTTCATAAATAGCAACACGCCTACCAAAACCCTATGGGATAATATCAGGAAACTACGTAGTCACCGACCAAGTAACACAATTGCTGCCCTAGAAATAAACAACGACATTACCATAAACCCGAATGAAGTAGTCAATGAATTAGCTCAATATTACGAAAGAGTATCTAGCAACAAACAACACAGCGACAAGTTTAACACATATAAACAAGAAACCGAAAAACTACTAAACTTTGAATCACAAAATCTAGAAACCATATAATACCCAAATAACAATGGTAGACAAAGCAATTAATAACACCCGCTGCTCGACCCCTGGCGCAGATAATATACACGTCGAAATGATTAAACATCTTCCACCAACAGGTAAAAACCTTCTCTTGAAAATATACAATACCATACTAAAACAACACAACTACCCAGAAGAATGGAAAGAAGCCCTTATAATACCTATCGTGAAAACAAATAAAAAAAAACTGACACCATCCTCGTATACACCCATCTCCCTTACTAGTCAATGTAGAAATTCACTCGAAAAAGCAATGAAAACCGCATTTTTATTAACATCAAATAACATGATTCGGGACCAAAAGTCGCTTCATAAAAAGTGGCAGACATTACTTTGGCACAGAAATTTGCCCGGCAGACATATATAGTATTGTCAGGAAAGACATTATCTACATTTTACAAAAAATTTCGCTAAATTCCGTGATGACGTAAGCGCGACTGTTTTTATTACCCCTTTCGCGCCCGGCAGACATGTATTCAGCACGGGGAATTGGCTGGCACACATAGGTTTATGACGTAAGTAACCTATTTTTTATGTACACTTAATTAATTAATTAGCAACAATAAGCACAGGATATGCCTGGCAGACATGGCGGTTTTGTTTTTTCCTCTTTCAAACCTACTAATTAATAATATTTTTGTTGAATTCCGCGATGACGTAGGGTTTTGTGTCGCTGGCTCTTAGACAATACTATTATACACATTTATCTAATCCTATTTATCCTAAAATGAATCAGTAAAATTATATTAGCGAGGTGGAGTATTTGTGGTTAAATTCTGTCTTTAATACAAATGAATTCATGACAAACCCTGTTGAAACTTGTAGCCTACCTGACAGAATCCTCATGCACGTGAAAACCAAATTTAAAACGATGATCTTCGTAAACATCACGGTCTACCATGACAGTATTTGTAACGTCGTTAATGTACGATTCAACTAACAATGCCAGTGGGCAATCAAACACATACACAGGAAGAACAAGAGTACTTGATGCATTGATGGGTACATCACTAACATTACTACCCCTTGAAGAAGCGCGCTCGGTACTTTCAGAGCTATCATTCAAGCTTGGCGTATACGTGCCTTCGATAGAAACCAATTTTTTTAAACTGCACAACGTAGCCGGTACAAAAGTCAGAATTACGTGCATCTTAGAAATTCCCTTTATATAACATTTCCACTGCAGCATCAAATCGGATGTATTGAATGCTAAATAAATATAAATTGTAGTATTCCATCCTTAGTTTGCTGTAATTACCTTTATTTGTAATCGGGCATACATGTGAAAATTTGTTTCTATGGCGCGACATAATTTGTTCCATCAGCCTTTCGGATTCTTCCGTTGTAACGTCAAATTCGTAATCGTGAAGGTACTGTAAATGTTCGTGAATCGTGTCTAAAAGAAGTCGATTGGATTTTTCATGGTCATACTGGTTAAGAGCTACAACTCTATCGCTACCTAAAACATTCCGCTTGTAACACAAGAGCAGATCATTTCAATAACGTTACTTTCAATGAACATGGAAAATAGTAACTCCGTTTGTTGGCATAAAGACAAGATACTAATAGGATCGAAATTAAATGGCACATGTTGGATACGTTCTCTGAAAATGAATCTTACATTATCAAAAACTATACCTTCCAATTTGTGTAAAGACATCGCCGATTTCATTTTCCTTCTGTTAAAGCTAGGAGACGGCCTAATGTTAGGGATTATTGTAATCAATATGTTTAAAATTTCATTTACCTAGCTCTTCACAAAAGGCAATTATGAAAGATGGCGATGTTATACCACTTACTTAACATCACAAATTCGCTCAATAAAGCTATTCCTCAAGCTATTTTGATTGGGACTACGCTTATATCTACCAGCGACGCTGGACCTATGCTTGTGTTTTCCAATTTCATACATAGGTTGGGCAGTTTTATTTTGGCAAATTAAACTTAAGTGTTCCAAGGTCAGCAGTGAGCTTATGCACTCTGAATCCAATCGGTATATCTAAATTGTAGAAATTAATTTGAAGAAAGTAGGAGATAGGAATATGTAAACCTACCACATCAGCTAATTCGTAATAACGCTTATGATTAAAGTGATTGTTAGTTTGACTGTCGGAAAGTGAGACAGTACCATACTGTGGTTCAACCCAAACCTCTGTAACCATTTGCAGCTCCGACTCCAATTCCATATCGACATCTCCATCTTCTTCGGAGCCACTAACACATTCACCTTCTCGCCAAGCTCTATGCGGCGGGAATAGGACGTACTGTACCATGCAAGTGGAATCGGGTTCCATAGATAACTCGAGAACCATTGTTATTATTCCAGAGGAGGAATGGGCGAAACTAAAACCTTCCTTAATCCTCATTCTGGTAATATCTCAGTTAGTTTTCGTATGATAAATAAATAGATCACAAACCTGGTAAGTATACTTAAAATGCGGGACACTGTCGGTAATTCCAACTTAGGATTTATAACGTGCGATGTACTCCAAATCCATCTTTTGTGATATAGGTAACGTGATAATGTAGTAAATAAAGTACTTGCTAATGGTGAAGGTGGGAAACTTCTCATGGTGTAAGAAGGCTGTGTACCATCAGGAAAAACAACAGTCGTGAAGTCTGTAGGAATTCTTTCATACCTAAAATAATTTTGGGGCATATAACAAACAATCTTTGTATAAATTCGATAGTCTATAAACTCTAACGGTAGAGACTTTAAACTTTGGTAAATGTTTCTCGAATTTTCGTTGTAAATGTGATAGATTTCGAGATCCGTTTGGAAATTGTAGGGTGTGAAAAATTTAGATAGTAAATTTGTTCGATAAAAGGTATTTTGTGGTGGAATTTCACTAATAAAATTTTAAATTGTGTTGGATTTAAGTTACAATGTCACTTTTGTCCTCTTAGCGAGTTCAGGATATTACGGTACCGTGATAGCGCGAGTGGATCTCAAATTCAGTCTTTTTTAAGGCTATATAACGTTACAGTCCTTAGTTTATCATAAAGCTAAAATCACCATGGGCTCTCGAGTCACCTTTTTCTGGGAAAAAAACCTAAATTGTATAGACTATTTGCTGTATCACGTTTGACAGAGAAAAATCAATTTACATCTGCTAGTAAACTAACGCCAAATCGTGCCATTGATAACCCAGTGCACTTTCCTGGAGAACAACTGATACCATTGACTGCTGTACCTAGATGTCAAAGGGAAACAATTGTACATTGAACTGTATACTAACGTAACTGGAAGGGCCTCGTCCGTATATCTTATAAAGGCGGGTGTGTGTCGTCAAGCGCAGAGAGAGATATCGTTATACTAAAGGATATCCATCTCTTTTCAACTCGCACAGGTAGATTGTAAATTTCTACCGGCATCAAAAGTATACCCAAATTTGGGGGTTAGGACGCTTTTTTATTTTATTCTGAGTAGCACAGAGTTTTGTTTGCTGTGTATAGAGACAATTAGAACAGAGTTCATCTTGTTAAATTATTAATATTTTGTGTAGTGCCTGTTTTCGAAAATGGTACATCATTGTGTGGCTGTTAAGTGCAGTAATGAACATAGCAAAGAAAAGCAAATTCCGTTCCATCTGTAAGTATTTGCATAAATTATTATCTGATTTATATGTAGTACAGTTAAACTATAGCCTAATTAAACAATATAGAATAATGTTTTTCTTTTAAAAAAGTACTAAATGTCTAAGGCCTATATGCACCGTCAACATTAAGCCACGTTTAAAGTTAAGTGAAGCTTAAAGTCCATACCAATTATTGTCTCAACAATCGGTACCAACGCTTTTAAGCTCCACTTAACTTTAAGCGTGACTTAATTTTGACGGTGCATATAAGCACAATAGGTACATTTAGTTAAATTATATTAATGTATGTATTAATTAACGACATATATGTTATTTTTTAGTTTCCCATTGAAACGCCCAGCAATCTTAGAACTTTGGAAAAACGCAGTTCGGAGAGAAAATTGGTATCCCTCTAAAACCAGTAAGCTTTGTGGGGCGCACTTTCTTCCTTCCGACTACCAAGATAAGCCAGGATGTACATTGAAACTACTTAAAGCAGATGCTGTTCCATCAGTATTTTCATTTCCTCAGCATTTACTGAAACCAAGTAAATCAAGAAGAACAATTGTAAAAAAAAAGGTAGATATTTTATGCGATTGTTTTGGAAAGCGATTTTTAAAAAATAATTATTTTGTTTTTGCCTAACATAACTGCCAGTAAAGCAGAACATATGGATATAGATTGTCCACCATCTACATCGACAGCATATGTAGCCACTTCTAAAGACTGTGGAACTCAGACATTGGCAAGTAGTTCAGTTACTGCATTAAGACGGCAAATCAAAACCCTGAAGCAAAAGGTTAGAAGAAGGGACTTAAAATTATCCTCTATGAAAGAAGTAATTAATGAAATTTCAAAGAGTGGACACAGCAATACTAATTTAGATGCTGTATTAAAAAACTATTTTGAAGGTGAGATTCTTTACTTAAAATTATTTTCAGTTATAGTTCTAAAAACGTCAATTTTTATAGGTCTACCCTTAGAATTAGTTCTTTTACAAAAAAACAGTAAGGAAGTAAATCCAACACAACGCAGATATTCGTCAGTCATGAAACAATTTGCTCATACTCTATATTTTTATTCCCCGAAGGCCTACAATTTTTTAAAACAATATTTTATTTTACCAAATGGACGCACTATTCGGAAATGGCTAAGTACTGTAAATTGTGAGCCAGGAATATTACAGGAGGTGTTGGATTATTTGAAGGAAGAAGTGCACAACAAGCCCTTCTTGAAAAATTGTGGACTAATCTTAGATGGAATGTCAATTAGGAAGCAAGTGGTTTGGGACCATAGTAATGGGAAATTTACTGGAAATGTAAATTATGGGGGTATTGTTGAAGTGGATTTTGAGATGCCAGCTACTGAAGCTTTATTTGTGCAAATTGTTAGTTATACGAACAATTTTAAATGCCCTGTTGCCTATTTTCTCATAACTAACTCGTACGCCTTTCTACAAACTCAGATAATAACATCTTGTTTAAGAAGTTTATATGAAAGTGGTATTGTAGTCAGATCCATAACAGCAGATGGCACTCGGACAAACATTAGAACATTTAATGAGTTAGGTTGTAATGTTTTAGCCCATAATTTAATTCCTTATTTTTTACATCCTTGCACAAATAATGTAAAAGTGTATTGCTTATTAGATATTTGTCATATGTTAAAGTTGGCTAGAAATGCATTAGCTGAGATTAATTTAAATTCAAATGCAGGAGAAGTTAAATGGGAATATATTAAGGCACTTGACAATATGCAATTTTCGGAGAACTTAACATTAGCTAATGCATTGACAGTAACCCATATTAATTATAAAAATAAAATAATGAATGTGCGTCTAGCTCAAACTTTAAGCAGCGGAGTAGCACATGCTGTTGAATATTTAGAACAATGTGCAGTTCCTGATTTCCAAAAAAGTGCTGCTACTGTAGAATTTATTAGATTTATAGACAGGGCATTTGATATGATAAATTCGAGAAATCCATATGGAAGGGGTTTTAAGGCACCTATCAGACCTCAGTCATTAAAATATTATGAAGAAATATTTAACAAAACTAAAGACTATTTAAAATCATTAAAAGTGAATAATATTTCTTTACTTCATCATCAACGTAAAACATTTGCAGTTGGATTCATTTTCACGATGGAAGGTATAGTTGGTTTAGCTAAAGATTTATTTAACTTAAATAAAGAGCCCTTTTCATATTTTTTAACATACAAATGTTCACAAGACCATCTAGAGCTCTTCTTTTCATGCATTCGAAGTAGGGGAGGTTGGAACAACAATCCCAATAGTCAGCAGTTGAAGTGGGACAACTAATATTTCGAAATTCGATAACTCCAAGTGTTAGTGCTAATTGTAGCGATTTTGGGACATACTCTACTCCATCTTTTGAGTTCAGGTCAGAGGAGAGGCACAGAAAAGAAATAGCACAAGATTCTGGTGAGGAACTTTCTCAGATTCAAAACTTTATAAAGGATTTGGCAAATGTGAAATTAACAGATTTTCAATACATTTCCGGATACATAGTAAAAAATCTAGTTAAAAAAGCAACATGTAACAATTGTATAGAAATATTAGTCTATAAAAATAATGACTCACTAGACCATAGTTATTCTGCTTCAGAGGAAATATATAAAAAATTTGTGAACCATGTTACTAGAGGAGGCTTAATTTACTCTTCTAAAGTAGTCTATGAGATTGTGAACTTTGTTGAAAAACAGTTTCGCCTTCTAATCGAACAAGGAGGTGTTTTAAAAATACCTACAATCTGAAACTTTTATTAACAAACGCGGCAATTCACAATTTTTCAGCAAAGATTCACATCTTTAAGCCAACGCATCCAGTAACAGAAGAGTTTCTTGCTGAAGATTCCCATGAAATTCAGATCATACGGAAAATAGTGGATGTCTTCTTGAATTGCAGAATGCACCACCATTCCAAATTAAAAAATTTAGAATTTCATGTAAAATCTGCAACAGTTCGGCAAAAAATGAATAAATTAATTTTATTTAATAATTCTTAAATGTATAAACTATAGGTATTATGTATGTGTGTATTTAAAATAAAAGTGCATTTTAAAAAATTCATCTTTTTTGTAAATTATAAATCATACACCTACAAAGTAGGACAATTTCAACTAAAATACTGATAAAAGAGAAAATTTTAGACATTATAAACCCATACTTTTATATGCATCAAAAAAACAACTTTAAACTTAATTTTAAATGGTCTAAATGTTTGCGAACATACAAAAGTATTCAATAGACTAGTTTATTTATGAATTATCAATTTAAAATACAAAAAGATTTTACAATGAAGCATATTCACTCAGGATAAAGATAAATATTGTTTAAAGTAATAAGATAAAAAGAGACAGATACCCTTTACTACTGCGGGTTGCCTACAAATTTATTTGCCTCATTTATTTGTTATAGCGCAACCGTTCCGTTAGTATACAGTTCAATGCAATTGTATTACGAGGTTAATTTTTATTTAATTTCTAAACTAACAAACTATTATATCTGTAAGAGAGAGGCTAAAGAGAATTTATTGACAGTGCATCCAATAGAAAATTTAAAGTAAAATTCGTATTGGTAATTGTATTGTCATTTGAGGATTTTATTTTTGCTAGCAAGTGACAAAGAGAGTCTTTCTTGCAGGGACTTTTTTTTATTGTTTCTTGTGTTGTGGAATAAATTTGTCTCATTGTCAATTGTGTGTTATTCGAATCCTTTGTGACCCAGATATCGTATTCATGTCAGATTTTTTTATTTGTGCCCAACATTTATTTCAGATGTTAATCCAAAGTTGTGCAATAAATTTTCAAAAGTTGATCGAGGCCACCGAGTCTCGCAAATTGAGCCAGTATTAGGATTTTTCTTTTTATGAGATGTTAGTTTTAATAGGAAATGGACGAAAATCTTCATGATTTGACTTCAAAAATACGCGATTAAATTGGCTTACCTGATCAATACTCTTTCTAAAGGCTTTTTCAGTAGAGTGCAACATAAATTTTCTTTGGACTTTACAGGACTAGAGGAGTATGAAAGCAAACTCAAATCATATTGCAACTCTTCGCAGATCTAAAATTGCCGTTAATCTCGCTATGAAAAATTTCATCTTGATGTTTACCTTACGCCTGGTAGCACCGGGTGTACTAGTGAGGAAAGCTAAGTTAACTATGGCACATGGAAACTTAGAAGTAATCCGAACTAAACAAAACCATGCTGGAGGTTTATCAGGTTCCTCAAACAGTAGTTTTAAATAAGTATGATTGTCGATTAGCACAAATGAGGCCCATTCTGATAATAAACTGTAAAGTGAAGATGCTGCCTGCCGACACTGTATCACCTGAAATTTATTTTAAAGAAATCTGCCATTGTAAATTAATTTAGTATACCTGATATCGCCCAGATGAATTTGCTAAATGTAAATGTTTAGGTAATGGATGGTCGTACTTTAAAGCTACCGATAATTTATACGTATGAAACCACTTCCTCCAATTACTGGTTTCAATTTGACAAATTGACTGCCACAAAGATACAAACTTTGTACTTGAAACATCACTAAAAATACAATTAACGCTTGATTCAAACACGTCTACATACCTTGGAGTCAGAATTAATTTTGTAGGATCACTGCCTTGCAGGATAAACACAGGGATACCACTCTTCACACTTTCTGGTAGCATATACCAAACAGAAGAATTCGGCATGAAACTTAATTGTTGAGCCAAAAAAGAATCGCCCTTTGACAACTGACTTATTCGTAACCAAAAGCGTTCAATAACCGCTTGCCTATAAGATGATTTAAGCTCCTTTCTCATCACGCACGTAATATCATGAAGAAATTCGTAAGGAGCTAAAACCGAAAATAGCAATGAAATGATGTAGCAAATCTATACTTACCTAAAATGTGGATTTCGACACGCACTATATTTTTAATAAGAGGCCACTGATAGTACATGTGATATTGAATATAAATTAAAGCTTTCCAATGCAGACTGAGACTTATATGTAAAAAATTGTCATTATAATTGACACTCTACAAAACACAAGTTCTCCATTTGAATAGTCATAGAGAATCATCACTTACGTCAACGTTGTAACCCTCCCTCATCCGTCTCGATACCAGAAGATCGGTCGATGCGTTAATATTTTCTTCAGTTTGTCTTTTACATAATAAAATGGGGAATCTTTTGTCAAAAATATCGTTTCTACAAAAGAAGATAATAAGCGAACTTTATGATTATGCTGGAAAGTCTTACGAATGTATTGGTCTACTTTGCGTCGCTAAAATGTTGTCATAATTAATTTTGTTCTGAAATGACCACAACAAAAATGATTCTTGATACTTGTTCATTAATAAAGATGGTTCCAATTTCTAAAAAAAGAAACAAAAGATAGTGCCCCGAAACTCTTTGGGCCCACCTCTGGCTACGTGTCTGACACAGAAGGACAGAACTTAAGAGTCTTCTATACCCACTGCACCCAATGTAAATTTCCATAAGAGCACCCGCCATAGTTGTTTTTCAAAAAAAAATTTTTTTTAAGAACTATTTTATAAATTTAGACCTTTATCTGCAAAATGTTCGGGCTATTTTTTTTAAAAAGTGTATAGCAACTGAATACCGATTGTTGAAAGATTAGATGTTTTGCACCGATTATTGCGCTAATCTGTTTTATTTTTTTACTCTGGAACAAAATGGTTTATGGAAAAAGTAAACCCACAGTTTTCTAGATAAATTACTTCTAAACATTACCCCAAAAAATGAAATCATATTTTTTGTAAATAAAGTCTGTATCTTGGCGGGCGGTAAATCAACAATTTGAGGGTAACAAGTAGCGCCGCTGCACAGTGTTGACGGGAACTAACTAAGGACCAAAATAGGAATTAACTAAGCAAGAATATCATCTTGTTTCTTGCAACTATAATCATCTATACACCATAATGTAAAAAAGTTGCGCTTAGGTAACGAAGACTCTTAAGATATGTTGAAACTTACCACAAAAGGGAAATCTTCCAAACAACTTCCCAAAGTAGCCTGCGATATAAAATGCAGCAAATCTGTGTACGAAATGTAACCAGCGCTAGTTTGAGGATGAAATGACGACCCTACTTTTAAAAAAGAAACAGAAATGCTATCGTAATGCAACTGCATTAGCAATGACTCCATGATGTTACTATCTGGCATTGCAACAACCCCATCGGTTACGACTAGAATATCTGTAAACAAGATCAGTGTCCTCTTATGCACTTTAAATGTCCGCATATACTTACTACTTAAGCTATTTTCTGGAAGCAGAGAGATAGCTAACATTGAGTATCTTAACATATTTACAAAATTAACATCGGGTAGGACTATTGGAATATTTGACACATTTTCCCCACATTCATTAATATAAAACACGCTGCTCGAGATATGTTCACGTTCACTCTAAAATATAGTGCACTTCATAGAAACTCGAGTTAAACCTGTATTTACTGACCTGCTGCAACTCAATTTCGTCATGAGCAATAGCTGAAACTTGTGCTATACGTTCTTCTAAAAAATGAAACTGCCCCTCGATTAAATTTATAATCTCGTGCACATTTTTAGCTGTTATTTGAACGCCCTCGACTAAAACTTGCTGGGCAGGGCTCATAAAAAACGGAGTATTTACAATTACTGTAAGGTATACACTAGGTTGAAAAACTAGAGAATTTCCAGGTATTGTGAACTACAACATGAAAATTATAAGAGGGCCGTAACCTGAAATATTACCCACCTGTCGACATAAACCCTCTACCGTTGCTTTAATACATTGCACAATTTCGTCGAACAAAATTTCACCTTTTTGAATATCGACAGCAGATTGTGAAGGGCTCATATCTACGCAATATACAAAGCAATAGGAATATGCGAGGAACTTAACTGATGTTTTAGTTGTTATTAAATACTTATTTGTACACGCAGCTTCACCTTTCTTTGGCACAACGGAAATAACTTCCAAATTTGGAGATGCCACATCCTAGAAGCACATTAAATAAAACATGATAGAGCTAGTAACACTCGCTCACCAACTTAAGACGGGACGGTACCGACACCACAGTGTTAAGATGGTCAAGCAACCATTGAAATCTAGATGCTCGAGATACAGCAACATCTTTAGGTAGTAATATGTAAACTGTTTCTGCTTCCGAAAACAATGGTATGCTCTTTTCCTCCTCCAATGCATATCCCAGTAAATCGATTGAGGACACATCTGAAAATTGATGGACGTACCATCACTCTGATATGTACCTATTTCATTTGTTTACTTGCAGTGGGCGATAGTTCCACTCCTTCATCAGAATCTGGAGTTCCGAAATCAATTTCCATGTTTAATATACATCGTTGAATTATTTTATTTATACATTAAAATGATATTGTTGAACCTCAGGAGCAAGTGGCAGATTTTTATATTTAGAATTCAAAGTTCATCACTACAGATAAAGAAATTTAAGAAAAATTCTTCTCTACAACACGAAATTCGAGATTGTTGAGGTTGGATTTTATCAGTCTTATGGTTTGCTTTATGTATTTATTCTATGGTCCAAATCACAGATCCAAACTAATTCTAATGTATATACGTACAAGGCTAATATATGGGAATCCCACCAAGAATTTATTGCTATTCAGATATAAACCAAAAACGTCTATTAACATCAGGGGTTGAAACCGGAACTGAAAAGAACCGGTACCAGAACCGATTGTATTTATAGGCCCCTAGCACTTGGAACCGGAACCTTGTACGCCTAATATACTTTATTCTTATTTAGTTTAGAGCTCATGTTTATGATTCTATTTCTAATTTGTAAATAGTTTGCACCTTGCTATGGAACTCAGTCCTGGAACTGCCTTCGCTCGGTCTGAAAGTCAAGTAAGATTGAACCCCCACCTCCCTTATCCTCAAGCTGCTAATGTTTTATGATCATGTTGCCCTCGTCTGGAGTTTATTATGACTATGCAGCACAATGGTATTTTGCCACTACCTTATTATTTTGCAAGGTCCAAATGTGATTATTCCCCGACGTCCTGAATATTTGTTATTTGAATACTTTTATTCGAAACAATTTCATGTGTTTTATTTAATCGATTCTTAGAGAGACACATTACAGATTGTGGCTGGCACATAAAAATCATCTAAAGAAGGGAAAAGCATACTTGATGTCCTTACATTTTTTTAATTGCTGTTCAACACTTTTGCATACATTTAAATTATATTTTTATTTTTTTCAATTATATAAAAAAATGTTACAACTTTTTATGCAGCTTCAGTGCTGAGATCACAAACTCCTAAGACATGCAGAAACATTTCGTACTGAGAAAAGACCAAATGGGTATCATCAATCACTACTAGGGTAGTAAATTTCAATTAAAAGTCATCTTAAAAAGTTATAAAATTTATTATATTGTTGAAAATAACGTTAAATAAATAAGCTGGTAGAAAAAACAATACTATACAATTAAATATCTTGCCGATAACAAACATTTTTAAATAATAAAGTGAGATAATGAAGATGCACATCACAGTTTAGATAATGCAAAGAAAGTTAATGAGAATTATTCTAATACTGCTGTTGTAATAAAAATGTGATACTTAAACGCTGTTTTTAAGTAATAAAACAGGCCACAGTAAAGCAAAAGCTCCTGCAAGATAAGTGGTTGTTGAACCTAATCCCCAGAATGAAACACTCGCAAGGATTGGTCCCAAAGCTCTTGCTAACGCGCCAAGAGAACGAAATATACCCATTACAGTTCCCTTTTCCTGTGGAGATCCATAAAGAGAAGCCATGGTCATCATGCATGGAACAACAAGAGCGGTGGCTAACAATTCAAAAGCTTTACAGGTTGTTTTAAAAACGAGACACATACAAACTGCGAATAAAAGTAATCCTAAGTAGAGAGTCCATAGCTTCCTGGCAATCCCAACACATATAAACGATGGTATGATTATCCATAGTCCATTTATTGCCGTTGATGTGATCTTATTAGGTGGCAGTCTCCTAACGTAACTGCCTTGAATAATTGCCATAACCAACCCTATGAGATTGAGCTATTAAGTATGCCCTTCAACGATTTTGTTAATTACCAATACTAAAAAACATCCAGCCTTGTTGCATAGAATTATACTGGAAGGTATGATGTGTTAGAAACGTAAGAGTAAATTCTAATCCACTATAAATAAACAAATATATAAAATACGTAAGACCCAACTTCCTCAGTTTGATTAGATCACCATCCTTTATATTACGTACAGGGCGAAACCCAAATAAATCTCTTAAATCGATCAAGGCTTTCGCATTTTGTAAACTTCTCCATACATCTTTGGCACGTTTTTCCTAAAACTACAAGTTAACACATCACTCGTCCAGTTGTCGATACACACCTTTGGCAAACTTTCTTGGAAGAATATTACAAAAAAGATAAGGTCTAAGAACGAAAGGAAGAACGCAAACATAGCAGGAGCCACAAACCACTCTCCATTAGTTTTAGACGTTGACATAGCAAATATGGCTCCGATTAATGGACCAATTATAAAACCTAATGAAAATGCGATCCCGACAAGAGCCTAAAAGAACACGCGTATTTTGGAAAAAATTAATGCAAGCATTTACCATTCCAATACCTCTTGTTTTGACAGACGATGCATCCGAAATAATAGCCATACTAAGAGAAACGTTACCTTTGCATAGGCCACCAATAAACCGCGCTATAATAAACAAAACCAAATTCTTCGATAGGGCCCAGAGAATGTACGAAAGTGAAATTCCCACCTGAAAGTAACCACTTAACAAATGCTTCAGCCACTAAAATACTTACAAGACAACCAATCATGACAACTTTTCGACCTTTAACGTCCGATATACCGCCTAAAATTGGCGATGCGATAAACTGGAGAAAACTAAACATGGACCCCAAGAAACCCCCAAACAGGACGGAACTGTACTGATCTGGAGCACCGATAATCTTTTGAAAGTAGGAAATTTTATTTAGGAGCCATTGATACAGGCCGCTATCGTCGTTTCGTTGGTAGTGCTCCAATAAAGATGGTAAAAGAGGTAAAATCATGGTGAACGCCAACAAATCCAGTAAAAGAGACACAAATACTATGTACACCGTAGGACTTATTTTATCTTTTTTAATATTATTTGTACTTGGATCTTGATTTCCCATTTTGTTGGTGACAACACTTACTCATCCACTTTCTAAATTTATTCTAACCACACACCTCAATGAAAGGAAAAATTACATTTTTGTTCTTACTTTCATAAATCCATAGCTTAATCTACAATGCAAATAAAAGTACAATTTCATTCAACAATTGTTCACTTACCTGCAAATAATTGCAGGTCACCCAAAGTAAGTGTCTTTGAAGAATGTAAACATTACATCTCCTCTCTATTAGGAGAAGGGGGAAACGTGACGTCACGTCGGTGCCCTATTTCCTGTTTTTGGCGACGGTGGGAAGTGGATTAGAAATCTTTTTGATCTCATATCATATATTTAATTAAAAAAACTTTCTTTCATTCTCTTTTGACATTGATGATAGAGTAAGATCTCGTAATTAGTATACATACAATCGATGCTTTTATACGGTCAGTATTGAAAGAAGACTGCCTTTGGGTGTCAGATTTGATTGAACCAGAAAGATAAATTGTATTCTTTGCAGACAAATTAAGGGAGGACCCTTACCTCCTTATATAATTAGAGGTGGCCTTCCTTCTTTGTATGCTATGCTATTCCTGAACTGCAACGTCTAGACTTTATTTTGGATATTCAATTATAAACACTCATGCATCAAGTGTGAGGGAACCTAGCTTCTAACTGGGAGCCCAAGGAGGGTCTCATTCTCACAGCATCTTTGTATTGTGACGTGTTGTGCTTCAGAGATGTTACAAGGTTACAACTTCTTACTGCAGTATATGTATAATATAATTGTAAATTTTGTGTTGCCTTCCTGTGAGCAGAAGTGCAACTATACCGCTAATGCAAAGGTGTAGGTACCTACATTGAATATCCGGATATTCAATGGTACCTATTACCATTGAATATCTGGATATTCAATGCTATTACCTGCGTGCATGTGTCACAAAGTTACAACTGCAGACCAGCTCTGTGTTCTTATATGTCGTACTGTATATTGCGAGCATCCCTGCAGGAATCATAAAAGAAAGCCAAAAGGCTGCTTGGATCAAGACACTAAACATATATGTACCTAGGTAGCTACTAATAAATAAAACATCATGCCCGCAGTCGAGCAGCCACTGTTCAGTGTGCCATACGAGCCAGTTACTTAACCATTCCTTAGGTCAAGGTGTGCAGTTTAGATCTGATGGTCGTATGGTTTGTGGTTCAGATTAACACATGCCGCCAAGGAGGCCTCAGACAAGTGTATAGGGGTCTTTAATTTTGTATATCAAATATATACCCAAATTCAAATGTAGGACCCTTGGTCACAATATTTTCGATAGCTTCTTTTTTTAGACTCCCACCTCCCAAAGGCATACTTTAACTTCTAGATACCAATTTTGAAATATCTGGAATATTTGAAGCGTATGTGAAAGATTGTAATAATATTGGTAAAAACAGTCCCTATCATTGAATGAAGGGTAAAATCGAATTTGACCAGACGGGGAATTTAGATAAATGAGTAAGCAAGAGGCAAAACTAAGTTCTGTAAAGCAATGCTTGTTGCCTATAAGGAGCGCTTTCTCTCAACGATACGGAGCCTAATTTATTTATATGCCATGCAACATTAAAACTCGTTTCCAAATTAACCTTTTTTTTGAAATGTAAATATGTAACGATCGGCAACCGATGATGTAATAGAATAGGGATATCTGGGTCATACCAACTGTAAAATGTGCGCTGTTTTTTGATCAAAGTACTTCCGATGTTTTTGTCATTCCGATTGGTTATTATAAATATTTAACTACCGTCTCATACATTTTTTGTCAGCAAACTTGAAACTATTGCCTACATCCTATCAGAGAAAGATGAGTCCTTAGTAATTTTTGTATCTTAACATTGTCCGAACTACTTAGATTTCCGCCATATTAGATTTAAAGTTAACACTGTTTTTAACAGTTAGCTTTTGTGTTAGTTTTGTTAGGAGTATGGGACTTTAAGGACAAATGAAAAAGTCGTTGCAATTGTATTTAAGCCAAATATAATGTTCCCAGTTTTAAAATTCTCATAACTAATATGTGGGTGTCAGTGTGTCAATTAATTGTTAAACAACATACGGTTTGTTAATGCATAAGGTGTACAGTTATTTAACATTTTTGTTTTGATGAACTTTAAAAACGTCGTTTGGAGGGAGTGAGTGAGCCTGTGTATCTATGAACACCTACATTCCTTAAATTTATATTTCCTAATTATGGCATTTTACGATGATGTTTTAATTAATGCTACCGAATTCATAAAAAGTAAGTAAATTGTGGACACTACAAATTTGTAACATTTCCATTTACAGAGAGATTTTATTTTGTGTCCATACGAACAGGTGATAAACCAAAATCTACCCAATGCACACACTTTTTCACAGTTGATAATGAATTGGTATACGACAGCTTTTTCAATGACTTTGGCCCTTTGAATATCTGTATGCTGTATCATTATTGCGTTAAAGTGAACAAAAAGTTAAAATCCGCAGCTCTACAAAAGAAGAGGATAGTTCATTATACCAGCTGCGATGAAGAAAGAAGGGTTAACGCCGCATTTTTGGCTTCAGGGTACATGGTAAGGTTCTATTTTATATCTCCTGTCAAATAGTAGTCAGTGCATTTTTCAAAAACACAGTATTTTTAAGATCATCTATGAGAACTATACACCTGAACGCGCTCTCGAGGTCCTATCAATCCATAACTCTGTGGATTTTATAGACTTCCGTGATGCCTCTGTTGGCATGCCATACACCATTGAATTATTCGATTGTCTCAAGGGACTAAAAAAGGCTTATGATCACGGTTTCTTTAATTTCGACGATTTCGACTTTTTAGAGTACGAGCACTATGAGGTATTATAACTGGCTTAGTGACTTTTTTCTTTAAATTTCGTTCATTTCAGAGAGTTGAGAACGGTGACTTAAATTGGATTATTCCGGGAAAGTTTATAGCATTTTGCGGTCCTCATAACAAGACCACCGTTGACAATGGTTATCCGTTGCATTCCCCAGAGGCTTATTTCTCTTACTTTCGCCGTCACAAAATAACTACAATTATACGATTAAATAAAAAAATTTACGAGGCATCGAAGTTTGTCAATGCCGGATTTGCTCATAAAGACTTATATTTTATTGATGGAAGTACACCCAGTGACAAAATTTTGTCACAATTCCTAAACATCTGCGAAAAAACCGAAGGAGCTATTGCAGTTCACTGCAAGGGTAAGTGTGGACAGTGCTGATGACAAAATTTACCTAATTTTATTATCCGTATAGCCGGTTTGGGAAGGACAGGTACTTTAATTGCCTGTTATATTATGAAACATTACAAGTTCACCTGTTACGAAGCAATAGCCTGGATTAGACTGTGTCGTCCCGGCTCAATCATTGGTCACCAACAAATGTGGTTGGAGAAGTAAGTGTTTTCAGCTTTTTTTTCTTTAGATTTTGTTTTGTCTTAAGTTTTCTATTAAACCATAGTTGTAGCTGAGGAATACCTACTATTATTGGGCTGAAGGCCGGCTTTTTTCGACATTTTTAATTACCCGCAAGATTTTTAGAGACCTCTTTCAGAAAATGTTTGTTTTGTTATTTTGTATTTATCTGTAACCGTCATTGAAAAAAGCAGTAATGCTCAGATTTTATTTTAGATTTTTAAACATGTTCTTTTTTCTAGCAAACAAGCGCAAATGTGGGCAGCAGGAGAAGAGTATCGCCGCAAACTGGGCCTACCCGAACCGGCGAAACATGCCAAAGGAATTTATAATTACAATAGAGGTCCAGAATTTACTACTTATCTCAGGAAACTCAAAAATCACGATGTAACTGGTATTTCCCATAAAGTCGATACTATGCAACTAAAAGATAATAGCGCGGTGAGTACGGAGAATGATGAGGAGACACAGGGAGACCAGTTGAATCAAATAAAAGCGGAAAGAGCCGCGCGAAGCTTATTGCAGCACTCTACCCCGTAAGTTACTCTATTGTTCATTTTCTAAATGTGTTTCTCTGCATTGAATGCTGTGATGTTTGCAGTTCTACTCGGCACTCATACACGTCATGCATGCATACATTAACAGTGTTGTAAATCTAATCTGACGCTTTTGACTATATTGTGAATGTTATGTTTTAGCGGCAAAAAGACATTTTGCAGTATTGTCTCTTCGCTTGATAACCAGTTTCGTGGCAATAAAATAACAGGATTAGGAACAAAAAGTTGTGCCGTGTCTTCTTCTAGAGTTGTAATAAAAAGGTTTGTGTTTCAATGGCGTATGTCTCACTTACGTCGTGAACTGTAGCAATTAGTGTATGACGCAATTATTATTTCACTGCATAACTTTAGGTTTCAAACACTTATCCATTGTACCTCACCCTATTAACATGTAAATTAGGTGAGGCAGCAACCATTGTCGCCAGTATATCAAGAAGTGGAATTTTTGATTGCTGATATTTCAAGTACCCTCAAAAAAATCTCATCACTCGCCTTAGATTTATTGATGTAGGTAGTAAAAGTTTTCCTGAATAACTAAACTTGCTAGAAATCATCGCTAGGGTGCGTTTTCGAATTTAGTCATTAGGGCTCACATCCTTGACTCATTTCTGAATACACTTTATTAAAGTAGCTTTTTGCCTCTGGGACACCCTGCAAATTTTTAAATTTTCCTGTAGATCTTAACATTCTTTTTTTTTAATATATATGTGACGGATGTGATGAAACATTAAATAAAAACGTGTTTACTTGGTTAGTTTATAGACTAGCTGGATAGTATGTAAACTATCCAAACGTGGTTATTTTGATGGGAAATCATCGTTTCGCTAAAATAGCTACGAATATTGGTTGGTTTGTATACTATCCGGATAGCTTATTGCCAAACCACCAGAGAAATTAACCAGAATTTTTAGCTAGTTCACAAACAGTATTTCCAAAATTTATCTAAAATGCCTCCGCATTTCAAAATTTTCCAAATATGTCAATTCCAAAGAAGTGTACCCCTTGGTGATTTATAAGAAAAGGGGTACATAAATCTCAGGGGGTGGGCTTTTCTGAGCTTACTATCCCCAATAGATTGTCATCTTATGTTATAAATTTCTATGCGCACCCTAGATTAGTTGTGCTAGTAGCGTTAATTCGCACTGCTTGAATCGGCAATATACTGCATTTTGATAACATATGTGATGAAGTCGTTATGGTTTTAGCGGCACACAGTTTCCAGTGAACTACATTTTACCTACTCTTCAAACTACAAATAGATTATGTTATAAACCTGGGTTCGTAATTACTTTTGCATGATTGTATGTAACAGCTTGCGAAGAGAGTGAGTGTGGAATGTGTGGTACTGCCTTACAAATTTTCATCTACCAACCATTAACGCTTTTTAATTCTGAAGAAATTGAGACGAGAGCGCACATTTAATTGTCGATCTTTCAATAATCCGAGTGTGTTTCTTGTTAATCTCCTCAGTTTTAATGTACCATTTATTCGGTGGCTGTGTGAATGGCGTATCTCACCATAACTGGTTCACATTTAGCAAATAGAATTTTTTTGGTTGTTGAATGTAGATTGAAATTTGGGGTAGTTGCAGTGCACGGACAGCTTTCAAAAGATGACAGTTAAAAATGCACTTGCCAGCTATTCGTTCTGTTAACAGAAACGGCTCAAATGACAGAAAGCTGTCCTTAAGAAGAACTAATTTGCGTACATCCATTCCTTCGACCTCTACCAATAGCGATAATAAGACTCTAAGAGTATTACGGAGCAGTAATGGTGGATCTGTAGCTAATGGCAATTCATCTATCACACATTGTGGTACGTCACCAATGACCAACGGTGACAAAAAAGAAACACTAACTTCACGACGCGCAAAGCGCTCGTTTACCTCTGACAAGGAAAAATCTACTCCTAGATCAGTAAAACTACTTCGGAGATCTAAAATACAATCTACAGGTTCTGTTATTAATAAATCAAAGTTTCATTTACCTAAAGTCAATAAAATTTCAAAGACATTGTAATCAACTTAACTGTTAGTTATTAAAGGTGCTAAGCGAATAGAACTATTTTTCGAGAACTTAACCATGTAATAGCAGTTTTTTTTGTTATTGTTGCATAATTAACATAGTGTAATGGAATGATACACAGATCAGTATTGTTTGGTTTTAATTAAGTGCAATTGATTTCAGCTGATTTTATTACTTCTTGCGCAAAATGTATTTTATCAGTGTTGCTGTCAAAGAGATACCAGTTTTTATGTTACAGCAATTTTAGGATTGTTTTTTACAGCCCGGTTAGTTTGTACAAACATATACAAAAAGCATAAAATAGTTTTTAAGGGAAATATTGTTGCTATAGATCTATTGTTTGCGTTAATTCAACATTGTGATAATGTTAGCGTTAAATTTTAAATATTTTCAAATTGTAAATAATGATTTTATCAATCTTTTAAAGCATGATTAAAAAATAAAATCTATAAAAAGATACATAAATATCAACTATAAAGATAGATGATCGCTTTATCCTCTAAAACTTTGTTGGTAGGTTTGTGCCATGTGTTTAATATAATGTTACACATTTTAATATATTTTGTTGTTGGCTCTTCAAGCTTATTTTTATACATTTTAGATTAGTGTTTGTAACATAAATGCTACATGTTTGTTTATTGAGTAATGTTTATTAAAACGTGCCTCCACTCAACATTGTTAATCCGACATCGCTAGTTTTGCCTCATTGCACAAATGGAAAAATATGCACATCTAGTAAGTCGGGTAGTTGTGCATAATTACCATACAATTTGCCATATCGTCGATAAATAATGTATATGTAACTGTCATCTATTACTCGACTGCTTGTTTGTGTAACTAGAGGCCATAGTGATAGGGTGTGTATTTTAGTGGTTCTAAAATAACACAAATATGGTACAAATACCTTGGTTTCATTACATTCATTTTATCTAAAGATAATACAACATTATAATTAGATTTGTATTTTTTATAATAAAAAGAATTTTAATTGAAACTAGGAGCGTTTCTGAATTTATCCCATATTGTTGACATATTTGAACAAAGTACCTACCATGAATGCATTTTTTGGATTGAATGACGTATTTACTATATGGATCAGCATATTTTTTATTTGACTAGTTAATCATACTGGCAGTGGTAGGTTACTTTCAGAAAATCCACAAGATTCTCATGGCCACATAGTTAATTCGTACATACAGAAAAGGCATAATGTGTTGATTAACACATTGACTGTCAAGGACGAGTTAACTTGTGCCGGCTAATCTGCTGACAGGCGCCATCCACAAGCTATCTTGTTTTCGACCGACTATTTTACAGTGCCCACCACGATTATACTCGCCGCATTCGCGTTGAAATTTTACGCGTTGGGCGTCTGAAATAACTAATAACTGTGACAACAGGTAAATCATATTATAATGTGGTTCGTAACATATTTACTTAATATTTAGACTTGCACTGTGGCGCCTGAGAGGGGTTTATATAAAAGTCGTATATATCTCCTTTTTTGTTGAGTAATTGCACTGTTTACAATTAAAGACTTTGGAAATGTTATGTGTTAAGAGTATATACGGATACGGAACCTGAACGACAGGCAGGGAAGACAAAAGTAGGATAGAAACATTTCAAATGTTGTGCTATAGAAGTAGGCTTGCCAGACGTCCCGGTTTGACCGGGACAGTCTCGGTTTACGCTTAAGATCCCGGTGTCCCGGCCGGTTTACTACACGTCCCGGAAAATATTAAACTTTGATTAGATGAATTTACGTATTAACGTCCATGCTATAGTAACAGAGCAGAAGCTCGACTCTCCCTCCACTAAAGTAGCATATAGACTCGCATGCAGCTATGCCGTGACTAGTATTGTTTCCGTCACGGTCACTGTCGTGTCGTCAGGCGCCAGTCAGCCTTCTGCTAGCTACCGTTTGTGCTGTAGATGATTGTTGTTGAGCTCTGGATTTCTAGACGATAGAGTGAAGTGTTCACATTGTAATGCTGAGTTTTCGGTCGCCCATGGCGGTCGATCTGATATTAAAGATCATATGCAGTCTAATAAACACAAAAACAGTTTATCATGTGCTGCTAGCTCATCAAAACTAACAACCTTTTTTAAGAGTACCAGTTCGGATGACAAGAACTTAAACTTAGCAGCGAAAGAGGGAACATTTGCATATCATCGCAAACCATAGTCAAAGTTTTAACTCAAGTTCTTGTTCAGCAAAATTAATTTCTAAATTTTTTGAACCAAAATTTTCACTGGGTAAAACTAAGTGTGAGGCTATATTATTGAATGTTATAGCTCCTCTAGCACAAGAAGAGTTGGAAAAATGCAACTTTGTATCTGTTACTATGGATGCATCAAACAGAAAAGAGATAAAACTTGTGCCAATTATTGTGCGCTACTTTAATCCTAATTCAGGAGTACAGGTAAAACTTATGGATTTCAAATCACTGCCGTGTGAAACGCCTGAAATTCTTACTGAACATTTATTGTCTACCTTGATGGAAAATGGTTTAGATCAAAAAGTGGTTGGTTTTTGTGGGGATAACTAACACAAACTTTGGTGGGGTGCAAAGAAGAGGGACAAACAATGTTTTCAGTCGACTCAAGAATTGGCTGGGACGGGAAATCAATGGAATACGCTGTGGATGAGCACACATTGTGCATAATTGTGTGCAACATGGAGTAGATAATCTACCAATCGACATTGAGGCCTTAGTAGTTAAGATATATAAACACTTTCACATTTATACTGTGCGCGTAACCAAGCTGAAAGAGTTTTGTGAATTTGCTGCGGTACAGTACCAAAAACTTTTGCAACATGGGAACACCCGGTTTCTTTCATTGATGCCAGCTTTGGAACGAATTTTGCAGATTTTTGAAGGGTTGACAAGGTTTTTCTTGGATCAATAAATGTGCCCATTAATTATAAAAACCCTATTTACTGATAAAAAGGGTGAACTGTATTTGTGGTTTGTCCACGGACAACTTGCACAGTTCAACAAGACCATCCTGGAAATGGAAAAAGACCACGTCATAGCTACCAATGTTGCTGAAGCTCTTAAATCTCTAAAAAGAAATCTTGTAGAAAGAAAGGCTTCAAATTTTATCCCAATGGCGGCAAAAAACATATACATGCCTCTTGATGAACAACATCGCATTCAAGTAAAACAAGAATTTGATGGATTTTATGAAAGATGCATCGCATACTTGGCCCTCTGGGAGAATAGCTTTGGAAACGCTGAACAGTTTTCTTGGGTAAATCTGGCCACACCAAACATCATTTCTTGGGAAAAAGCTGAACGTTCCGCTGAACTTATAAACGGCAGTCTTCCTGCTCCTGGGGAGCAGAAGCTAACAGTAAAATGTTGATGAGTTGTTTGATGAAGTTGTTCTTGCCAAAGAGTATTTGCAATCCATCTAGGAGAAGTGGACACAGGAAGAAGCCCTCAATAATAATCGTATTTCAAGCGAAGATAAATGGCTAAGATTGTTTGCTCACTTTAAAGAGAACCATATTACAGTAAGCAATTTATTTAAAATTGTTGAATACGTGTTTTGCTTACCGGGGTCGTCAGCACCTGTTGAACAATGTCTGGACTGATGATCGGGGGTTAATGAAGGAATCAACTGTAAAAGGCTTGATGACTTGTAAAATTAACATCGGCCTGAGCTGTGAAGAGTTTTATAATAAGATTAAAAACAAAAAAGAAGTGCTAAAAATGATTCAAGTCAAAGAAAAATATACGTAAAAGAACTGTATCTTCTATCTTTGAAACTCTGTATGTTTTGTCACTTATTAAAATTAAAAATTAAAATTTCCTCAGTCATACATACAGCCTTCATTTACCTACAACTTTCTGCTAGTTTTTAATTGCCAAAATAGCTTATAATATCAATAAATATGTGATTTCTGGGCATGTAATTTTCAACATTTTTTTTCCGGGGGAGGGTCCCTTCTTTTGTCCCGGTTTCTCCTTGGACAAATCTGGCAAGCCTATATAGAAGGATAATGAGGATTAGCTGGATGGATAGGATAACGAACGCAGCAGTCTGCGAGATAGGGAATGTGGAAAACCATCGCGAAGACGAGATATAATGATAGGGCACGTGCTCAGACTAGGGCTGCCAGTTCCCTGAAAACGGAAAGCGGGACACATTATTTTGTTTGTTATACGATATATTTAAGTGTGGGATGAAGCGATATACTTTTATGTAAATAGTAGTAATAAAATATATTTTATGAGATTCCATTATTTTCAAATAAAATTTTCGTACGATGAAACGTTTTAATTTTTTTCTTGGTGAGTGCACGGGGCCCCTAGTCTACAGACACAGTTGCCTACTCTGCCTATTGGTTAATTTGGCACTGCTACTAGACGCCGTCTAGTATCAAAACAGTCACGTTAATTATGCAAAACTGGTCGCCTGTGAGGTGCACACAAATTATGCTATTTTTATCTCTTATCTTTCCCATGCGAAAAGAAAGACCTGCGTGATTGATGTGACTGTTTTTATACATACTAGACGACGTCTAAGAAGACTTTCTAACGACAGCTTATTTGTGGTTGCGCATCAAGTGCAGTGTAAACAAAGAAATGCTATCAGAATGGCGTCTTCTCCCAACTGTATTATTGTAATGTACTGCCACCAGAGGTCTTACTGTTGCATTTTTTATTTCCAGCATGGAGGCAATAAAACCGCCGCCTCTGCTCCTCACCTATTATAGTTGCTCATAGATGGCGTAGGTGTAGACACACTCAAAGCTTAGTACGCCTCTGGAATCTGTGTACTAATATTTTCGTATGTGACCTTAGTGAAATAGGTAATTTCCTTTCAAATAATGTTTTCGTATAGATTTCTCAAGTTTTCCCACTTTCCGTAGAAGAATTTGTTCGTCTGGATGGTATACTCGGAGTGTCATGGGTATTCACTCCTAACAAACACTTTTAGCACCCACTTTTCCACCTTAACATGTGATTATTAACACCTTTCAAATTTTAAAAGATGGTCAGTGATTATGAATATCAACGTTAATCAATTGTAATCTTTATTACATTGTAGAACCATTTAGTTTACATTCGCACCATAGCATGGATTTAGTGCAGGCACAAGAACGAGATTGTAATAGATTTGGTAATAACTTTTTCTCATCGTTACTCTTAAATAATGATACTATGTCAACAGGCCCATTTTGTAAAGAAACGGAAGGAGATAGCACTTTCATGGATGATGGTACTTTGACGTCTTGCAAAGTTTGTAGTTTGTATAATTTTTTCTTTAAGGCGATATAAAACAAGATTTAAAACTTATCACGTGCGGAAATGTAGAGGAGGCTGATAATGACAATAGCCTGAACCATGATTTAGGCAGCTTAGAAGGTAGACACATTTATTCGAGAAATATTGGGGTAATCAATTAATTCGTAGATCACAGTGACAACGGGGAATCTACCGAGCAGTGTGCAAATGCAAACAGTCCCAATAAACACTGTAAAAAAAGAGTCAGTTTTAATGGCTCTCTCACTGAGGAAATTGATATAGATTTTCGCCAGTTGGGTTTTAACTGTTGGACTGGAGGTTGTATGCTGCCATAGTTATAAATGTTACAAGCTCATTATTGTTTTAGTGCCTAAATTAACCAAGGATGAAGTTTTGGCTGAATATCGTGCAATATGTAGTCAACGTCATGTAGATGTTGAAAACGAAATATTAACTCAACTGTCAGTAAGTATTCTCTTGATCAGTCACATGTCACTGATAAATTAGTATTTCATTACGAATATCACTACTGTATGAAAATAAGCAAACCTTCTAGCATCTCGATTAATTTCAGTCAATTACTTGGCACAGTTACGCAGCTTCGTTATATAATTTTATGTTACTTAGTGTTGTCATTATTATTTTCTTAGCTGTACTTCATATGGCCACATTCATCAAGGCAAGATTTCTTTTATGTATACGTTTATATTCGATAGTCAACTTCTTTAATTAATTAATCAGCTTGGGATCATCCTGACAATTGGGGACATATTCCAAAACCTCACTTAATTAAGCGCATATCTAATGAAACCACTCACAACGGGTTCGGATGCGATTTACTGCAACTCATTTAACTTGGTTCTGTTAATTGTACTCACTTGGAATGGGCGAGATGAAATTCCAAAATTCGGTAATCCATATTGTTAATTGAACTGTTATGGGATCAACCGGCGGGGTCGGCGATAGCAAGCTCATAAACACGTAGACTGCATCGCTTCGACTGGTTTTAAAACTTAAATCAACTAATAATGACTTAACGGAGTTGAAATTCTAAAATATTAATTCGCCCTTGTCTTCTAAAAGACAAGAGCTTTCGGATATAACAAAGATATTGAAATATCTTGATGGGAACGGTTGCAAGCGACTAGTTAATTACAGTTGGTGACCATATCTAGACTTGCAGTCGATGACGGTACGTTCATTAGATCAATAGACGGTGTAATATTGAAACTGTGTTTTTATAATTTTGTCAGCCACTAGGTAGCGGTACTATAAATTATGTATTTTGATTATCCCATCAGGATATTTTGTTTATAAATAAATGGATTGTCTGTTCTAAAAATAAAAACCCATCAATGCTATTAATACGCGGAGATATTTTTCAAAAATTAGATGATCGTCATATTATCCTCGCATGGGTTTTCTCCACAACGTTCATTTTCCAGGCTCTCTTTGCATTGATTTAACTTGATCATACTGTTCAGTTGAAAAGAAAATCATTTATACAACAGATATACAAAGTGTCTCAAGTAAAACTTGGACGGTGTAATAAATTATTAACGAAAAAATGTTCAAATAGGGTAACACCCTCTCCGAACCCTTTTTGTGTACTTAATAGTTGTTATTTATTTAATATTTGTATTTAAAGGATTACTTTGTTACCATTTAAACAGAATAGAGGTTAAAAATATTACACTATCATGTATTTATATGTGGTAATCAACATTTCTAATTAGTGTGATGTAATTAGCAATTAAATGCTTACACAAAAAGTGCATTAATATATCAAATGACACAAATAACTGTACAAGTATTAAGTAAATAGTGACATTTTTACAAATAACACATTGGAAGTCGTAGAGTATTTATTTAAAAATTCACTCAGGAAATCAAATGCTTTACATCTCAAGACCAAGCATTGCATGACACAATCTCATCAGTTTTGAGCTTTTTATTTAACCAAATGTGCCAATTTCAAATAAACTGGATGCTATGTAGTTCCGCCCTGTAATGAGTTCCAAACGAAGCTGCTTGTAATTAATACAGTATACTTTGGGAGACAACAAATTAATATTACACCAATTGCTTAAAGCATTAACGTTTGTTTGGAGTTGGTAAACAGTCATAGGGTGGTTCGGATGTCCTCCATTTTGAAGTGTGGAACTTCTAAGAAAGTATTAAGGTGCAGAGGCACAGGGTCTGCATTTCCCTCGGAAAGTGTAGGACCAGAAGGAAGGGATTTTAACTCCTTTCCTGCGCTTTGTAGGGATTTGGCCTCCCTCACACTCTCTGAAATGTCAGAGCCAAAAAGGAATTATCTATTTTCTATTGCACCTCGAGTTTTACATAAATAAAAGATGAACTCATATACAAAAAATTCTCCTCCTCCGGGTGAAGATGTGGAAACGAACTCGGATAACCTCGCTAATACAATACCTCGAGAAATGATAAACTGTCATGGAAATGTTCTATAGAAACCAAATGACGCAGAAAAGACGAGCTTCAAATCCATCACGGTTTGCAATTTTTTCTTTACAATTCCAATAGAAATACAATTTATTGGAAAATTGACCCCCTCCAACTTTAAAAAATTCTAACTTCCAAAGACTACCGTTACGAGAGGTAGAAGGAAACTTGTATAGGTAATATTAATTGCATAGGACTAAATTTTCCACAAAAAATCATGCAAACATTTATTATTCCTAAACGGTTTAAGATCGACATACAAAGTTTTTGGTGAGAAATTTCGTCCAATTTATCTTTTATACATATTTTCTAGAATTTTCTATTTTCAAAAACAATATTTTGCAATATATAATAAAATAAAAACCATCATCTATTTTTGCTTTTATTTTATGTCACAACTGCAAAGTTCTATTGGTTAATTGTATGGAATTTATTTAGGGTAGTTAGTGTTTATTGTCGTTTTTTTACATCGGCATATTGTAACTGTGTTTCTCATTTGCAGGTTATTCAAAATAACTGGGATTTCTCGGTAACGCTAAATTTATTGGACACAAGAATCACGCAGGAGAAATTGGAGATATACGAAAAGTTATTTCAGCTAGTTAATTTTAATAAGTTATTCATCAATGTTGACCTGTTAGAAAGTGAGGCTATAATAGAAATATTTCACATGATAGAATACTATAATTCCGTAAGGGAGCTTATTTTATACGGTGATTGCGTGCATGATCTTGATTTATGGGCTAGTGTTGCGGTAGCGGCTTCAAACAGTGATAATGACCTTACAAACATTTCAATTAACGAATTGAAGATAAGCGATGGCGGATTAATGTTAATGTTTGACAACATAAACGAGAATCCGAACATTGAAGTTCTTCGATTTAATGGATGCCAACTCAATTTTACTCCAACTTTTTCAATAGGTATCTTCTATGTTATCCACGTCTATACTGCTACAAATGATTATTCTTCTAGCAACGCCGTTGAAGAATAACCATTACTTACAAGAGTTACACTTGTGCAATGTTCAATTGTATTACAAAGAAACAACCATATTGGCACAATTTATTAGAGATAATCGCAGTTTGAAGGTGCTCAATCTCAGTAATAACAAAATTGGTGATCGTGGATTTAAAGTGTTGGTAAACGCTTTGGTTGAACAGGCACTTAGTGATAGTGGAATTGCGGCTTTCTTGGTTGTTAATAATCGATTAACAAAATCAATTTCAGCACCAGTACAAATGTTAATGGTAAGTGATTAGTATAAGAGCAATTACTTAAATAAGCACGTTTTCAGGAGCAATGCCCACTATTACAAGCGCTGAATGTTGGTTGTAATAACCTCACGGACGATTTCCTCATCGAAATAAAAGATGCTTTAGAAAAGTGTGAATCATTACAGGCTTTAGGTTTACAATCTGCTCTGCTAACACACGACGGCGTCATTCAATTAATGGAAGTGTGCAAGAAAAATCGAGTGCTACAGGTATTGATAATGCTCTTCTTTGGTCTTCTAAAACTTGTATACATTTTTAGCATCTTAACTTACGAGGAAATAGAGCACTGCAACATGATGCACTGCATACTTTAACCTTGTATTTACCACATACGAACTTACTTCGTGTAGATCTAGACGATGCAAATAGATTTTGCACGGTAAGTGTAGTATTCAGTTTTTCCAGGTTGCACTTATTTCCATTTCCATTTCCATGTTTTTAAAATATAGCGACATTAAAACAATTTTAATTTGGGACTGGTGAGATTGAAGAAGGATAAATTACACAAAAAGTTAAATGCATTCTGCATTCAAACTAAATTCGGTCAAAAGGAGATGAGTAATAGAAAAATACTAAACAAGTTTATCCTTCACCAATCTGATCAAAAATGCGATTGTTTCGATCAGTTATTGTGTACATTACCTTTTTCAGGATACCAACCAATATATTGAAATATTAAATAACATCAGGAAATTGCTACTCGTAAAAGTAATGAACGAGCCTCCCAGTGTAAGTAGATACAGTGCGTTTGGGCCCGAGTTATCCCTCTCTTGTGATATGGAATCTATTCCTCGTTCAACGTGGAAAATTCCAAGAAATAAGGGTAGATTTGAAATTGTTTCCGTACCTGATACCAGTTTTGCGACTGCAATACCGTCGATAAATCCGAATACTTCTTGCAGCGGGGATGTTATTGTTAGTAGATCGCCGCCATTTACATCGTCACAGAAAGGCAATTGGTCCTCTGCAAAAGCATGTGAAAATGTCGAATGCGTCGATCAACCTCAAACAAAGGGAGAAGGAGAAACCTTGGAGAATAATAATAACGGACCTACTGTGGAAAAGAGCTGTACAGATTCGCAGGTTGCTGTGGAAAAAGAGTCTACACATTCATCCGAGTTGATTCCTGTGGATGACATTGTTAAGGAAGATAAAAAATCCGACGAATTTGAGACGCCCTTTCGTATGACATGTGATAATCCTGTCATTTTTATTGGTCACAATGCGAAAGATCTGGTAACTATATCGAACAAAGAGCCCACTTTAGAGTTGAGTATTGACAGTACGGCGTTTGAATCGATTATCTCTAAAGAACTATTCAGTAGTAGCAAATGTTCTGTAGAAGTGAGTAATGAGTACTCTCAAGTGGATACATTTCCAGAAAACTCGTCTACAGAAAATTATACGGATGTGTCACGGATTTCGGATGACTTTTATTCTGGCTTCAATATAAGCAATAAATAAATGTAAACGATTTATTTCCTCAAAACTTGGTGGTATTCTATTAATCATAATTAAGTATCGTCTTATTTAAAATTGCAAATATTGTGATAATAAGTAGTTAATATCTACCAAAGAGAGTATAATTGAAATTATATTCGCATTAAATTGCCGCTGTTTAAAATTAGTACGAGGGTTACACTTTACTTACATGATGAACATATTTTTTTGGAATTTTGTTGACCTAGTATTAAATACATACTGTGAATATTAGATATAACTGAATTCAACTAGTTGAATTTGAATAAGGTGACTAATTATTGACTAATGTCATGCGCCGAACTATTATTATTATTATTGTTATTGTGCTTTGACCAACATTTTATTTGAAAGATTCCGTGGACCCTTGTACTAAAATGCATAATGAACTTACTTTCAATAATTAGCTTGGCTTACATTTTAAGATTCTGTTTTCGCATGCACCTCCTTAGTATGTTATTTTTAAAGTTATTTACGTTATAGTTTCACCTACTTAAGCCGTCATATGTACTGACAATATCGCCTACATGTACTAAGTGATTTTGGCAATAATTCCGTTGTGTATTTTGAATACTAGCGGGTATTATCATCTTTTTAAAAGTCCATGAATAGTTGAGGACACTCAAATTTCGTTTACCATTGCAGCTAATGGTGGCTTTACTTCACAAGCACTAATGTTACGTTTGTCTAAATCGTCCACGCCTTTCCGTGCACTGCGCATGCGAAAAAGTTTAAGTAGCATGCCAGTTGTATGTTAAACATGCAATAAAATGTCAACACAATCCAATATGAACAGAGAGAACATTTACACTCGCAGACTTTGAGGTAATGTTTCCGTATGAAATTCTAGATTGTCAGAAAGCGACAGTCTACAAATTTACTTTTCAATAAGATCGTCCGATTTTAGATTGCAACTGACACAAATACAAACATGCTTTGCAAGGGCTCTGAGCGAATTTACAAGTTGATATACCATTTAGCCATTTAAAACTTTGACATTTCTTTACCGTAACGTGCCATTTAACCATAACACATTTTGATTAGTGATTACTAAACAGAACTTCAGTTGAAATTCATCCAGCAACTTTGACTGACGTTTCTTTTGGATGCGCATTGTATGCAACGGCATGCACAATTTAGACAAACTTCTGATATTCAAGATCTGAGCCAGGTATATTTGAGTGTGACTCATTGATCTTTACACATATTACAAGGATGACGATTTGGAGCGTAAGTTTACTGTGCAATTAATATCTAAAACACGTGTCAATTCACCTATAACATAAATCCATGCGTCTTTACGAATGAATCATACACAACCATATGTGGCTCACAATATATTAATGTGTTCCGACTTTGCATTGTCTTAAAGCCACCATTATGCTTCGGTATGCAGGGCAGTGAGGTTGAGGTAGGAGACTCGAGACCTTAGCGTCTGTCCAATTACATACTATGTAGTTTTTGAAAATTGAATCAGGTTCACAAGTGCACTAAACATTGCAATTTGTACAAACCGATCGACCTGATTTAAGTTTTCCAAATGTTTGTTACAAATAATCCCATGCCCTTATCAGTATCATTCAATTGTTACCACATTTACTTCACTCCTTGTTATCTGTAATTATCATTTTGTACAGTTGTATATATTTATATAGAACATACATATTTGGTTGCACATATTTTTTTATGAATTAATATTAATTAAATCAAATGACAGTCAGATAAAAGTATTGTTTCTAATATATATATTGAGACATTTTAAAGTTTGTAAAAACAAGTTTTAATTTGTCAAAAATTTTGTTAAAGCTAGTGTACTTAATTATTAAAAATTGTATGTATTAAAATTTGTTTCTGTTTAGAAAAAATATGTAAAAATTTTTGAAATAAAATTTAGATATCCTTTTAAAGGTTTTCGAGAGTTTTGGTTGTGATGAAATCATATCTTCCATCGGGATTGTGAACATTAATGACTATAACAAACTGCCAATTCACTCAAGAAGCGACTATATAAAATATTAAAATAATATCATTTGAAATTAACTGCAAGGGAGCCGTCCAAAGAGGTTATCGCAACCCCAAGGTAATGGATATTCCCCTCGATCTGAGACAATTTAATTTTCGGGGCTCAAAAAAAAGCAGTTATTACCTTCCTTTTTTACCAAAAATCGACTGAACCAAAATTTCTCGGGAAAACACCTTTTCTTATTAATTTGGGCGCGTAGAATCCAAATCAATTCGCACTTTTTCGATCAGACTTCTCAATCAAAAGTTATAGACTAGAAACCAATTTCGAAAGAAAATTCAAAGGGTTGTAACTTTTGAACTAGTAGCCCAATCTTGGAACTGTTTGAAATTATGGATTCTACAGGCCACATTCTATAAGACAATTTTTTTTCCGGGTCGATCTGAGACAATTTTTCTTGAGGGGCTCAAAAAAGGCAGTGTACAACCTTCCTTTTTAACCAAAAATCGACTGCACCAAAATTTCTCGGGAAAACACTTTTTCTTATTAATTTTGGTGCGTAGAATCCAAAACAATTCGTACTTTTTCGATCAGACTTCTCAATCAAAAGTTATAGACTAGAAACCAATTTCGAAAGAAAATTCAAAGGGCTGTAACTTTTGAACTAGTAGCCCACTCTTGGAACTGTTTGAAATTATGGATTCTACAGGCCACATTCTATAAGAAAATTTTTTTTCCGGGTCGATCTGAGACAATTTTTTTTTCGGGGCTCAAAAAAAGGCAGTGTATAACCTTCCTTTTTTACCAAAAATCGACTGCACCAAAATTTCTCGGGAAAACACTTTTTCTTATTAATTTTGGTGCGTAGAATCCAAACAATTCGTACTTTTTCGATCAGACTTCTCAATCAAAAGTTATAGACTAGAAACCAATTTCGAAAGAAAATTCAAAGGGCTGTAACTTTTGAACTAGTAGCCCAATCTTGGACCTGTTTGAAATTATGGATTCTACAGGCCACATTCTATAAGAAAATTTTTTTCCGGGTCGATCTGAGACAATTTTTTTTTCGGGCCTCAAAAAAGGCAGTGTACAACCTTCCTTTTTTACCAAAAATCGACTGCACCAAAATTTCTCGGGAAAACACTTTTTCTTATTAATTCTGGTGCGTAGGTAGAATCCAAAACAATTCGTACTTTTTTCGATCAGACTTCTCAATCAAAAGTTATAGACTAGAAACCAATTTCGAAATAAAATTCAAAGGGCTGTAACTTTTGAATTAGTAGCCCAATCTTGGAACTGTTTGAAATTATGGATTCTACAGGCCACATTCTATAAGATCTGAGACAATTTTTTTTCGGGGCTCAAAAAAAGGCAGTGTATAACCAGGGGCGCACTGGCCCGGGGGGGGGGGCGGGGGGCGATTGCCACCTGGCCTGCTGTATTAGGTTTCTTGCACTAAATATAAATTATTAACACTTTCTCTAATATTGGGGTTGATGTTAGGTTGTTAAAAAATTCTGTTTTAATTGAAGTGTTTTACAATGAATTTATCATTTTTTGTCGTAGCATGAAAGTGCTGAAATACAATGATAGGCGACGCACCTCGTGTGGATTGTTTATTTTGTTACTTTTAATTATCAGCTGCAATTTAAAAAAAACTGTATGGTAATTTATTTTCGAGAAAGGAGGACTTTAAAATGTTTTTGTAGTGCACCTCACAGCTAACCCCCCCGTCGTGTATTATTCCCAGCATAAAACAATTTTACAAAGACCTTTTCCTCTGTAGTGTAATTATTATTCATGAATCATGTTAGTGTGTTTATTAGAGATGACATCAGTTAAATCAAAGAATTGGGTGACAAATGCGGTAGGTAAATCATAGCCAACCAATTTTTTACTACCTTTTTGGATTTGTTTACTTAACTTTTATATTTTTAAAAAAGGGCTTAGGCACGCTTTTTTGGTTACATCTAATGCCGATTTTAATTATCTATTCGAAGGTGTTTTTATTTTTTCTTTCGGTTAAAATGGGGAGCAGGAATTGCCGAAAATGTATTTTCCCATGTTATTTCCCTATGTCCCGCCGTCAACTTGCCACGCTGTATTTAGTTCGTTCTTTTTGAATTTGGTAGTTTATAGCTCTAGCACCAAAAACAATATCTTGATGATTAATGTGCGCAGGCGTGACAAAAACGGTAGTATTACAATTACGTATTACAATAAGTACTTAGATTCGTCAAGAATCTATGATTTGCTTTCATTTAGCATATTGAAGAACGATATGTACTCTTTTTTTCGTTAAAGGATCATGAACTGACACGTTGAATGGGGACTGGATGGATGGACCTATAACTTGACTACATTGAAAAGTCACTGTTTGACCAAGATGGTCCCAAAAATTCCGTAATAGTGAGCAAGTAAACGTACGTAATTCAACAGAAAAATTGATAAATACGTTAGACAATTGTTTTTTTCTTGTGGTAAACCCCCCTAAGACCAAATACAGCATTCAATCGCATCATTTTTACACTTGAATCGTTCGTATTTAACTGCACATTAAAATCTCCCGAAATTAATGTTATTAAAGTTATAGTACGTACCAAAATTAAGATCTTTGATTTCTTCTAGCTTGTTAGAAACAATTGAAGTCCCCGCAAATCAACATACTACATATACCTATAGATGTCAAGTTGTCACCTTACAGATTTTTGTTGATGGTCGTAGGTATATTCTGTCAGTAACTGTACGTGCATACAGTACATGAAATAATTGAAAGATTATTAAATAGCTGAGTATCAATTATTAAATTTCTATACGGATTTGCTGCAAACATGCAGACTACGCCAAGATATAAATACCTCTACATTAATTAGGACGAAATTTCACATCATCCAACATTAATTGTCTAATTTTTAGCGCATGATAAGTAAAAAATTTAAACGAAGTACTATTGACGATTTAATATTCATACGTAGGTAGCTATTGGTATGCGAGTACATGATACAGTTATAGGTAATGAAGGTTTAAAATTACAGTGGAGTGTATTAAGTACTCACATATCCACAGCAAAGTATTTAATTTAGGAAGATCAACTGCACTAAGTAACCCTATATGAAACGTTATTACAGTAAACGTATTAAATAGGAGGGCACGGATCGACAAGGTATCTATAAGTATTTTGTAATCTGATTAAACAACGAATTACAACTTTGTTTATATTAACCTATAAATAGGATGAATGTAACAAGGATTAAGAAGTGAGCTGACTATTTTTGGAAATTTACTATCAAGGAATTCCTTCATTCATAATCACATCCTTCTTCATCTGACTTCAACTGCAGATCTTGCCGCTTCCGGTGCTTTTTCTTTTCGCTAGCTTTTAACAGCAAAATCGTTTCGTAGGTATTATCCAATACAAGATGAAATTTCTCCAGTAGAAAATCTTAAAAAATGCGTGCAACATTTGGATAAAGTTAAGTTTTTAACCAACTGATACTTCGAAGAGGGCACTAGGCATAATGTTATCTATCTGCGCATAATTTGCACGAAAACAGAAACAAAGGCCCAAAGGACGAGTGCGAATTATGCCATGAAATTAGAAAAGTTCCCCTGGGGGTCACTCTATTTGTTCATTCGCCTTCTTAATTAATTCACAAAATATAATCATATTTTTTTTAAGTATGACATCGAGAGAAAGAATCGACAGTAGTTTGGGGCAGAAAAGATATTCTACAGTGCTCAAATTCAAAAAGAACTGCCGACCATTTGTCGTCTGCCTTTGTGTTTCGCCTCCCCTAACTTATTATCGGTGACTGGTTAAATGAAAGTTTAGATGTAGAACGTTAGAAGTGAGAAAAGTCGATTGGGGATAAATTATTAATTACACTAAAATGCTAGCTGGTGTATATTTAAAAGGGTAGATTCCGAATTATCTGCGTAACCGTATTTTCCTTCTACGCTATTCAAAAGCTACTATATATACTTCCATTAAACATATTCGCTAGACTAATCCAACGAATGGAACTGGACCGATAGCATCGTTCCTCCGTTTGTCAAAGATATCTGATAAAAACCGTCACAAGTTTGGTATAACATGTAAAAATAAATTAAATATATGCTAGTAAATAAAACTTCTACAAGTGCATGAATGCCTATAATGCGGAAAGAGTTCGCAAACATCAATAGTGATTTGACATTCGCTTGAGGAGGTTTGAATTCTCTTATACATGCGGGAGTGCAGCACTTAGACAGCGGAAACTTTGATCCGAACCGAACGGCATCGTTATCTTTGTATTTATAACTAGAGCATACTCGATATGGTAATACAGCACATCATTTCAAAACAGGCTGGGATTTCAGAAAATTAATTCGTATATGTAAATTTACCAGAGTGTCTTTGATTTGTGACTGTAAGAATCATTTACGCCATCCGTTCACAATTCAGGATAAACAAAAGCCAACTATATCGATCGAAATCTCTCTAATCTTTTAAATATCTTGTATACACGGAAGAATCCAATCCTGAATACGCAACTTGAAAATATTGTCATAGCGCGGTATGACATCCAATTATATCTACCACGTTGAGCAAAGGCTTTCGAGAGCTCTTATATTGAGTAAAGTGGATAGCCAAACCAAATAAATTTGCTCATTGTCCTGAAACTATTGCAGGGATATTAAGAAATTTTATTTGTTACTCGCTCAAATACATATTGTACTGTACTTATTAAAAATATGATCGAATATACAATGGAACTAGCATTATATTGGTAAATTAATGT